CATGAGTGGTGCAATCACTGATAATAGATATGCTCATGTTGTATACAACTTCGTTCACGGCCCAGTAGATTGTGAAGGGGTGAATAGTGATCTGTTTGTGGGAGAAGTATTCGGACTGGACAGCATTCTGGATTACAGGTGAGTAGTTTTCGGAAAAGTCTCCCCAAATGAAGAGCTCACCAGGCTTGAGATTCTTTCGAAGATCCACAAGAAATTCATGCTGAGCTTTGCTGATGTAGTGATGTTTCAACAGCTTCTCCAGTTCCGAAGTTGCAAAGTCCAAGAAGTCTTCGGTTTCTTTTTCCTCAGTCACGTATTGAGTTCCGTCTGTCGTCAGCCATCTTCGGTATGAAATTGACGTGTTGTTCCTGATGACTTCGTTTTCTCTTAAAGCTATTTTGAAGTTTGTTGTAGATCCTTTACACTTTGTACATCGTCTGTAGTAGCAATCCTTGCCTCCACTTTCACAGACTAATTGTGAAATTGAAGGCTTGATGGATGAAATCTTGATGGCATGGAACAGCAGCTTCACATTTTCATGGTAAATGCACACGCAAACGTTGTGGTATCCCTTGCTGGTTAGCGAGATGCATTCTCGTGGCCGCAGCATCATGAATGACGATTTCCCAACTTTCGAATCCGGGTACTGAATCTTGAAATTTTGGTAGAGCTCCCTGAGATTGCTTAGAAGATATCGTTTCTGCTTGTGTTCTCGTCTTCCTGTTTCCTTGTTCTTGATGGACAGAAAATCCTTTTGTCCTGGGCAGGCTCTTGACACATCATCTTGATAATAGAAATCTTGAATATTGGATTTGGTTTCTTGGGTAATTTTGTATCCAGATTTTGGTTTTATTGGAGGAAGGATTGTGTCGGTTTCTTTACGACGTTTGCGGCTTCCCTGGACCAAGCGTTTCCCAATATTGAAGAAATCTTGAGTCTTCTTAATACTCCAAGACGGTGGAACTAAGGTAAGCAGTTGTTTTTTTTCGGCTTGAGAACATCCTTGCAATCTTAGCTTCAAGTGCTTCATGATCCAGTTGAGATCTGTAGAATCCTGGAGAAGTTGTTCTTGATTGTGTTGTTCTTTGTCTGGAATTGGTAGTCCGACATCTTGGAATCCTGTGGTGATTGTCTTCGTTACTTGCTCAAGTTCTCTTGTGACTAGATTACTTTGTTGCTTGAGATTTCTTCTGTTCAATGCTATTGCAGGGGCCGAAGGGGAAATTGTTTGCTTGATACTTGTTAACGTCTCGACCAATCTCTTCTTTGAGGCTGGTTCTTCAAAGGTAGGATCTTCCGAATCTTGATCTTGAATTTCTTGGGTATCATCATAGCAGAATTTTGCGTCCTTGCATATCGCTTGATTTGGTAATAATCCCAGGGCTTTGTATTGGGTAAAGTAATCTTCCGCAGTGATGTATTTCACATTTTTGCCTTTGTATTTATTGTTATGCTTTGGATGACAACATGTGCGAACACGGCGCCGTCCAAAAAACTCAATGCATTTTGCACAGAAAAAATTATCACTGAAAATAAGTTTGAAATTGAAACCTGGAAATGACTGCCTGACAGACTGCATAGTTCTGCTTTGCACAATCTTGTCTAGAGGTCGAGATTCGTCTTCAGAACAAGTCCATCGGTGGTGGGCAATCAAGAGTCCAATGTCGCAGCGACGTACTATAAAGAAAACAATTACCACTACTTGAATTTTTGACATACTTTGAAACGTTTTTACTAATTGGAATCTTCCAATAGAATTTTATTAGCATGTTCTAATTTTAAAAATTAACCTGTCTCTGAATATTCAAAACTTTTGTAAAAATTTCCAACTGTTAATAATAACCCAATCTGTTTTTTGAAAATTTTAAAAATCTTCCCTAATTTAAATAATTATCTTGCAAAATTTAAATAATTACCCTATGTCTGATTTTATGAAAATTTAAAAAATCCTGCCCAAGTTAAATAATTATCCCATCGCTGATTTTTTGAAAATTTTAAAAATATTGCAAAATTTAAGTAATTATCCCATCCCTGATCTTTTGAAAATTTTAAAAATCTTCCCCAATTTAAATAATTATCCCATCTCTGATTTTTTTAATTTCAGGAATCTTGTCCAATTTAAATAATTATCCTATCTCTATTTGTTTAAAAATTTTAAAAATATTGCAAAATTTAAATAATTAAGCTATCTCGGCTTTTTAGAAAATTTTTAAAATATACCCCCAACTTAAACTATCCCATCTCTGAGTTTTTGACAATTTTAAAAATATAACATAATATAACAATTTTAATATTTATCCCATCTCTGATTTTTAAAGCATACCATTTTCAATAATCCGTTGCAAACAACGATCGAAATGTAGCAAAAAGGTAAAGCGACACGGTCACACGGTCGTGACAAGTCAAAACAAAGTCGATTTTTGAAATCCACGACCAATCTAAAACGGTCAAGACAAAAAATTCGACACGTTTGACCGTTGCTCTCAGAGATTCAACCTTAAAAGGTACCTACCTTGGCTTATTTCGGTGGGTGTGGTAGTATCCGGTGGTGGTGGTGGAAGTGATGTCGAAATTGGGGGTGGCGGTGGTGGCAGGGGTGATATTGGGGGTGGTGGTGAAGGTGGCTGCTCTCTTGGGAGGGAGGAGTGAGCCTCCATGATTCACTTTTTTAATATTTTATAAAAAAAACTCCCACTTTTTTAGTTTTATTTTAAAAAACTGGAGAATTCCAAAGATGAACCAACTCGTGTGAGAGATAAAAAGCATCTCAACACGAGTTGGTTCATAATCCCGGTAAACAATTTGCAGAGAGTGAGAAGTGAGACAGACCACCATACGGCACTGTCGCATCGACAGTCGCCGGTGGTGGTGATACCCACCAGAGTCCAACTCTCACTCTGCTTTTTGCTAAAAATGGAAACAGGGTTTGTGGAACAGTTGGTATGGCTCTCCTCAGTTGGGTCACTATGTTACATTTTTCGTTTCTAGAGGGCGTTTTTCGCTAAAGTGTCAAAACGTTCACGAACACGATAACAACGAAACACACCCTTTAGATCTGCCGAGACTTGATCAAATGAACGCTACCAGTGGGAGGGGTACAGCCATGGTCTCTGCTCATAATTAATACTTTGTTACCACCATATGTAATTACGAATCCATAAAATAAATTGAAAATTTAAATTATTCCTTGCGTTGCTTTTCTCTGTAAAAAATGACATGACAAGCTCTTAACAGTTGTTGGATACTTAAGACGTAAACACCGATATAGCCCCCTCTTTTTTAAAATTTTTGACAATTGCTCAAATTTTGAAGATAATTAAAATTTTGTCAACAAATTGTGGAAGTATTTAGTATACTTGTCGCCCTGATGAAGACAGCGTTAGTTGTAGAAAGCTTGCACTGCACTATGTAGCTATATCAGGATAGTGGAAACAATAAACAATGCTGTATAGTTTTTTTAATATATGTAGAGTTCATAACTGTTTGGAAATCATTTTAAGCTTCAACATAAAAGGATGCAAGGATGTCAAAACAGATGGAATTAAAAAATTAAAAATTTCTCGGTAGTTTTGGTCAAGCCTTCAATTATTCTGTCACTTTTCAAAGGTTTTGAGTTTTGGAGTGCATGAATTTCTTGGTCGTTTCTGAATAAGGAAAAATTTTAACAAAGAAAAAATCTTTTTGATGCACCCGGGCATACCTATTCGGTTAGCGGTGTCTATGTGTGTGGTGCCTAAGAATCTTTGATACCCGGTGTCCGAACACTGGACACCGGCTGACACCGCCGATTTATGGTCAGCATCAAGCACTTAACAGCTACCGTGCATATACTTTTTTTAAACAGGGGGAAAATTTAAACGTTATTTTAAATCTTTTAACCCATAATTTGGCTAAAAATCATTCTTAAAATTCATGCAAAATGAATAATTTTTTTTTGTCTGTGAACGAATTTAAACTGGACCGAGCGACAGTAATCTATTTAGTAATTTATTTAGCTGCCAACGTATATACGTATTTATTAAATTTCCGATAGGGCAATTTTATGAGACGCTGGTCGTTTAGCTTTTTTTAACTATTTAAAATGTAATAATGCATACTCTGCGATACAAGATTATGTGATGAAAAATACAGCTAAAGTAGTTCTACACATACATATGTACATACGACGACTTGCGCAATCACGTCTACCACATTAATGAATTAACGCTGTACTTTCTCATCACATTGACTGTGAACTTACGAGTTATCTTATTGCATGGCATATGAATTAACACATTGTCCAGACAAGAATGATATGCATACATTTCTACTCATCATGTAATTACGCAAGCTTGCGACATGCTATTAAATTTCTGGAAAGTAACTACCAGGTCATTGAATACATATTACAGCACACAATATTCAAGGTACTTATGTACATAATTAGTCAAGCTTAATATGTACATAGTACCCTACGTAGGAAAGTTCGGTATGAAATACATACTTGTGCATACATACAAATATACATAAATACCCATGTGTATGTATGTACATACATACATAGCACATATTTACATATTTTTATAAATTGCATTACATAATTTGGACTTTCCCGAACAATGTGTTCCTACGTAACCATTGAAGCTAATTTCCTACCGAATAACTTAATACAAACTATTTAATGCTTATGTATGTACACAAAGCGATAAATAGATAAGATTAATAACAATTATTTCACATTAATTAAAATGCTTAGTTAAGTACACATGCAAATACATATGTACATGTATACATACAATTTTCAAGAAATTTTATAAAATTTATAAACAATTCATCTGAGCAATCAACATTGGTGAGAAGTACAGTAAATTTGCACTAATCTCCCCAGTACCAAATGCTTACATATGTATTAATACTGGACAACATAACTTTGTGGTAACTAATTCTACAATGTAAATTACATTATGTAATACTGCAGTACCTAAATACTTGGCAAAATATATAATAAAACCGTGAAATTATTTATATACGCAAACAAACTTACGAATATTTACGTATCACGTATAAAAATTCTGATAATATTTATTAAAACCCAATAATTACATCAACATGAATTACGGTCGAATTATTCTATTCATAGTATTACAAAACGTTTATAAAACATTGGCTGGATTAATTCCCCCACGCGCAGATCCATTTTACTGGAGTCCTGTTAAGGGAAATACACCATTATGGAATAGCTTACCCTTCACGAAAACTGCGATCTGTGAGGTATTCCAACTAATTTAGCTTTCCTTATAAGACACTTCAAGCATTCTTAACCTTAGTAACACTGTAAATTTTGCAAAATTTTACAAATATATCTAACAAAAACTGACTTACAAATTCTTGCAAATTTGCCCATATCAAGGGCGTATTTTTATTTTGTAGAAGCTTGCGAAACTATGTTACAAAATGCAAGGATTATATGAGTTACCAAAGACTGCGTGAAGTGCATAAATTTAAATATATTAATAATATAATATAATTTGTCTTTTAGGCCAATAAAACCTACACGATAAAAACCATACAAGATTTCCACTCTCACATGACAGATCTTGACTGCATCTTCTCTGGGTCACGAATCCCGACCAAAATCCCTATGGGATCCTGGCACGGCAAAATTTTAACTATCCTGAATACTGGGCTATTCGATCAGCTATTTGGTTCATTTTGGGTGGGAAAATACGTTAAAAAAGCTTTATGCAACGGGAGCGAGACGTTCCTTGGGTGGAATGCATTTTCTCTGAGCGGTCCTCAATTTCCGTTCGTTCCAACCATTGGAAATCATAGTTTAAATTTGGCACCATTAGAGTATGACGATGGGAGAGGCGGGTTACTAATTCAATACGTGGACGACGTCATGGATGCCTGTCCAGAAGAAAGGTACTGGTTTATTAGCATAACGTAAATTTACACAAAAAATGACAATTCACGCAGTAAATTGTAAGATATATAAATTTTGGAAAATTTCCTAAAAATTTTTTATAAAATATAAGGAGACGCCGTTGATCTCAGTAAGTTGTAAGCTAATTTTCCTCAGAAATAATTCCAAAATTTTGTACGAATTTGTGAGTACGTTTGCAAAACTTACGGATTTTACTATGTTACCAAGGTCGGGGTGAAATGTGAATTGCCAAAATTGATATGTTGTCCAAGTCAAAGTTTTTGTCGTAGGGATAACGTGATCCTCAACGGGGGTCAGGCCGGACCTGCCGGAGCTAACTTACTTATCGGTGAACTCAACCCGCTCACAGATGTGATAAGATTCGTTGGGAAACAGGAAGACGGAGGGAACATATACTTAATAAAAACTTTTTTAACAGATCTTTACAAGGGGGATGGGATGTCAGTAACGATCGCATTTACCGCCTTTTTGAATTATGATTACACCGCCGAACCGAATATTTGTCCAGGAGTGGCTACAGAGCCTTTGGTACATTTACTCTTAAAAATCCAGTATTAAAATAATACAAGCGGTATTCATGTATAACTCTACACTCTAAGAAATGCGGTTAAGATTATAATCAGAAAGTAAATGTAGGTAAATACTATATGACTCCACCGGCATGGTTATAAATTTGTCACCAAATGGTTATAAATCCATCACAATTGGTAACAAACGTATTACTAGTGGTGATAAATTTTTAACCATGTCGGTAGAGTCACACATATATGCTTACATTCTGGTTATAATCGTAACCAAATTGCCACATTTCTTAGAGTGAACCAACGTGGTATTGATAAGTAATACCGTGTAGTAATAGTCCAGTATTATAGTTTTACCATATTGAGAGCAAATTGTTATAGGCCAGTATCTACACTTTTAACACCAAGTGGTAGAAACTTTAATACCGAGAAATCAATACCTTTACCAGATTTGTAAGAGTGTACATATGTACCAATACCTACATACATATGTAAATTAGGCGCAGAGCTACTCTTACACTTTTCCCGGCGCAATTGACACCGTTCTAAGAACATTTCCAGTCGACGATTTATTCTCGAGGACAGGGCGGCAAACTTTTCGTGACCTACGCCAAGCCAGGGTTACCTGGGGTAAAAACTTTTCAAAGTTTGTGCACAGTGAGTTTTTCGATTCCATGTTGTATTTAAATATGCATCGTTGCATATTATTAAATATTTCCCTTAATACAATCAGGCTTGCCATTCAACATTTTCCGGACAATGCGTAGTGGTCGGGCTTGGATGCAAGAATTCTACTCTGAAAAATCTAGGGAAGCGTGGGTAAAACAGGAGGGTTGTTAAAGCAAGTGAAAATATATGTAAATCATTATTCTTACTCCTTGTTTGTCAGAAATCTAATGGTTCCATTAGATTTCTTCCAAGTTTTATTAAACAAAGAAAATGACAAATAAAGTAAAGTAAACTGGCATTAAGTCACTACTGTTACTGATACGGAGTACATATTTATGTTGCATGTACATATATTTATATGTCGTTTGAGCGTATCCACGTCCATCTTCTGAAATTTAACGTAACATAATCCCTGCAAAATTTATCGCGAAATTTTGCAAACTTTTATTAGAAAAACATAGGTTTTCCTCGTAAATTTATCCACAAACTTGTTAGGTTTTTAATTTTGTCAAATTGCTTCCTATACTCATCCTCAACATCGCCTGCGAGAGAAATTGAAGAAATCTGTGGGAGGGAACAACACCGAAATATTTTATATGATTTTTTTTAATGGGTGTTATTGCTCCTGATTCAAAATTTATTATTACATTGTATCATTAAAAATCCGTCCAATACAATTTACCTCCAATTGACATGCCGTGTAACTTTATTCTTTATCACACTTCAGTATGAATGTTTAATTTAATTGAATTCTTTATCATTCCAAGATAAGCCAATTGCAGGTGTTCCATTGTATTTTAAGTCGTGTCATTATTCTTTACGTGAATGACCTGATTTATTTTATTCTTTACCACCCAAACTTGCCAGTCCATTAAAAAATTCCATACTTTCGTCTTTTTTCTAACCTAATTAATAATTTTAGCATAAAGATGATTTCGAACAATTTGAAATTGATTACAATATCTTCCTTGATTTGCATAAGTGTATCTGTCCAGGCACAAACCTTCTCCCCGGGAATTATCATAGAAGAAGAGACCGGTCAAGTATTATACGAAGGGACGGCCGGCATTATATACTCGTTCCAATCCCCAATTTGGGAAAATTTTCTAACTTTCCAAATCTACGATGCGAAAAAAGGACTCGCAAATTGTAGAAATAGTTCACATTCCCAATTTTGTGACATTTTCGATCAATTTATTTCAATCTCAGGACAAATTCAGGATGCCGTGCAACCCGCCACATTCCGCATGGAGGAGACCACCATGTCATCCACGTGGGGACTTAAGTGCCACTATTTGTCCCAGCATTTCTCCAGCTTCCGGGTCGACTCGTCCATAATCATGAAATATCTCGGATTTCTGAGAAGCTGTCCAAACATGGTTCTACTAGAGGAAGCTGTCAACACGGAGTATGCATCCCATACCATACCTGTTCACCTTCATTCATTTGACTTATTACATATGATATTGAAAGAAAATGAATTTAAGAATTCCGTCATTTTAGATGAATGACTATGAATGAAAGGATTTCTCACTCATTTAAAATAAAAATCTTCACTCAGAAATCGGGACAACTGAATTTTGAATGAAAATTCTGTTTTTGAACAGGTATGCATCCCATCCCAGTCTACAATATTTCCACGATGCAAAAACCATATTTGAGCAAGACTTCTTCCCTTCCGGATCTGGGGTTCACTTAAACTTTCTGGATTCTCTCCTCTCCACCGGATTTACTTCCTTCCTGTCTCAATCGATCCGATGGTCGGGAGCAATTTCACACTGTAAATCCGGCCATATTCCGGACAGTCTCATCACGCCGGAAATGTTGCACCGCTCTCTCACCACTTTGGATGGGATGGCGGCCCAAAATGGGTACAAATTTGTCATTTCACCCGACCCAGAATTCATTCCGGTCTACTTCAAGAACAAATTTGCTGATTGTACTTTCTCCGAGGGTAAACTGTACGTTCGGATTCTAGTCCCGGTGGTGAAAATGGACAGAAATTGGAGCCATATTTCGGTAAATCCGATCCAATTTTATGACGGGGATCAAGGTCGTCTCTATCAAACTGGTGGGGAAACAGGGGGGCAATATTTTTACGAGTCGGGTTCTAAACGATTATTTCGAGCGGGTAGTTGTAATAAAAATCAACCAGAATTTTGCCGCATGCCAGAACTTTGGGATCAATCGGTCCTCATAAATGTGCCAAATTGTGTTACGGATGTTCTGCAAGGATTTTCGCGATCTGCGAATTGTTCCGGGGAGTATGCAAGCGAGGAAGTAGGAAGCCTTCCGCATATGCCGATTGTCTCACGGCAAGGTTCGGATACGTATTATTTGACAGATTTTCCCTCAAAAAGTGTAAAAATCACGTGCCAAGAACCCGATGGGTCAGAGTTGATCCAGAATTTTCCATTCCCAGAGGTGAAAGGCGTCTTGAAAATTATGCTTCCTTGTTTTTGTGTAATTACGTCGGGAGATATTGAACTCTGGTCGAGTCCACCTTGTCAAGTTTTAAATAGTAGGTTAAACGTGACGGAAGTGTGGCATCAAGATTTTGTGTAATTATTTAAGTAAAATCGAAATGTAAATTAAATATTTAAGTAAAATTCTATTTGTTGAAATTTAATAAATTTATTGTATGTATAATCTCATCCAAGAACTCCTTTTTTAAAGTTTAGCATTGCTGCATGTAGTTATGCGATAGTAGGGTTGCCCGGGTAGCGGGTCGGGCACACGTTACCCGAACTATTTTACGGGTACCAGCTTACATAGCTGCGAGAATTTCTCGCTACACGTGCGGGCAGTTAACCTTTTATCAAATTTTCAGCATAAATCCGCTCACAAAAAAGTTAGCAGCTCCTCAGGCCGTTCACCAACAAAAGTACAGCCATGGTGTCTGCCCTTATCGACTCTTTTGATAACTTGGGTTAATTTTCCAATAAAATTTCCACAACGGTTGGATAAAGTTTAACAAATTGTTGTATCATCTTCTATTTTATGTACTCAACCTTGGGTAAATTTCAGCTATTTTTATTTAGAGTGTAATATTAAATTTCGCATAACCGAGCTCATCAATACATACTCTACGTAATATAATCAACATACTAAAACCTTAATCGGCTTAAAATCGGGTAATGCATCATTAATCATTTCCTTTATACATACATAAATACCGTAAATATTTTACATAAGTAGTTTCATCGTCAGTCTTACATATTGGACATTCTCATAACTTTAGTGTACTTAAATAAATGAATAAGTAGATAAATTTCATTCCCAAGACTCGATACTTTCAGGTTATTGATTTTATTTATTTTTTAGCCGATCTCTGTAACAATAACTCCCAAGACTACTTTTGAGGAAAATCGTATAAAATTTTTTAACCAGGTTGTTTCCAGTTGATTCCAAAGATGTGGCTGGCTTTTAAAACCTTCGTAGATCAGTTTCGACATCGAAATCCACTCCCATTCGTGATATCGGACCGTCTCGAACAAGTGTGTTGTACACCTTTGGCAAAGAAGCAAAACACATTTGTCCACCTTTCCTTCGCATTATTGGTAGTTCATACAATTTACTGCTTTCTGCGTTTAATGTGGCTGTGGAAAACTGGACTGGGTTCAAATAAAGACCAAAATTTCGAAATTATTCGAGTTTACCTCCTCATATTTTTTACCTTTCTCCCTTTAAGTTTCTTCGCAATGGGGTTCGTAATTGCCAAAAGGTTCAGGACCATAAGCGCTATTTTGAATCTTTTGAAAGGCCTGAAGGAAATTGGACACGGTAATAAAATAATTATATATACATATTTACATATGTAGGCACTAACGAAATATACAAACATTGATTATCGTAAATAGTTTTTTGACGATTTTTGATTAAACAAATTTCAATTAATCTATATATACCCACTTTCGTACAATGGATTTAGAAATAAAATTTCCCTTCGGTAGGATGTCAATTTTATAATTACACCTGATACAACCAATTAAACATTTCAACCAGTCATAGCTCGCAAAATGGTCTATGATGGGCCGTGGACCACAAAAAAAATTAATTATCGATGGACCATAGACTATTTTTTAGATGGTCCATCGATGGACCATGGACCAATTTATGCAACCAATTTTGATACTTTTGTCGAAAAGTATGTACTTTTTAGCATTGCTCAGAACGTATGGAGATTAAAGACTTATATATTTGTAAATGATTTTACTCCAGAAATCAGAGCAAGTTCTTCTCCCACGATGGGGTCTCCTCCAAACTACAAGATTTTGACACAAGCCATGAAATTTTTTATCTCGCTGAGCAAATATCCTCTTCCAGTTATTGTCCTGACCATGGTACTTTTCCGCGTCGACCCGCTTGACCTGCCGATAAGCAGTGTCATTTCCATGGTATCGTTGCCATCCATCTTATCAAATTTAGTTTCATTTCTCCTTCGTGCCAGCTTGATAACAATTTTTATAAATGAATTGTTGAAATCGATAAACGCTTTCTTTATCCTTGGTTTAATGATTGTATGTTCGACTAGCGAAGTACTTCAAGCTTTAACCAGTTTAAATTATAAGAAATCAATGAGGCTAATCTGGTATGAGAGAAATTTACAAGCTCGTGAAATTCAGCTTTATCAACAATTATCAATTTGGATGGGATTCACTAATCAAAATTTGTGTTATTTTTCCGTCCCGCCGTTATTATTCTTTGGAGTTTCGTTTATAATATTGGGGCTTTATGGGACAGTCCGTATGCGGGATCGAATGCCATTTTTGCTATATTTGTTACTGCCCATTTCAAGTTTAATGGGTTCCTCGTTTGTTGTGTTTATGATACCTGAAGCGGCAAAAGTGTATGAAAGGTCAAACTTGTATTTATGCAAGACGTGTAGGGAGTTGGGAAGGGGGACGTGGGAAAAGAAGGTCATCAGGTCCTTGAGACCCATGGCTGTTCAGATCGGACCGTTCGGATCAATTAGGAATAACTTGATGAGGATTGTGATTAACGTTTTGACCGAGAATACTTGTAACTTGTTGATTACGTTCTGAATGATGTGTGCTATTTACGGTGGGGACGTTAACTGGAGAAATATGTATTCTGCATAGAAGGAATTTCTAATATGAACGAATTTACGATTTTACTAGACGTCTTTAAATCGCACATGATTAGCAAAAGTAAGATAAAAGTGGTATAAAAATATTGAATCAATCCACGCAGTGATTGACAACTTTGTAAAATTGGTACAATGTTAAAAACCAGGTAGTTTCAGTGGCTGATAAAGTAGGTCAGTATGAGTGTGCTCCAGGAGCCCCAGGTGAGGTATATTTTTACAAGTATTACCAGTGAATTTCTAAAAATAAATTCACTGCTACATACCCTGCAATACAGTTAAGTATTGGAACTAATTTTTATCTAATTATGTAACTTTTTTGGAAAACTAGGGGAAATTAGATACTATTACTCTGGTAGAAAGTTATTACGAAATCAATACCAGTGTAGAGTGGACATGTGACTACCAACTTTTTTAAGTGCACGTGCATATACTGTATATGATATACATACACTACTTTAACTGGATTATTGAGTATAACTGAAGTCTACGAGCAGTTTATAGCATATTTATTACTTATCGAACTGATCTAATATGTTTGCATACCTATGCACTTTGTTGAAAATCATCATGCAATTAAATCATATATAATTTATTTGACTTATTAAAATTATGAGGTTTCGTATTTTAATAAATTCGCAAACTATACAAAGTCTAAATATCTACATCCTTTTAAACTATATCTTCTTGTCTTACTTAATACACATACAACACGAATGCAAAAAAATGCATCCAACACATAACCCAACGCGAACAACACAATTAATGCAACATTCCTGATCACAAGTTTCTAAAATTGTAGTATTCTGAGTAGAATTTTGCACATTTGTAGTGTTATTCCTCAATCTATAATATAGTATCACATCTATCGCAATATTGACGAGTATGATCCCCTCGAAAATTAACCACAAATATATATCGTTGATAAGGTTTAACTCTGCTGAGGTAAAATCACTCGGACTGACGGGACTTTCTCCAAAACTGATTGAAAAACCGAGAGACATTGCACACATGAGCAATCCGGTGGCAAAGATGGCCAAATGAAATCTTGCAAAGATCATGATAATTTCAGTCTTATTACAAATCCAGACCGATATTGGGATCCGCACCGACCAAAAGATGAGGATAAACCAGGCCAAAATATTCATAAAGATGTCTCCTGTCATTCCTATTGTGGCAATTGCGCAGATAATGATTCCCATGGAGATGAACATGACCAGAAGGGCGGGTAACTGCCATAGCAAAATTTTCAGGCGGTCCGTCGTCGTCCTAGTTGAGGGGGGCGAATTGATGATAAGACGTTCTCTATCATTGGAGGTTGCTATATCTCTAAAATTTAGTTACGAGTTAGGCTAGCAATTTGTAGAAAATCATTTTTCAATACGCTTACCAAGTTTTGAAATATGCAAAGATAATGTAAAAGTTACGAAATATATATATGTGGCATATTCCTGTAATTTTCTACACTCTTAGCAAAGTGGTAGTGAATCATCCCCTGCCGGAGTGCACATATTTATATGTGTATGTATGACTTCACCAGCACGGTAATAAAGAGCACTACTGTATACTAATAAAATAAAGTATGTATGTATTCGTTGTGTCAATGAAAATTTATCATCACTAAAGAAACTATTACCAATCTGGGAGGAAGTTATTCTGAAATTTATAACAGCACGGAGTGTATTTATATGTGACTTTACCACATTTTTAACAGTATAAATACTGATTACTGTCATGGATCTCATCCTCAGTTTGTGGAGTGGATGTTTGCGATTGATAGTATAATCAGTGTACGTGCAGTGATAACATTCCTTACGTATGCATACATACATATATCAATAATTGGCAATATTTGGATTAAGATTATCGATGTGCATTAAATACAATTTAGGTAAGTACAGAAACTCGGGTTTGTCTGGGCAGTAATGACGGCCAAAAGTATACCTGTGTATGTTTATATATCATCTAAAATATATAAAAAAAAGGTCGTCTTTATTGATTCCCAATTTTAGCCATTACATTTGAATTACAAGTGAACCAAACCTCACATAAGTGAGAAATAGATGGTCACAGGTTCCTAACTATGGTGCCCGTAGTGCAATGGACACCGCACAGACCTGTGCAACAAGTCAGAGAGGAAAACCACAAGGGAAAAAACTCTCTGCCAGTACTGGGAATTGAACCCAGAACCTCCATTCGGCTTGAAGCACAGTGTGATGACCACTCGGCCACCACTGCCTGCCATATATTCATATAAGTATGTACATATATACATATTTAGTAGTAATTAGAGGTGAAATGGATATCCATTTTATCCAATCCATTTGGAATCCAATCCAATCCATGGATATGGATTGGATTGATTTTTGGTTCTGGAAAAATTATGGATTGGATTGGACAATCGGAAATCTGGATTGGATTGGATGGATTTTCGGTTATGGAGAAATTATGAATGTTCACTGTGACTTTCTGTATAGAAATCATAACCAGGACGTTATGTCATACTAAATATTCTAAAATCTGTGTATTTATCTACGTATATTTTTAACTTAAAGCAGGCGGGTGTATTGCTGGTTTGGTCGGTAACATATTGGCATTTGAAAGGAGAGCCAAGTTCACTAATGTTGCATCTAGTTTTTGCCTGTCGATTGTCGGTCGTATAAACTAGTTCTGTTATATTAAAAATATAATGAAATTTAACAATAGGTGTGTATATCATGGTAGTATTTTCTTAAATATAGTTTTGCTGATTTTGTAAATATTATATCCATGTTTTTACACTGGATTATATTGGTTTAATTTAAACCTAGTGCTGGATAATATAGATTTTTTGTTTCTGGTTTGAATTGGATTGGATTTTTAATGGTTTGAAAGTTATGGATTGGATATTTTTTTACAAAATTCCGAATGGATTGGATAAATTCAAATGGATTTTGGATTGGATGGATTTTTCGTTTTGGTAATCCATTTCACCTCTAGTCGTAATGCGTAAAAATATATCTATTTCATTATTTAAAAATAAAGGATAGAGATTCATTAAAAACTTTATTTATTTCTTACATACATTGCTTAAAAACTCGTAAAATTGTAGATAACAAAAATAAAAAATGAAGCCATCTTGCCCAATTAAACTATTTCCAATTAATTAAACACATATCAAAAGTTAAAAGGTGTTGATTATTATAAAAATTTAAATATTTTATCAATTTATCTTATCGTTGAACTTAAAAAAGTAGTCATACATTACTATGTATGACTTCACACACACACATAAACACCTACTCAATGCATTAAATAAGTGCATGGAAAATCCTGGTTACACAAGAATGCAGGCTTTTTCCCACTAATATTAACCTAACCTAATCCCACATATGCAGCCACAAAACCATATTGTTTTACGTAACTCCACTTTATTAAGGTTCTCATGCGTGTCATCGTGCACCAGATTCTGACCGATTTACCTGGTAAAAGATTACCTACGTACGTACGTACGTCCGACTGCGAGACAAGATTTAAGGTCAATTTAAGGTCAATTTAATTCGCTTGTGTGAATTAACTTTAGCGTGCAATTATACTTCTCCAGGTAAAGTTTGTATTTTTCTCCGTATTCCACTATTTTTTGTGTGAATGCACACGCTCATTCAGGTCTTCTCCTCTTCTTTTGATAACATCTTGTTATTTTCCTCACCTGAAATGGGGATAAAAAGTTTGGGTAAAAAATTAATAACTGTCTTTAAGCCAAGGTTGGGATGAGAATAAGAGGAAGGGGAATTTTTGTTTGTTCGGTTTATTCGTTACTAGGCCGGACATAAGGAAGGCCTGGAGTTGAATTTAGTTAATTTTTAGGAGGTGTGTGATAAATTCCGGATACAGTTTTAGGAAATTTGACGGTTATTTTACGAGTAAATTTAAAATTAGGGAATTTAAGTCCACTAATATCTAATACTCCACTTACATATATTTATATCGGTCTTCATAACTAACCTATTTATGAAGTCTCACAATAGTGCATGAATTTGCAGTTTCATACATTTAGAAATTTTACGATTAATATGTTTCAAACTTCAGAATTTCCTAATTTTTCAGCATAATAATTTCTAAGTTTCATATTTAGAAATTAATTACTTCTATATTTAGATAACTCAAAATTCAACTAACTGCCCATGAGCTTAGTCAAAAATAGCTTCACTTCCAAATTTTCCGGAACTCTCATACAAACATAACGAGGTACATAAAATAAATATGTAAATAATTTTTCTTCTACTTTTTCAAAACCACATTGAAACCACAAAGCTTAATATCTAATGTTTATTCCAATTCATTCAGACCATCACACGCTCACATGGAACTTTTGTTACCACTTTTGTTACTCCAAATTTTACTCCTCATCCACACTTCAACCTCAGATCGGAGCAACGTCTCTATTAATTGCACCCCACGTCACGGCGATTGTTCCTTCTACTTGACATGCGTCGAGCACCACGTTCCGTGTGGGAGGTCGGGCTACGTGCGCCAATACGGGTACAAGTACTGCCAACGATTCCGGTTCCATGCACCCCTCTTTTCACGCCGTGGTCGAAAATGGCTATGGCAAGTGATGACCTGTCTCCAGGCGGAGTTGGCCGCCGCATTAAATCTTGACACGAATGACATCGTCCCATCTTCCTTCAATGATACGCAACCTACCTGCGCTTCAATTAAGGAAACGGCGTTTGAATCGCATACCAAATGTTATACGGAGGTAACGCCAAGCGTCTGTTTCCTAAACGGGATGGATATGCTCCTAATTTCCAAGATTATTAGACAAGATTTACTTGGGTATGATACGATGAAGGGAACAATCGAAGTGTTGGAAGTGTGCGAGCACCAGTGGACTAAGTTCCTCAGATTGTAAAGATGTACATACATACATATACATATGTATGAAAATGCAAAGTTGTTGTGGAAAATTTACCCAAGGTTGAGAAAAATAGAAGATGACACAAAATTGGGTAAAATTTGTCACAATTTTACAAAAAAATAAAATTATCCAATTGTTGTGTCATCGTCTATTTTACTCAACCTTGAAAAAATTATATGTAGGTTGTGGGAATCTACGTCAAGTGCATATAAAAATGCAGATTTGTGATAACTTTGAGATTAAAGTAAAGATAATATAAGATTTGAAAATATATATATTTAGGAACGATCGTCAGTAGTTAATAAACTTGCAACATAAACATGATAAGCATGTATTTAACTGCGCGTGTATACAAATAATATGCATATTTATATGTATGTACGCATATAAATACATACATACATTCAGATTGATAGTCTGTATTTTAATAAAAACTTGTTTCAATCATTTCACCCCTCCGGTTATTAGATCTTTTATAGTTTTACATATAATGCACACGTGTAAATACATACATATGCATAAGAATACGTAAAGGTATGTCGCCGACAGAAATAGTGTCGTTACAGCAAATATCGTTGCAACAAGATTTTGGTGATGATGAGGTATGGAGAATCAATTATAAATAAACACGCGCAAGGGAACAAAAAATGGTATATACAAGTTTTTTCTTAGGATTATGTCAGTAGTAGGTGATTATTAAATTGGATGATACGATACGTGATTCGCATACCCACACACATATATTTATGTATGCGTGTATCTGTCATAATTTCTTAGTAAATAAATTGGCCTATTCATAATTTCTTAGTAGGTAAATTGGATTATTTAGTTGGCGTGTGGATAAAGCTAAATATGTATATTCTCTATGCATCGGTACGTGCAGATACATACATATATATGCATAATGTATGTACATATGTATGTATATACATATATACATCTGTGCTTTCGGGGTACTTGCACAAATCATTATAGATTATCATTATTCATAATCAGGACTGACAGCGTTTTTTTAGTAGACTAGCAGTTTTATTTAAACATATTATCTAAATTTAGGTAAAGCTACGCAAATATGCAACTGATCCAAATTTTCACATATATTTCTGACTAAAACAATGTATTTATGTAGGTATCACGAGTGAACTTCTCAAAAGCAATTAATGAAGTGAAACAGGGAAAATTGTAACTTAATTATTTGGAAATTTGGAAGATGGTATCGAGATTTGAGTAACCCTTACAGGTATGAGGCTATTACATAAATATATTAAGACGCAGTCTACGTAAATGTCCAGGTATGAAACTTTTTACAACTCTTTACATCTGTATTCTGCCAGCTCATTCCTCTCCACACTCTTGACTTGACTTGATGTGAATGTGTGACAAGTTTTTTTTAAGTCCATGCATCCATCGTTTATCAAGGATTATAAATTACATACTTGAAGCAGGGTTTCGTTTTTCCCGTCCGAGACTAAACTTATTTTCCCAGGACGGGTGGGAAATATTGGAGAAAGTAATTTTTGCCGTACAAAACGGGAAAATATGTACGCACATGCACATGAGTTTGTTTATTGAGAAATTTAAGTTCTCTACTAATTATTGTTTTCGGAGTTTGACTGCATAGTATTAGTTATCTCCATGAAATTCTGATCATTTTGATATGTTATAGGAGGAACCTTAAACATTTTTGATTGTTTTTCCTGAATTTTTAAATTTTAAAAAACTTCGTTTAATTTTCTCAAAAAATTGCATACGAATGTTTTTAATTGCTCGAAGTTAACCGAGCTTGTACCAACTTTGTTTTCTCTAAATTTAATGGTTGTAAAAAATATAGATAAGAAAAATGTTTAGGTATCCGAAAACACATGTTTCTCCCGTTTTCCTAATTTCTGACCTATGTGTTTTAGACAGGTGGTAAAAAGTGCATTGTTTCGGCTCCCATGGTAAATTTGGATTTTCGGCCGAACGAAACTCTGACGAGAAAAGTTAAGCCGAAATCAATACGTTAAACTTAATAAAAAAAACACTCCGTCCGCTTGGGTATTTTTCGTGGAGAGTCTCCAGGACAAGTCATTCTCATCATTTTTTTTTACTTTCGCTACTCGAACACAACTTGAGATTGAAATATTTTGTGTTTGTACAGATACATATGGTTTCATTCACACATTCCTACATGGACTCACCTTTCCTCTGAACTTGAGATAGATTTGGCAAGTACATTTGATGCCCGAATGATTAAATAATTCAGAATAAGTATTAATATGACATTGCAAAAAGGCTTGTTTTATTTTTGCAAATGCAAGTCATTCTGTGCTTAGATTGATAAGTTAAGCTACCTCATGCAGTGACCCCAGGAGTTGCGGGGACATTAGAAGTGTAGGCCAGGGATGGGTGAGGTTGTAACATAGGCAGACTACATAGACCTAGAAAAAACCGAGGAAACGATGTCCTCAGGCTTCCGCGGCCGCGGAGTCCTTATTTAATGCTACATCCATATGAAATTCTCCAGCCACCAAATAATTCCATTAGCATTTGATTTTATTCATTCGTAACGTAAAAAATTACGTGAGCTGGACGTAATTGATTTGATTAAATCAGTCCGTCATTACCATCGCTTGTCTCCACATGTTCGGATTGAATCGCAATGTCCATTAAACACCTGCCCACCTTTCTTCTAATCTACACCGCCACAACGCAAGGAGATTTTCAAGTGAACCTCTTCACTCAACCGGGTTGCCAGGGGGATGCTAACAGGATACAAATCCCGCATGGAAATTTGAATCCTAATCCGTTCCAATGCACGGAAGTGGCGGGGGACAGGGGGAACTTTAACACGAGGTCGGTTTCCGTGGGGGGTAGTTCTGCCGGAAATTCCTGCACGGGTGGAGTAATCCTCTCCTCGCAACGCTACTGCGGCATGACCGGCACCCAATTCAACGTCCCCTGTTCCGGAGCGTGTGCAGATGTCAATTTATCCGTGGGGAGCATAATGACGCCAAATTCAAACTTAAGGCGGGCTTCTGACAGTACTACTCAACGGATATCTGCGCGACAAACTTTTTCTAGCACTGATAACAAACCAAGTTTTCACGTGAACTTATTTTCCCAACCGAACTGTGCCGGAAGGGCGAATCGGATTTCAATCCTGCAAGATTATGGAAATCCGAATAATTTTCAGTGCACCGAGGTGGCCGGAGATCGCGGGAATTTCGCCGCGAAATCGGTACAAATTGGATTTAACGGGGTGACCTGTCAAGATGTCACACTTTCTGATAGAACTTATTGCAGTGGGGGTAAAACTTATCGGATCCAGTGTGGAGATGGGTGTGCCAATGTCTACGTCACGGTGAGAAGTATACTGCTCACGAAGAATGTTGGTACGAATGCGCCTGCGCAAAGGGTTGCAACCACGCGTGCGCCACAGCAACTCTCCTTTTCGATGCAACAACGTGCCATGAATTTGGGCGTCGGGGATCCATCGCTGCTGGAGGTTAGTCTATTTTCCGCCCCAAACTGCGGCGGGACAGCGAATCACGTCTCTGTCCGGAGACATTGGGCAAATCCTAATAACTTTCAGTGCACCGAGGTGGCCGGGCAGAGAGGGAACTTTTACACGAGATCGGTGCAAACTGGGAGCTGTCAAGGATTTTCGGTGACCCTTCATCCCGCCACGCAGTGCACGAAAAGCAACAGTTTTCAGTTGGAGTGTGGAACCTGTGCTAATGTTGAGTTAAGCGTGAAGAGTATTTTGGTGGAGCGGGGACGGACCGGAAGTAGGCCGGCCGCAATAACTCCCCCACCGCCAGTTCGCCCGGGAAATGTGGATTTGCCGCCACGTAGCGAAGATTTGAGGAGCCCAAATGAACATTTCCCTCGCGACGAAAACGGAAACACCACTGGCAAGAATATCCTACGGCATCGTTTCCACATCTCGTACAATTCCTTTGCCCCAGACGGAGTGACGGTGCCCCATGTCCTCACCATCAACAACCATTTCCCTGGGCCCATCCTGTACGGGACGGTTGGCGACACGATGGAAGTGGTAGTCACGAACGGGATACAAGACGGGCAAAATGTGACCCTTCACTGGCACGGGATACATCAGAAGGGTACCCCATTCCAGGATGGGCCATCGTTCGTCACCCAATGTCCCATTCGGGCCGGTCGGAGTCAAACTTACCGATTCCCCCTCCGTCAATCGGGAACCTATTGGTACCACTCACACGTGGGGTCTCAGTACACGGAAGGATTATGGGGCGCCCTGGTAGTCCAGGGTCGGAGAAAGGTTTACAACTACGATGCTGAATTCACCATCACGCTGAATGACTGGTATCACACGTCCGCCAAGGAGAATGAGGAATGGTTCTTGACCAGTAGGTCGGGGGGTTTTCCACCTTATCCGTACTCCGCCTTGATGAACGGGTTGGGACAGTATGGTTGTGAATTTACGAGTAAACCCTGCTCACCAGAGAAACAGCAGAGGCCCGTGTTTCATTTGAATCCGGGAAGGATTTATCGCATCCGGCTGATAAATACGAGTGCCTGGACTTCCTTCAATTTCGCGATTGATGGGCATAAACTACTCCCTATTGAGGTGGACGGGGTGGATGTCAAGGTTGCCCAGGAGTTTTATGGGAGTGATGATCCCGATTCGGTTTTTATCGGTGGGTTTTAGTTTTTTAGAGGGTAGATTAATTTCATTTTCCATTCATACGTGTTCAAAAAATATTTATTCAAAGTTCATTCATTCAAAGCCTTGAAAACAATATTCATTCTTTATTCACTCATTCATAATTTGTCAAAAAAATATTCATTAATTATTCAACATTTATTCATTATTCATGTTATTCAAAATTCACAGTACCAAGATGAATTTCCCAACTTTCCCTATGTATGTATTAAGCATTGAGCTAAAAATGAATGATGAAAAAAATATTCATTCATTATTCACTCACACTAATTGAATAGATATTCACTCAGTATTCATTTCTTCAAAAATCAGAATAAAATATCCATTCAATATTAATTCAAATTTGAATGTTGAATGAATAATTTATTCATTCATCATTAATTGAATGAATGTGAAGATGTATGTTTCCATATGTGGGAATTTTAACTTTTTTGTTCTATCTAGGTCCAGGTCAACGGTATTCCTTCCTCCTAAAGAAAATCGGAGGTGGGAGCTACAATAAACACGTGATTCGCGCCATCCTCCGGGAAGATTTGATTGGCAGTCCGCCCCACAACATTAACGAAAATATTGCCTCCCTCAACCCGCTCGTGACCGGTCTAATCGTATACACAAACGATGAACGACACCGTGAAGTCACCATTGTGCCCATGGACGTGGAAAATTTCGACTACACTTCCTACATTGCAAGGCCCCTTATCCGGAACTATATTCAGTTGAATGACTCCCACCTGGTTCCCCACGATCGGAAGTCTGCCCCCCAAAGGACGGATAAGGAATATGTGGTCACCGTGGTGAGAACGACGGACGAGAATAATGTGCATCACGTTTCCTTTAACAATTCCGCCTTCTCCCTGCCACATGATAGGCCTCTGTTGATAAGCATGATGCGGAATGTGACCCTGCCAGCGAGCTCTTTCCCGCTTTACATAGAACACAACCAAGTGGTCCAGTTGGTCGTGAATAATCCTTCATTTGGAGTGCATCCTATGCATCTTCACGGCCATACGTTTTGGGTTATGGGGGCGGGTAGGTTAAAAATAATAATGGGCGTACTCACGACAACGTCTTATTTCGCATCGTAACTCATTTAGCAAACTTGCGAAGATCAAAATATTTCTTTCGTGAGGGGATTCGCAAAATATGACTTCACAAATCTCGCAAATCTACTAAAAACACCTATTTTGATTCCATGGATTTCTGTAATTTCTCTAGCTGGTGTTGGCGAGGATGAATTTGCGAAATTAGAACATGCTCAATTTCTGGGTAAATTTGCGAAAAAAATCCCATGGTTTTCCAGCAAAATTTTTGGGAAATCTCGCATATCTCGTAAAACTTCGCAAGTTATGTTGGTATGCCCAACATACATATGCGAGATATGCAAAGGTTGACTTGAGTACGCTCAATAAGAAAGTTCCCGAAAATTTTCACATGTTATTTTCTTTGCTTTTTTTACTCAGGAGAACCAGGGGAAGGTGACTACTCCCCGGAACGACATAGGCTCAACCGGAACGGCCTGAGAAGGGATACCGTGATGGTGCAAGAGTGGAGTTGGTTGGTAATCAAATTCATAGCGGATAACCCAGGCGTGTGGGCATTCCATTGTCACATTGATTGGCATAATTTGGCCGGAATGGCGCTCACATTTGTGGAAGCCCCGGATGTGGCTAGAGCCAAGCTAAGAGTGCCGGCAGAAACGAGGAAGGTTTGTAAGCAACATGGGATTATAATTTGAATTGACCCGGTCATTGGTCTCGTGCTACTTTGGGCTACAATTCTACATATGTAGTTATGTATACCTTAGAATTTGCACTGGAAATTAATCAGACGGTGGTTTCGCTAAGGTTTACTTTATTGCGGGTTCATACTATAAATTGAATCCTCCTTTGTTATATAACTGATTGAATAAAATGATTACTTTATACGTTGAGAGATAAATATGTTATATTTCTAAAATAAATTGTTGTAACGTTAGAAATAGCTCGCCCTGGGAAAATAATTTGAGTATACATATGTAACTTATTCTGAGCAAAGGTGCAGCACCAATGGTGCAGTGTAATCGGCCACAATTGATGCATAATGTTCATATAATTTTGCACCAATGGTGGTCATCGCATTGTTAGTAATTTCTTCGTTGTTAGGTATTTGCCTAACAAACAAAAATATGTAATTTTTTTGTATGCACTTTGGGTAAAGCTATTCAAATATTCAGCTAATCTAAATTTTCACAATATAAGACTAAAACATATTTATGTACACAAGTGTCATCACGTGAACTTCTCAACAAAAATTAATGAACTGGAACGGGGAAAATTGTAGGTAATTCTTCGAAGAATTTTATTATTTTCCAGCAACCAGTATACATATAAGGCCATTTGGTAAATTATAGCAATTCGTGAGTTGCATACATTTACATATGTACATATCAACATAATGACACAAGAATATTATCAATCAATCAGTGTACATACGTAACGATACTCGATAAGAAAGCACCGCACCATTATGCTTTTCCCAAACAATTGTCCAAACCTTTATACGTATATCCTGACTTTTCAACATAAGCTGCGATCCTAGGCAAAGAAAATACAGCGTTCTTGAATTTCTGTAAGTTAGGATATCCTTCCAAAACGGTGGGATTAATGTCGTCCTCGAGTGTTTGGAGCTTATCGGCCACATCGATATCCGCCCAAGTCAGCTTCTTACCGACTAAATAATCTCCATCATTTTTCTCCTTGATCGACTCCAACTTCTGTAAACAATTTGGCATCAGTTCCGCGATGAATTTGGCTTTACGCTCAGCTTTCCTGGCTTCGTCCGTCTCGTTAAATCGAAATCCAACCCACTCTAAAAACATGTTGCATGAAAATGTAAAACTTTGAGAAATTACACTTTTAGAAATACACTGAAGTTAGAAGTACACGTTAGAAATCTGATGTAGCCCGGCAAGTATTGATTTCTCGGTATTAAAGTTGCTACCTCTTGGTATTAAAATGCCAGTACAATTTGTGACTGGTAATACTTTAGTACCGAGCTGTTACTACACAGTATTACTTTTCAATACCACCTTGGTTGAGTCATAGATGGATACCGTTTGTTATAATATTATTTAATTTTTTTTATTATTTAATAATACCAACCGGATAATAATACAGGATTTCTAAGGGGTCATCTTACCATTAATCAAATCGTTAGTCGCATCAACATATTCGTCGCATTTTGCCGACTCCCAAGCATTTTCGCCACAAAGGTTGAACGTACGGCCGAGAAATCGCGAAATTGAGGAGCTCTGTGTAAGCTGTTTTCCATCAACTTCCAAGATTGGAAGTTGGCCCCAAGGTGTGGCGGAAGGCATGGATTTAAAAATATTTTAAATAAATACGTACAAATTTTTTATTGAGGATGAAATTAAGGATTTTATTTAATTAAATTTCTAAATACATTTTTAGAAATCAAATATTAAAATAATATCAAGTGCTGGCAAGTAACAAATATTTAGCTCGCGGTATTAAATATTTACCATATTCCGTAGGAAATTTTTACTGACCGGTATAATTTTAATACCAGGCTGGAGCAACTTTAATATCGGGAAATAAATACCTGCCTGACTATACCGGAATTCTAACAGTGCATACACAATAAAAATAAAAATACGTACATTTTTTGTATTCAGGCCAAGACTCAGGTTTAATAATGACGTCTTCGTAGCTCACATCCGCAACAGAAAAAATCATGCGGAATGCTTCAGCTCGCCCTATCACGTTGAAATATATTATTTTGTATTGCACCATTTGTGAGAACTTAAAAAACTTTGAAATTTCTGTACAACTTCCCGATGGAAGGAAGGGTCAAGAAAGAGTGAAAATCGTTTGCTGCAGACAGTGTATTTATGTATGTGCACATGTGCATGTTTTCATAGACATATGTATGTATTGCTATCTGTACATAGCATATCGTACGTGTTCATTACATAACTGCATTGAAAATCTGCATGTATGCATTTATATAACTCTTACCCAAGGTTAGTTCCATCTAGTAAGTTGCATGAATCCCTCATCTGATACAGCCTGACGTTCTTAAACTGTTGCAAAACAATTGGAGGGGATGACAAATATGAATTTGAGATTAAAAATGCGTATGGTGCATATTTAAATATTATAAATCTGTTTGTTAATACGTTATAAATTATGTAACATTTATATAATTTGTTGTCTGTAATCGAAATCAAACATGTTGATTGAAACGTTTTCACTTCCCATGAATACGTTTACGTTATTATGGTGCATACTTATATACATCAAGTTTGTAACAGAATTTTCATCTCGTGTATGTACGTATTACATATTTGGTTTTACTGCGTTGCTAAAGATATGCCACCGAAAGATTTAAAAAATAGAAAAGATTCAAAGATCGCAAGAAATTTGTGTTAAGCAGCATTAATTAATTTAACATCGCACTTACGTATTTTGAATAGTACGTTTATTCAGAATTTGCAACACGAGCATGCTAAAAAATGCGTGTACATAATCAATACAGTTTTGTAGCAAGTAAAAAATTGTGATAGATTTGTATGTATGTACATACGTACATAATAAATTCGACGTCAATCTCACTCCTCAACTGAACTAAAAGTTTTTAAAAGTAAGACATATCGTTCAATTGTTTGCAAATATGCGTCTTCAGAAATAAACTCGTTATGACCATGAACGCCACCACCACCCGCTCCTCCCATTCCGTACACGGTGATCCCTTCATTCCTGAAATATCGTCCATCCGTAACTGCGGCGAGATTAATTGGGGTACAGGTCGCATTCCTGTATATTATGCAGAAGAAGAAAATTATCAATCCTCAAGTTACAACTAAAAAACGTACACTCTTGGAAATGCAGTATTAAAATAATACCAAGCGGTATTCATATACATGTAACTCTACCAAAGTGGTATTGAATCAATATTGATAGATTATACCATGTAGTAATAGCTCCGTATTAAAGTTTTATCATATTGGTAACAAATTTTTAGGGTATAATTTCAATACCAAGCGGTAGTAACTTTAAAACCGAGATATCAATACGTGCCTGACTAGATGTATCAGTTTGCTAAGGTTGGATAATTATTTAAACGAACTTACAGCTTCTTACACATCTTTGATGCAGCGACCCACCAAATGTTTGAGTTATCGTTAACAATCGATTTTGAGAATTCGTCATCCTTTTGTAAAAATTGGATGCTCGTGTCGTTGCCTGACTCTGCCGCAACGCTTCGAAGAAATGTTTCCGTACTGGGCAACATTCCAGAATTGAGACGCAGGTCAAATATTGCCCATAACTCGTCAGGAATTACGTTGGTTGCAAGTCCACCCTGAAATTACTATTTCTTATTAATAATGGATATCTCCCAGCGTATTCTTTACGATTTTTAGAAACTAAATAGTGTCAATCGATCACAAATTTAATTAATATGATATTTGCGAAAGGAAATCTGCCAATTGATTAGGTTTGAGGAATATATTTGCATCCAAAGAGGAGAAAACGTTTGGAAAGCGTGCATAAAATTTGTCAACTTCAAGGCACGATGTTTCTTCTTTGGATGCAAATATCTACGCCAAATCTAAGCCATTACTTTGCAGATTTCCGTGTTCAAATGTCATATTAATTAAATTTCTGATCGATTGACACTAGTTTCTAAGAATCTTTCCACACATATATACATATGCTGGGAGACCTCTATTTTCAGTCAATGATACACAAATAACTTTACGTAAACCTAGTACAATCTCTTACACCAATCTGGACCAAATTAACGGAGCTGGTCTCATTAGAATTTAATCCAAACTGAGATGCACGAAAGGCCATCATTTTATTCAGCACAAACGTCAATTTTTCTCCAGTGGTTGATCGAGGCATCGCCGCGGTGTGGGTTGACGGTCCACGTACAATAAATTTAACCTCTGCATTTAATATATGTCATTGATAAACAATTTTAATGGAACCTATCAAATAATAAAATTTGACCCCTACGCCAACGCGTTTTCTGCACGTATGATATAAATATTTTATCCTTTGATCCACCTGGACCTTCGTCTAAGGCGAAGCCAACATTTAACCGGGCGAAAGAACCAGACTTGATAAAACCTTTGACGCCACGATTAAACAGCTCTTCGTCTAATAATGGAACAATAAAAAGTATGTAATTATGTATCTTTTTTGGCGCATTATGATGATCATTTAACATAAACTTGAGAATGTCCATATATGTTTTGCGTCATCAAAAAGCGCTGATTTGTATACAAAGTTTGTATTACAAACCACCAACCCATTCCCTATCCTACGCATGATAAGCTTAAACAGAGTGAGACAGGGGACGCAAGATCACCCACCCACCTTTTTATGACGTAACATATGAACGTTCCGTCTAGTTTTGTAACCTGGGAAAATTGCGACGTGAATGGAACGTCGTGGCACATAACCGGCCTTTTTTAGTGACCTGATTGCTTCCAGAGTCGCGACCGTTGTGGGTTTCATGTCTGATGCACCCCTCGCAAATATTCGGCCGTTTTCATCTTTATACGCAGAAAAAGGGGGATGGACCCACTTCGGCTGAATGCACATGTTCGTATTGAAAATATACATATTTATGTCGTAATAATTTCCATTTTTACCGGATCTACTGCCACGGTGTCCATGTGTGAATCAAATATGATTGATTTTAATCCAGGGTATCTTCCCAGCCATGTAAGCCACATGGCGAAAGATCCATTTTGTTTGAATTTGTCATATTCCTCGTAATTAAAAACAAGCCCGATATCATCTGCCTGACGGTGTAACCATTCTATGCATGCCTCTGTTTTAAAACCGGTTTTTGTATTAAAATTAGTACGCCTTTGAACCAGGGAGTATTAAAAAACTCACCGTAATTTGGTGTCGGGTGTGACGACTCGGTTCGTAGATATTCCCGGAGTCTTGCTACTTCTGGAGAATCCTTGGTTCCTAAATATTCCGAACTTGACCAAAAAACTTGTCCGAGAATAAATGCAAATTTCAAAATTGTGGACAAATCCATTTAATAAATTGAAACGAATGTGTCCAAGACAAGTGGTGAAATAGGTATCAGTATAATTTACAGAATATTTACTTGATGAGAACTTAATGACAATTTTATCTTCGTGTAGCAATGCACGTTTAGATTTCGTATTTAACAGGGATTTCCATTCTCTAGTAATATGTATCTATTAAGCATCATTATCTGGAACTATTCATGTATAGTAGAAATTGTCATGAATAGACAAGCAATTTACTCGTTTAATATTGTCAAAAGTTAAAAAGGTGCCTGAATAGAATTTACGCTTTTACAGATATTTAAACACAAACAACTACATACATACTTATTTGGGGGATACCAGAATGCAGCCATGAATATGTGTATATATGTATTTATTTAATTGCACGCCAGAATTACGAGTTTTTTAGTATACACATGCGTCACTGACCGTCCTGAATAATCGAAAATATTAAAAAATGAATGTGTTTTCAAGCAACATACATGAGTCTGCATTTCGCTTGGCTAACAAGATTGTGACTAATCCATGTACATACTTAAGTTTATGGGTACATCCATATCATATGGACCATATGTACATATGTAGAAGGGTGGTTTAAATGTCACGCTACATATGTACATATGTATGTACAATGGAAAATTTTCCATTGGGTAGAATTCGTAAATTTCCAATAGAGAATTTTGTCATCAATTTTGATATTAGGGTTGAATAATAAAAAAAATCCTCGCAACTAATTGAGATGTATGAGATTCTTCCCTTGCAAAATTTGTCGTTGTAGCGTGACACTGCACATATTTATGTACACGCAGACAGATATTTATGTATATAACTTCCCCTTTTATCCAATCTATACAGCATCATAGATTTATACATAGTTTTTGCGTAATACGAATAAATAAGTGTGTATGTTAGGTTTGCGAATATCTGTAAACTTGAACCATTCAAGTTGAATGTATGATCTTGAATAATTAACTTTGTTCAATGCGAAGTTAGTTAAAATCTACCCTTTCAAAGTAAAACTCTCTTGCCGCTACTTTTTAGTTTATTAGGACCAATACCTTCCTGGGAATGAATGCAATACATGGTTTACTTTAGTTACATGGATACGGATTCTGTAGAATATGCCAATCGCCTAACCGGTGAGAGATATTCACTGCAAAAAACTGATCAGGCCAGTCGCAGTTCCGTCGCTTATTTAATTAAACCAAATGCAAGGAAACCAATGAAAATAACGATGACTTTTAATTGTCAATTAAGCTAGAGACAGTGACCATTATGAATTTTGGGCCGGCAAGGGCCCGCAAATTCATAGTTCCGGCACTGCACCTGCGTTTCGCAACGAGGATAGAGTGCAGCAGACGAACTCTTCCAATTAAACACCTTTTAAATATTTCCTTCTCTCTTGAATAATTTCAAACTAGAGAAATAATCACGCCTTACAGTATTTACTGTGTGGGTGCTCAGGAAGGAAGACAAAAGAGAACTCAAAAAATATACGTTTCCTCGAGCACGTACGCAAAAAAACAATGCACTAAAAAATATCAACTAGATAGGTGCTCCTGTAATATTTGTTCATCAAAACGGGGCAATAAAATATTCTCATAAAATGTAACAAATATGTATCTACACTCTAAGGAATTTTACATATCATCGGATTGTTTGTTACCGACCGCTGGCCTTATTTGACTCTACCCGTAAGCCAGTAGGGGTGAAAATGTTTATAGTTTATTTTTTGCGTATTTTTGTTCTTTGTTTACTCTGTATTTAGGAAATAAACAAAACAAACCGAAACACAATTGTAGTGAACAGAAGAAAAACCCAGTTGTCAAAAATATAATAAACTTTATTTTTTTAATGAAAAATCTCATAGCATTTTGGGCCAAAAGTAAAATAAAAGTAAAATATTAATTTTTCAAATTTGCTCATTGCTCTTGTTTTAAAATTTGTTATCGAGGAATGTTCTATTTAAGTGTAGTTTTAATTCTTAAATAAAATCAGTAATCACTTTGTGCACACATAAAAATACCTGTCCAAAAATGAAGTTTTCATTCAAAAGTATATAAGTCATCTCGACTGTTAACTGAAGATTTTCATTCACATTCAGACATTTTCGTTCAAATGCATTCCATTTCATTTCACCTGTTATGTATATATGATTATACATAAATAAGTGGTACACAGTGAGAGGAGACAGAGGAGAGTATTTATTAGTGGAGAGTTAAAGATGGAGTGAGTACAGATTCATAACTAATTACATATACATATCTACGCAGGCATACATATACCTAACACACCTCATCGGATTTCATTTCTTACTTTGCCTAATTGGTTAAACATACGGTGAAAAATGAAAGAGTACAAAATTCTTTCATTCACAGTCACTTATCTGAAATGACCGAAGCTTTCACTCATTTTCAATCAAATCGCAGATTCATTTTTTTTCATTCACTCTCATTCACCATCATAATCAGTCAAATGAATGAAAATGAACAGGTATGTCACCAACGCAGTTAAAACCACAAGTTAGAATCAAATCTATCACGGAAATTTTTAGAGTGTACCTAGACACACCAACTATTTGGTTGATGTAATTTAAAAGTTGATGAATGAATTGATAATTTAGATAACAACCACAATTCCGCTAAATTTTTAATTTGTTCCATTTCAGCTGAAAATAGCGAGCCATACTTCCATAGTCACTTCTTGAAGTAGCCAATATGTTCTCCAAACTAGCTTTTGGTGCACTTTCAAATTTTTTTCTCACCTTAAAGAAATTACACTTTGTCCCCCCGAATACTTGGAACCCAGGGAAACAAAAACTCGAAATGGATCCAAATCCAAATAAAATCCGATGGATTTTTTCAAATTTAATTGTTCTCCTGACTTGGATTATACTTCAGATTTATACACTTTCAGTGAAAAGTGACACTCTGAATTCGGCCAAAATTATATTCCTAACTCTGGAACTTTTCATAGGAATTCACTCCGTCCCATTATTTTTAAAGGCGTGCACGGACGGAGAAGAACTTTCTGCGGCGATGAATTCTTACATAAAAGTGGAAAAATATTTAAGAGGTGACATAATATTTAACAGATCAAAATGTAATACTCCGGACCACGATGGCTTTGGTTTTGGTATCTTAGAATGGTCGAGTTATAAATCTACAAAAATTTACAATTTACAAATTAACAAATACAAAATTATTCTAGGAATAATTTCCTAAACGATTTTCAACGCGAAATAAAATTTTAACGTGCTTTCCATTATTTTTTACAGAAAACCAGATCTTTCCCATGCCAAGCACCGATCCTATCTGGTATCGTGACCTGTGGGGCATAATATTTAATGGGCTGGCCATCGGCATATTTTCATTCTTCTTCACGGCACCAATCCTTTTCGTGATTTCGGACGTGGATCCTATCTCCTTTATTCTCCCGTATACACCATTCAGATCATAACTATTCACATTCGTTCATTTAAGAGAGAACAAATAAATTATTCATTAATTCAATAAATTCATGAATAGTGACATTTTTTTCAAAATGTTCTAAGGAATGAATCTTAAAGAAATACTTATTCGTTTCATGAAGAATGAATGAATAATTTTGTTCGTTATTCATTTTCTACCTTATGCTTAACACATGGGGTATCCTGAAAAATAACGTGAATTTGAGATGAAACGAGTAAAAAATGAGTAATGAATAAATATGTATTTCCAAATTTTGAATCAATTACAAAATTCTTATTCCTCCTTCCTACTTAAATTGAATGACTTTTATATGAAGAAATATTCTTTATTGAACAGCTATCAAGTACACGGGGTCGCCGTCACATTAACTCATTTTTTAATGAGGGTACTCTTGTTCACTTTGGCGCTGGCAGAAATTGTGTCTACCATGGGAGCAGCTCACTTCACCTTGGTCATGTTAATGTTGTACTCGAAAACTTGCATTAACCATCTCAAGTTTTACAGGCAACCCAAAGTGCAGGAACCAAAAGTACAGAAACCTGTCGACCAACGGTTTCGAAGTGAAACTCAAAAACAGCTTTCAAACAAGGAAGTTAATAAACTTATTGGTTTGTCCGACCTCGACATGTATGTCGTTCTGATGGTGCAATTTCGCCTGGTTCGAGGGTATGTCGACACATCGACCGCGTTTATAATGGGGTCTGGATTTGCCATGCTGATAACGCTGAATTACGTGGTGATTATGCTCTTTGGAAAAATCCCGTTGCCTTTGTACCTCGTCATATTGTTGTTGGCCATCCTGTGCCCGTGGTTCGTGATTTGTGAACTCCTGAGGCGGGAAAGAGTCATGCGTATTCGGTAAAATTGTTGAAATATTGGAGGGGAAGTTCTGCAGGGAAAAGAACGCCGTGGGGGAGGAGGAAAGTGGGATCGCTGCGTCCAGTTGGTTTCTGGGTGGGGCCCTTCATTCTCATAAAACAAGAAACTTTCTCCATCTTTTTGGATATGGTGCTTAAAAATACGGTTAACGCGATATTATTGCTGTAAAAGAAGAAAGTGAAATTATCTCTTTAATGCACATATGTGCATTAAAGACAGTGCACATATGTACCGTTCGCCAGACGCAATAGTGGAAAATGTTCTGGGGCTCGATTTGATGTAATTTGTTATATTTACGTATTGTACAATATATTGTACACTTACCAATTTGCTTTTCACTCTCCGATCCCTGTAGCAATTTTCTATTTGAAATGAAAAGTTGACTTGTACGCTATAGCCTAAATTAATGCAGGGATGATAATGAGAATACGTATACTATGTATGGAAATTATTTTAATTTTCGCTGATTCCATAGCGAAATTTTTTTTCGTGATGTTGTATTATGTATTGTTATGTGTTGTTATTTATACCTTACTCAGAATTAAAATCGGCAAAACAACTGCAAGCACATGTACAAAATTTTATTAAAAATAGTTGGACAAAACAGTTTTACATATTCCCAAATATTTTCAAGTCTGAAGTAAATATCAAAACGTTTTTTGATGCTGATGATGTAAATATTGGCGTTAGAATGTTTCCTCGTAACGAGTAGTTTTGAAATCGCTTGAAACAGGAGTTGTTGAGATAAATGATTTCAGATCATAATCGCTTTGAGTACATTTAAGAACTGATTTATTAAAAAGCAAATCTTGTTATATTATTAAGACATGTTCCAACTAGATTAGTCAAATGAATTCTTATCCACCCACCATTATGTGTGGTCAATTATTTGTGCAATAAGCATATACATACATGCATGAAATGAACTCCTAATAAGATGATTGAACTTATAGTTATTTACAACAGGAGTGTTCAGCCTGTACATATGCAAACAAATTTTGGGCATGTTTCGCATCTGAATGTCGTGATGTACGTTTTATTCCCTAATAAAAAAGGTAATAGTTCTACAATACCCGGGATCATTTTTTACAACCTTATAAAAATTTGTGTATTTAAGTTTTATGTACATATGTGCTTAGTTTATCCACAAATTTCTGTAACAAGCCATCTGCCCATTAACCTTTTAAATACATATCTCTGCGTTACAAGTTAACTATTTATTGCGATGTGTCTTTCATTTTTATGTGAATATTTTCTTTTTACTTAAATTTAGAGGTGATTAGTTGATCTAACTGTACAGAAATTAGTATAAAAACATAAACTTACTCAATTATATTTGTCCATAATGGAAGCTGTAAGAACAATTTACATACATATGTACTAATACATTGCCATATACACCAACATATGCACACAGTATATGTACACAGAACAGAAGTATTCGTATCTAGAAATGTACGTAATGACAAGTACACACCATTAATCCTCACTTTAATTAAGTAAATTGACTAATACATATAACCATGATATATATTTTCTTGTATGCAGATTTCCAGAGAATAATACTGTGTCACTTGCCAATTGTAATAAAACCAGTAATATTGCTTCATTTGAATTCGCACTATCCAGCATATCACCGTAAACTGCATATTTATTACCCGTCATGTTGGCCAAATACGATATCTCCATGATTACGATTATTCTATCCACCCTACAATTCCATATGGTTACTAGTCTTATCGTCAGTAAAAATCCGGATGACATTCATTTTTATTTGTACTCAAGCAAAAGGTAAAACACATACATTTTTCGATTTAAATATCTTGTTTCTTACGTGACAGGCCAGGTACTCAAGTGACGTGCAACAACACATTAGAAGCGCACTCTAAGAAATCCAGTATTAAAATAATACCAAGCGGTATTTATATATGACTCAACCAAAATAGTACTGATAGGTGATACCGTGTATGTACTAATATGTATTCGGTATTAAAATTTTACCATTTTGGTAGTTTTTTGGACCAGTATAATTTTAATACCAAACGGTAGAAAATTTAATACTGATTCCGACAAAACTATACGAGATTTCTTACAGTGTGGCATAACATTACATGACGTATATAATTTATTAACGTTCTCTAATCTGAATCTTAATTGACAGCAATCCCACCGAAAGCGTTGAGCTCATCTACGATAAGGTTGCATCTGTCCCACCCGGGTTTTCTCCGGAAGGACCGACACGTTTTATAATCCATGGATTCAGTGGAAACTCCACCTACAGCTCGGGCGGGGGAGGAATTGCGCCAGATTTTTTGAAAAATGGTAACAAAATTTAGCAACACAAATTTAATACTCAAACTTTAAAGACGTTAAATAAATTAAGTTTTGGGTTGCCTCTTTTTTACCACTGTATGTATAATGTATGCCAATATACCTTCAGCAACTTTTATTTGTTAGCTTATTTAGCCTCAAATGAGCCCGGGAACACAATTTTGGTTGACTGGGGACTCCTCTCAACGCCAAGAGGAAGAGATGCTATAATTCTTAGATATCCAATAGTTGCCTTGCACATTCCCATTGTTGCGAAACGAATCGCGCAATTCATTACGAATTATTGTCAAGAAGGTTTAATTGATCCTGAGAATGTCCACTTAATTGGGCAATCCCTTGGAGCACTTGGAGTGGTCGGTGAGGCGGGAACAGAAACTAGGAAATTAAGCGGGATCCCTGTAGCGAGGATAACGGGTATGTACATATTTAAGTTAAATACATACTTACAGTGTGTTAAATAATTTAACACACTGTTAGAAACATAGGGCGGATATGTATGTACTTAAATCCCTCAAAATATGTATGTAATATGTGCTTAAAAATCTCGAAAATATGCATATGAAAAATGTTTTTCATATGAAATTTCCTACTTTATATATATTTTATATTTGAGAAGATTCTAATTTTTGACACTCTTTTTAGTGAATTATGTCAGAATCCACTCTAATAAAGCGTTAGTGTTAAGTCGCTGACTGAGTCCCTCTCAATGCAAGTTGCCCCGTAGAAGAGACAAAGAGGAAAGCTGAGCAACCACTGCATGCATGAATTTTCTGCATGAGTCTCACTTCGCCTGCACGTGACTTTCACGTACGTACACTTGCCATCAAACTCAAATTAAATGTTTTAATATATAAACACAGGTGCAAGTATTACTTGCACACTCAATTTAAAATTGAGTGTGCTCACATCACTCATCAATAGTGGTTATCATGATAAGTGATCTTGATAAACACTATTAATTAATTATTTTAGTTTGAGACACTCCACCTGCAACGACTGGAATATCAATTCGAATGTATTTTTGACGCTAAATCCAACGCCGTTAATGGTTTTGACCTCCGAGGCCCGTGTGACCTTCCCGTGACCGTGGGGGGTAAATATGGCTTATTCGTGATGTCGCATATCAATTCGAATGTATTTTTGACGCTAAATCCAACGCCGTTAATGGTTTTGACCTCCGAGGCCCGTGTGACCTTCCCGTGACCGTGGGGGGTAAATATGGCTTATTCGTGATGTCGCATATCAATTCGAATGTATTTTTGACGCTAAATCCAACGCCGTTAATGGTTTTGACCTCCGAGGCCCGCGTGACCTTCCCGTGACCGTGGGGGGTAAATATGGCTTATTCGTGATGTCGCATATCAATTCGAATGTATTTTTGACGCTGAATCCGAATCCGTCAATAGCTTGGCGTTAATTGTAGAAGTTAACGGGGTTTATGGAACTTAACGGGAGCGTGAAGCGTGGGAATTTAAATAGTTAGCTATGCAGTTACTCCCACGCGACGGGAATTTAAGTAATTAGCTATTCAACTACTCCCACAGGGGGAAATCAAATTGTACTGTGACCAGATTAATTAAAATGCAGCATGACTTGGGCAAACCCTCACTCTGATGTATGCATGTGGTATGACAAAGTCTCCAGTGGAAATTATTTAAAGTATAGCATGACGAATTTTTCGCTTTGGGCACACCCCCCACTGGAACCCTAGAACCCGGCCTTGGCCGGGCTATACGCTAGTTACAATTAAATCGTCATTTAATGAATAATAATGCGAAGCCAGTTCCATTTCGAGATTTTCAAGTGTAATTTTTGGCTTGAAAAATGCGGAAAATTGGACTTGCACATCGTTCACAGGAATTGACAACTGATTATCATGACAATGAAATTTTGAGAAATTCTTAATTTCTTAATGAAGAAAAATATTTTTGCATAAAAAAACTCGAAATATAAATTAAAATATTTATATTTACCAAAAGACTCGAAATATGTTTGGAAATATATGCATATATATATAGGAAAAAAGTTTGAAATATGTATGAAAATATGTATATGTACGAAAACCCTAAAATATGTAAAATATGTAAAACTATGTTTGAATTTTTGGGATCGTACTTAGATGGGATGTTAGTAGACGAAGTTTAAGTACGATCTGGTTTGGTATGAAAAAGTTAGAAATACATACATATCCGCCCTCTGGTTAGAAATCTGGTATAGTCAGGGGGACATGTTTATTTCTCGATATTTTAACTGCTACTGCTTGGTATTAAAATTATACCTGTCCGTAAAAATTTTCTACCGATATGGTAAACCTTTAACACCGAGCTATTACTACACGGTATTATGTACTGATCGTATTGATACCACTTTGGTTAAATCATATATGGATATTGCCTGCTATTATCTGAATACGGAATTTCTAAGGTGAGCAGTAATAAACGATTTCAACATTTCAGGACTTGATCCTGCCGGACCGTTATTTGATCCTCCCGCACTGGCCATAAAACCCGGGCTGTCTTTGAAGGACGCCCTTTTTGTAGATGTAATCCACACAAATTTAGGAGGGTTAGGTGGAACTGCGACATACGGACATTTGGATTTTTATCGTTAGTTACTCTTACTCACTTAAGAAATGGGTTTTTAAACATGACTTCCTATGACATATACAAAAACTTATAGCGAATGGGGGTTCAAAACAACCCGGATGCGTGGATTCATGCCCGGGTGGAGTTAGCGGGTGTGCTCACGGGTATTCCTATCAATTGATGGCAGCATCTATTTCAAGGCCGTTCAGGTCGTGCCAGTGTACCCGAGCAGAGATGGGTGACACGTGTTTAAACAGTTGCAAAAATCCGACCTACATGGGTCAGTTCTGCCCACCTGCGTAAGTCCACTAGTGAGAAGAAATTCTGAATAAATATGTAAAAACCGGGTATTTAGAATATTTATGTATATAAATTGTGGGTTAGGGCCCGAGGGCAGTTTTACGTGAGGACGGATTCACTACCCGCCACTTGCAAAAGCAACATCAACTAATATGCAATTGATCTAATTTCTCAGTTAGTGGTCTTGAGACAAGTGAATTATGTAACGACTAACCTATGCATGACATGAATATGTATATAGCTCTTGTCGTAAATGTCCAGATCTTACTACTAATTGAAAAATAATATGCTCGTATCAATCGATAATATCGGTCTGATTGGTCTGACTGAACTCAATATCGTTTCATAATACGTCGATTTTGTGATTTGCCGACTTCTTATAAACTGAAATAATCCTGCAAAAAGCGAGAATGGCCAGCATATCGAGCAAGGAGAGAATGCCGAGAATGCCGAGAATGCCGAGAATGCCGAGAATGGTGAGAATGCCGAGAATGCCGAGAATGGTGAGAATGCCGAGAATGCCGAGACTGGTGAGAATGCCGAGAATGGTGACAATGTCGAGAAGGAAGAGAATGCCGAGAATGGTGAGAATGCCGAGAATGGTGAAAATGCCGAGAATGCCGAGACTGGTGAGAATGCCGAGAATGGTGACAATGTCGAGAAGGAAGAGAATGCCGAGAATGGTGAGAATGCCGAGAATGGTGAAAATGCCGAGAATGATGAGAATGACGAGAATGCCGAGAATGGTGAGAATGCCGAGAATGGTGAGAATGGTGAGAATGCCGAGAATGCCGAGAATGGTGAGAATGCCGAGAATGGTGAGAATGGTGAGAATGTCGAGAATGCCGAGTATGGTGAGAATGCCGAGAATGGTGAGAATGGTGAGAATGGTGAGAATGTCGAGAATGGTGAGAATGTCGAGAATGCCGAGAATGGTGAGAATGCCGAGAATGTCGAGAATGCCGAGAATGGTGAGAATGCCGAGAATGTCGAGAATGGTGAGAATGTCGAGAATGCCGAGAATGGTGAGAATGGTGAGAATGTCGAGAATGCCGAGAATGGTGAGAATGCCGAGAATGCCGAGAATGCCGAGAATGGTGAGAATGCCGAGAATGGTGAAAATGTCGAGAATGAAGAGAATACCGGGAATGGTGAGAATGTCGAGAATGCCGAGAATGGTGAAAATGATGAGAATGGTGACAATGTAGAGAATGAAGAGAATGCCGAGAATGGTGAGAATGCCGAGAATGGTGAGAATGGTGAGAATGTCGAGAATGCCGAGAATGCCGAGAATGACGAGAATGGTGAAAATGGTGAGAATGCCGAGAATGCCGAGAATGGTGAGAATGTCGAGAATGCCGAGAATGGTGAGAATGCCGAGAATGCCGAGAATGCCGAGAATGGTGAGAATGTCGAGAATGCCGAGAATGGTGAGAATGCCGAGAATGCCGAGAATGGTGAGAATGTCGAGAATGCCGGGAATGGTGAGAATGTCAAGAATGCCGAGAATGCCGAGAATGGTGAAAATGTCGAGAATGCCGAGAATGGTGAGAATGGTGAGAACCCCGGGGTATGGGTTTTCAGTAGCAAACCCCATACCCCGCCATGTGCAAAAGCATAGCCCATGCGATTGTGCACAGTAAAAATCTCAACCTAATCGCTTCATAAACAAAAAAGTTATTTAGGATCAAACTTTGGCGAAAGGCAAAAAAGGCCTACTTTGGGGGTGTGGTTCGCCGAATGGGGCAACGATAGAAGGCTTCAAATGGTTGAAACAAGTGGACGCCCTCTAGATCTATATTTTCCAAAAAGAACGGAGGTTCTAAATTTTCGGCTTTCCAAGATATAAGCCCGGGAACATTGGAGAAAATCATGTCGAAATTGTCCAAAACTGGCGAAATTCAACATGACGTAGAGCAGTAAAAATCGATATCTACTTTCAGCCAGGCCTATGAAGTGTGTCGCAGGTGAAATTTACCCATGTCGTAAGGGAACGATGTCGACGTGTCGAAATTTCGACATGGGGCTAGAGAGCCGAAATCCAGAACCAATATTCCACTATGCATCTAAATATGTTTTACAACTCTTTTGACCAAGTCGACAACCAATTTCGATAAGCATATACCTTGGAACTAGGAAATTTGAAATTTGACATGTCGAAATTCATGTCATGGTAATCATGGTAATTATGGTAAAACATTTAGAAAAGTGTCCGTATAATTTTGGCCAAAGATTTCCATTAATTTCGCACTGTGCATTCTCACCATTCTCGGCATTCTCACCATTCTCACAATTGTCGACATTCTCACCATTCTCACCATTCTTGGCATTCTCACCATACTCGTGATTCTCACGATTCTCGTCATTCTCACCATTCTCGGCATTCTCGTCATTCTCGACATTCTCACCATTCTTGGCATTCTCGATATTCTCGTCATGCTCACCATTCTCGTCATTCTCGGCATTCTCGGCATTCTCACCATTCTCGGTATTCTCACAATTGTCGACATTCTCACTATTCTCGGCATTCTAACCATTCTCACCATTCTCGTCATTCTCGTCATTCTCGGCATTCTCACAATTGTCGGCATTCTCACCATTCTCACCATTCTCGGCATTCTAACAATTGTCGACATTCTCACCATTCTCGTCATTCTCGGCATTCTCGGCATTATTAACCATTCTCGGCATTCTCACAATTGTCGACATTCTCACCATTATCGTCATTCTCGGCATTCTCGGCATCCTCGGCATTCTCACCATTCTCGGCATTCTCACAATTGTCGTCATTCTCATCATTCTCGACATTCTCGTCATTCTCACCATTCTTGGCATTCTCACCATACTCGTGATTCTCACGATTCTCGTCATTCTCACCATTCTTGGCATTCTCACCATTCTCGGCATTCTCGACATTCTCACCATTCTTGGCATTCTCACCATTCTTGGCATTCTCGATATTCTCGTCATTCTCGGCATTCTCACCATTCTCGGCATTCTCACAATTGTCTACATTCTCACCATTCTCGGCATTCTCGGCATTCTCACCATTCTCGGCATTCTACCAATTGTCGACATTCTCACCATTCTCGGCATTCTAACAATTGTTGACATTCTCACCATTCTCGTCATTCTCGGCGGCATTCTCACAAGACATTCTCACCATTCTCACCATTCTCGTCATTTTCACCATTCTCGGCATTCTCGGCATTCTCACCATTCTCGGCATTCTCGGCATTCTCACCATTCTCGTCATTCTCGGCATTCTCGGCATTCTCACCATTCTCGGCATTCTACCAATTGTCGACATTCTCACCATTCTCGGCATTCTAACAATTGTCGACATTCTCGACATTCTCACCATTCTGACCATTCTCGTCATTCTCACCATTCTCGGCATTCTCACCATTCTCGTCATTCTCGTCATTCTCACCATTCTCGGCATTCTCGGCATTCTCACCATTCTCGTCATTCTCGGCATTCTCGGCATTCTCACCATTCTCGGCATTCTAACAATTGTCGACATTCTCACCATTCTGACCATTCTCGTCATTCTCACCATTCTCGTCATTCTCACCATTCTCGATATGATCGCCATTCTCGAGAATATCCAGAATGTTGGGATTGGGAATGTTGAGAATGTCGATGTCGAGACTGACCAGAATATCTAGTGATATTGAGAACGTGGATAATAATTCGAAGTTTTGAGATTTTCACCTCAAGGCAACCGCTCCCAAATGACCACGATTGGACCGCCATCCCAGGATATCTATCAGCAGACATTTATATATTTTTTAATTTAAGCTATTTTGAATTTTTGCGCCATTCTAAGCTTGACTTTCTTTACTTTCACTTCCGTTGCAGACAAACATGTCAAGATTATTATATGGATTAATTATTTGCTGGAATACGTATTTAAGTATTTAAATTATTCAAAATTCATATTACACGTAATTTATTAGTTTGCGGGTGAAACTTCGAAATAGTCGGAATTGCTTTTGCTACGAAATGAATAATATTTATGTTTACATTTAATATCGTTTATTTTGTTTAATCTGAGTTAGCAAACATGAAAATCAACTGTATCACATATGTCTCCGGAGTACACGAAACTACATAACTAGTTTTTAAAACTTGTTCAAAATTAAAGCAACAAAAATTAATTACATTTTTTCGTACAATTAATATTTTTTAAATTTCAACTGGATAAGAATTTTCTAGAATTACTTAAGTATACAATACATAAGTATACAATACCATTTAATACGCACACATTACCGGACAATTGAAAATTCGGATACAATCAAAGGTTTATTCGTGGGTACGATTTGTTGTGCAACCGTGCAACCAGTGGTTGCCGGGACAGCGCAACAAAATCCGGGAAACGTCGACACCCCCCCCCCCCCCGGCAAAAAAAATATCCTCCAAAAATTCGGGCAAATGCGGAACTAGAGAGTTCATTCCCGGAAAATTTTGTACCTCCTGCTATCGCCGTGCCCCGGGAAATATATTTACCGTAATTCAAAATTTCTTAAAACGTCACCAGATTTGGCGTTTCTTTAAACAGAACAGTACAGACGACCCGTATGCATAATACTTGTTTACGCGTGCTGAACGCGTGCTTAGCCGTACCTTGCCCTTGTGAGGCCTGTACCTGGCGTATTCTGACCCAAGCTATACTGGTTTGGGTATTTTGGGTTTTAGTGGGTTTTCACGGGGTTTATTTGGATTTTGACTAGATTCTGCGTTACAACCATGCATTAGACGAAGTTGTATCACTAAAGCCAAGCAGTTTATTTCATTATCATCTCGTAATTTTTGAAAACCCAGAAAACAGCCACAATATGCAACATTACTTGCCATCCAGTGTCACAAAAATTAATTTCAGAACATATAAATATCAATTTCTAGTATGGAGTTGAAGAAGTAGGATTTATACATAGAATTTTGTGGAATTGGATTTGTAATAGTTGCAAAAAGTTGAGTTTGGTGCTGAAAACTTTAAAACCCATTAAACTTAATGAAACTGAAAGAATCATTAAGCCCGTTTAAAGCCCTAGGTTGTCAATTTTTATTGAAACCCTTTCGTTTCTCCGAACCCCGGTACTTGGCCAAGTTAAATAAATTCGTTATTTTGTAATGAGTTTTTGTTCAAGAATACGAGGACATTGCATTTCCATGGAAAGTAGTAATAGATTAGTTGGCTTTTAAACGCAACCATGTGGTGACTAGGGATCCCAATCCCGGACGATTTTTAACATCCCGGGAATCGGGAATCCCGGTTTTGGCCGTGAAAAATCCCGGGAAATCCCGGGAATTTTTCCCGAAATTTAAATATTACCTTATAACTTGGGTCAAGTCAAATTTGGGTATACAAAAAGTACATCAGGTACATGACTCTAAAAAGCATATTTATAACACCTACTTCTGTGTTTTTGGGATCTGTGCCGCAGAAGTACTTGTATAAAGTATGCTATATTCCGGCCTACACAAAATAGTATTTTGAAAATACATACATATGTACTATAGAAATACAAATTAGTGATTATATTGTTTTGCCTGCTATGGCAAATTAAAAAATTCGATGTAATGCGGAAGCCCAATTTTCGTCCACTAGTTTGGAGAGGTGTGAAGAAAGAGTTTGATAATTTCATCCCAGAAAACTTAAATAATTAATCAAGGATTTGCCAGCATGTTAATTCGAAATGCATAAATTTACGTTTATCAAATATCAATATTAATTGGCCTAAACTGCATTAAAATTAATGTTGAAAAACTTCAATTGAACATGGAACTTGGTAATTCAAAAATTTCAAGTTTAAATAAGTATATGAGCTAGCACGTTCAAAATGCCTTTCATGCAGCCTTAAATTCATGCACTAAAATTCGAAATCACTTCTAGCATGTTAGCATTTTTGATCATAACTGATTTTAGATTCTATGTATAATTATACCGAAAATAAGGATTATTTGTTCCTTCAACTTATAATCTGACATCGAGATTATAAAATTCTAAGTTCCATCTTGTATTACAAATGTTACTTGCAAATTATGTAATTTGGATAAACGTACGAGTTAAATAAATGTGGCCACTAATATTGTTTAAAATTTAAATTTTCGAGTTCCGGATCAATTTTGACTGGTTATGCTCATCGAAGCTTTTTCTTACTAATCATATAACCGAAAATTATGTAAAACTGGTATTAAAATTGTAAATTATAAGTAATTTTCAATTCTGAATGACAAATTGAAAAATCCCGAAATCCCGGGGATTTCAGTTCTTCAAATCCCGGGATTTCGGGATCCCGTTTCCCGGGAATTCCCGGGAATAATATCCCGAAAAATCCCGGGACTGGAACCCCTAGTGGTGACTATTGTAAAGAAATTATTTCTCTGGGATGGAAAATCTCCCGCTCTCGTATACTTCGTGATGTAAATGAGGCCAAACTGAGTCTTTTTCCGTTCCAGAGATATTTCCTCTGCTATATTCTGTATGTATTCTATATGTATGTATCTACGGAAAGTAGAAAGCTGATTTATAAACTTAGCTTATATTAAAATATGTTTGCATTACATATTTTAGTTAATTCCTAATGCTCCACAAAAAACTTTTTACGAGTTATTTGCACTTTTGTATTTGTATAGCCATGTTTTACTTTGTGACTTTTTTTGTAGATTTTAAAGTATTGAAAAATTCCAACACAAAAGTTTGGTATTGGACAAAATGTCGTTTTACATGCATGAATTTTAATTCTAGGAATACGTGTTTTTGATTTTTTGAAACCAAAACGAACATTGCCGACAATCTTGGTTGGGGTTGTGCTCCCGGGATTTTTCGGGATTAATGTAATTCCCGGGAAATGGGATCCCGAAATCCCGAGATTTCAGAATTTTCCAATTTTTCGTTCACAATTTGAAATTACTGGTACTTATTACCGGGTTTTCTGGTATATCATTGGCAGGGGTGGGCAAGATACTTGGTCAAGATACAAGATAAAAGATACAAGATACAAGATAGTATCTTTATCTTGTATCTTGGTCGCCTGATCAGAGAAGTATCTTGTATCTTGTATCTTGTATCTTTTAGAAAGTCGAATAGTATCTTGTGTAAGTACCTTATCTAGATATGCCTGGCAGAAAAGTATCTTAAAATAGTTTTGTCAAGATACAAGGTACTTTTTCTCAAAATTCCGTCAAATTCTTAAGTCAAAGTCAATTTCGTTCTACAGTCAATTTGACCATGAATTTGTCGGAACCAGAATTTGGTGAATTTTTAGTTTATGTTTTGCCAATTTGTAAAAAACTTCTACATGCATACATATGTACATATATATATATATATATGTATATGTATATATGTTCATTTGTACTCGTACATTTGTACACATACATGCACATTACATGATATGTACCTACGCTGAACTAGTGTATATATCTTATAGGGTTTAGATAAGCAGGGAATATTGTAAAAATAATACCAACTTCTTAAAAATGTGTATGTTAGGTAGAGTTCTAGTTTTTCGAAATTTTTCGAAGTATAAGCACTGGCTACAAAATTTGTAAGATGATTATAGAATGATTTTAAATTTTGTACTCACTAAATTTTTTCGTTTAAATTATTAAACATGACCAATTGGGCATGAATACCAAGCTAAAAAAAGAAAGTATCTTATCTAGTATAAAAGTATCTTAAGATACATATCTTGTATCTTGTATCTTGACTACTCAATCTTTAGGAAAGTATCTTGTATCTTGTATCTTGTGTACTTGAACAAGATGTATCTTTTATCTTGTATCTTATATCTTATCCTAGAAAGTATCTTATCTTGTATCTTGTATCTTACGACCAAAGTATCTTGCCCACCCCTGATCATTGGACAGTTAAAGTTTCGACGAAAAGTTTTACCGATAATTTCCATTAAACTCTGAAATAAAAATTTTGAGCGAAACTGGTGGCCAAAGTTTTCTAAGTCACATGTGTAAATTTTATAATCGGGTGCAAAATTTTATTGCTACTTTCTTATTCCCAAATTTAAATGTCGGATTATCCTTTGAAGGAGCAAATGAACCTTATTCTCGGCATAATTAGAGAATCTGAAATCAGCTACACGTATTTAGAATTCGTTTCCAATATGTTGGACAGTAATTTCTAATAGACGAATTTGAGTGTAGAACCAGGTGATTTGTATGTTTAAACTTGAAATTTTAAAATTCCCAAAGTAGAGCTTTGATACTTTTGGAATTTCAAAATTTCAAATTAAAATAATTTTAAAACACGCAGCCCTGCTTGTGCAAAAATTATGTATGTGTATATTTACATACCGCAAAAACTCAAATAATAGCCGTGGGCCACTATCTACAAAATTATGAAAATACATACGGCTACTATTTGAGCACGGCTACTAATTGAATTGTTACGGTATGTACAAATCTTGCCCGATCTGTACAATTTAAACACCTGCACCTTTTTGTATTTCTCAAAATGACCAATTTCATGTTATAAAGTAATATTTAAATTTCAGGAAAACTCCTGGGAGTTTGTTGAGACAAAACAAATTGCATCAAATTAAGCATCTTTTATTTTTTGCCCTCGCCTTGTTGTATGGTCGGTATACATATTTTCACTTTCACTAAAATTTCGATTATAAAATCAAAGTAAAGTTACCAAATTTTGCCATGGATTTTTATCATAATGACATGGTTGTGGCGAGTGGCAGAGCTAGTAGTGGGCACAAGTGGACCCGTGCCAACGTGAAATTCTGTGCAGTTTTAGACTAGATATTATTGAACTTTTTCAAACCCTAACGAGATGATGAGTTAATAGTGGTGACCAAAAAACAAGTAAACGTTTCTGGTCTTCGCTCACAAGCTCCAAATATCTAGGAAGGCTGAACTAGAAAATTATGACTATGAACATACTTGTTAAAATAAAATAAAAATATTTCCGCCTCAATGTCTTTGAAAATTTCATTTCAAAAACATTTGCAGGACTTGGTGTTTGGCAAAATTTTGCAGGGCTCGCAATACATAACCTCACAATCTGGTTACAATTTTTAAGGTACCCGAAGAACTTAGAAACCCAAGCCCTACAAACGGGTTGGGTTTGATCTCCCGATTTCTAAGGTTCATGTTTCAAGGCGCAAAAAAACTGGATTCGCCCGAATCCATGCCGAGCCATAAGGAAATTTCCCTCTCAAGGCTCATTCCATCTGAACCCACACGATCGTCGTCGCACCCATATTTGATATCTTGTCCACAATCTTATCATAGATGCATAATATAAAATAAAACATATCATAAAAATCAAAATTTGAAAATTAATTTTTTTCGCAAAGATATAGCAGTTCAAAGAAAATTTGCAAATGCATTGAAAATGCTTTCGTCGCCAAAGTGTTGGTTCAAGGGGTAGGTTACATTTACAGATTTCATTCATTGATCATTCATTGATAGGAAAAATTTTCAAAAATTCAAATATTCAAAAAAATCAAAAATTTATAATGTATTGAAAAACTCGATTATCGAGAAGACGGACAAGAATCGCTCATAGAGAGATAAGCCAATCGATGCCTTTGGGCCTAAGGAAATAAAAAAGTTTAAAACCCCACGCGATTTTTGTCCGTCTTGGAGTTTTGGCGATTTTTCGAAAAGGTAAAATTAACATGGGCTGCTTGTGTAGACAGTAGTAAATAATTCTGTGTTCCTACGTGGCCGGGAACATTGACAAAGCATAAGTTGTGTGGTGTTCTCATATCAAAGAGAGGAAAATACATGGTCAGGCAGCCACCACCAGCGAGCAGGGTTTAGCACCTCTATTTTCTGGTACTCGATCAAACGTGTTGCTTACAAATGGAATGAGCCTCAAATGAAGGGATCAAGTAAAAGTAAGTCTCGGGCCCTTAATGTAAACCTTAGACTTATATGTCTTCAAGGTTTGAGGAGAACTACTTGTTAGATACACGCCAAGTGAAAACAGACCCATCAGAATCTGTGCTGATCACGCGGTACGCGCTTGAAAAATGGAAACCGATATTTTTAAAAAATGAGCCCACCTTTATGGCTGAGGGTAAATAAAATAGCAAAAATACCATATCTGCACCCCACCGGTCTAGGCTATTCATTAAAATTTCAAAAATTTTGATGGGGCCCACCATCCTGCTTTTATGATTTTTTTATTGGACTTAACTTGGATTGGGTCGAAAAAGTGATTTTTCTCAGCAGGGGGTGAAAATGCGTGTCAAAATTGTTTTTTCAAGTTCTCGAGCGAATTGTGGAAACACTGAACTATTACCTATTCAAAAATAGCGACGTAACATTCAACAAGCGCTCAGGTCCTGTTCATATGGCCAAGATAGCAATTCGGTGGTTAAAATCAATTCCTGACTCCATTTCGGATCAAGAAAAAAATTCAAGGTCGCCGAACTTAAACCTGCTGGACTATGACATATTTTTCAAACTTTAGCTGGGTGTATGTGCTCAACTTCACACAAGTTTGGAATCCATAAAAAATTCTGTTGTCAGGATGTGGGGCCAATCTTCCCGGGAACGCGTGCGTACTTCGATCGAGTGGTGGACACCAAGACTGCGGGCTCGCTTAGCCTTATAAGATTGACACTTTAAAAAGTGAATCATGTTCCTTATACAGAGAATTTCATGGGCTTTTCAGTGATTTAATTAGTTTTTCGAAATTCGATAAACTGGGTTATTTGGCAACAGAAAAAGACAAAACAAGCGATATTGATGGTTTCCATTATGGAAAAAAAAATCTTACAAAATTACGAAATTATGCGAATAATTCCAAAATTTGTAGTTAAAAATACAACAATGCGGAATTATTGATGAAAAATTCTGATGATGAAGGGCTGCGGGGTCAATGTCCTTGCGTGGAATGAGAGAGCGAGCGAGAGAGACAGAAAAAAGTTGAGCTCGCGCTGCACGAAAAATCATGCGTTTTTGCGAACTTGCGACGCTCATAACGTGCTGAATTTTGTGCATGTGCCGAACCAAATGTTGTTCCTAAAGACTTGATCTTTCAAACTAATAAGGTCAAAAAACAATCTGCCCTGAACATGGGTTGCGCCTCCATTGTAAGTATGTAAGTTAAAAATAATCAGGTGCAAAATCGAGATAACTGCGCCAGACCTTGAAGAGCGCAATTTGTTTTGATAGAGGGGACTCCTGAAGTATCCATCAAAATAAGCCTCAAACCATAGCAGGTGACTCGGGGGGGGGGGGTGTCAGTGATAGTTTCGACAGACTGCAGACTGGCGGACCTTTTTTTTTTTTAGGGTCCGCCATTTTCCGGGACGGGGTGTACACCGGTTCCCGGGACAGACGCAGAAATCGAACCCACGGGTTTATTAATGCATTAAACTTTTGAAATAAACTTTCAATTATTAACAAAACGCATCCAAATTGACTCCAACATGCGACATAGCTGGATCCCTTACTTCCCCGCGTGTAACCTTTTGACCTTGTGTACCAAGTTTCGATTTTTTAGTTGTCCCACCCGCCCCCCTTTTTGCTCCAAAAATCCCATGCACGTTCTTCAAGTGACGCATTAAATTAATCCTGGTTTTGAATGCGGCCCCACAATCGTGACAAATATGATTTCTAACGTCCGAATGGGAAGTCTGATGTGCTTCTAATGCTTTCTTTGTGTAATATCGGGCCCCACAAACCTGTAAAAAATATGAAAATATTAATCCCGTCTTTTTAAAACCCATCAAAAATGAAAAACTTTTTTTCTTATGTACACTGCACTCGTGCTTTTTGATCCCGCTGTGCCTGATTTTGTGGCATTTGAGCAAAGTTCTTGACGCAAACGTGGCACCGCTGCAAAATTTAAAGTTACCATAAAAAATTAAAATTTTCATAAATCATCAAATCATGTATGTAATTATGTACCACTCATCACAAACTATCGGCTCAGCATTGTGCTCCCGGACGTTATGTGCTCTAAGATGTTCCAAAGTACAAAATTTTTCGCCACATTCAACACATTCGTGTTTCTTCACCTTTTCGTGGACTTTGTCGATATGTGTTTTTAAGTATTGCTTGAGGGTGAATGTCTTCCCACAAATGTGGCAAATGTGACGCTGAGGAGCGTGGGCACGGAGCATGTGCAATTTTCTGGCATTTAGGTATGCAAATGATTCCTCGCATTGGTCACATTTGTAAGGTTTCTCTCCCAAGTGGAGGCGAACGTGTCTGGAAAAAATACAAAATTGTGGAATTTACCATAAACTCCTAAACTAAATTCGTGTAAAATTCTACAACTGTGTAAACTTTACAAACTTAATTTTTTAACTTTTAAATACAATAAAATTATACAGTAGAAACGTTGCAAATTTTAGGAATATCACTGAATGAGACAATTCACGCAGTACTTGACAAAGTTGTAAAATCCTTAAAATTACAAACTTTTACAAAATTTTAATGAAAATAAGCTTACAGATTTTTGTAAACTTATTCCGATCTTTAAGGGCGTTGTTTTGTTTTGTAAAAGTTTGTAAAATTATCTGTTTCACACAACTTTACAAAGTTACCAAGAGCAGCGTGAATTGTCTCAATATTACTTAAGTATTTTCAATTTATTTTTATCATCCACGTTACGAAGCATCCACTATAATTTTTGTATTCACCTTCGAAATGCGTCTCTAGTGGCAAGTTGCGCCCCACAAGTTTCGCACATCCAGCTCGTAACATGGATCACGTTATGTTTCTCCAGATAGGCTTGATTTGCAAATCTGGCGTCACACACGGTACACACGACGGGTTTGGTCTTATCGAGTTTATGTCGCTCCATGTGACTCAGAAAGTTAACCTCGAGTGTGAAACCTTTCCCACATTTTGGTTTTGTACAGAAAAAAGATTTTTCCTCGCTTTCATGTCGCACGATCATGTGAGAGTCCAAAAGTGTTTGGGTGTCATGCCTGTGTTGACAGATTTGACACTGGAATTGGCAAAATCCTTTGTGTTCTTGGCGCAAGTGGAGGCGGAGGTGGCGTTCTTTTCGAAATTTGGAGGAGCATACGGCACAGGAAAGGGTGTAGCAGGATTCGTCATATTTCTTACGTTTTGGGACATATTTTCTGATACGTTTTCTTTTTGGAGGGGGCGAAGAGGATTCGTTTTTCGAGTCGGATTTCGTAGTGCGTTTATTTCTGAAAAAATTTGAAAATTATGATTTATTGACCTTAATTATAATGAGGCAATTCGCCCAGTCCTTCATGACTTTGTAAATTCGTAAGTTTTGTAAAATAATTTTACGGACTTGTACAAACTAAAAAGACGTCCTTGATCTGAGCAAGTTTACAAAAATTTGTAACCTGATTTTTCTTAGAAATATGTATGTGTACAAATTTTTAAGTTTACAGAATTTACGAATTTTGCAATGTCACCAAGGCCTGCGTGAATCGGCTCATTACTTGAATGATTTCTTACTTTTTATCTTTATTAGTGTTATCTGGAGTAATGTAAAAATCAGATGCGTCGCTGCTGGGCGAACCATCGTCAGAGGAGGAGTCGCTAATTTCCTCAGCATCATTTAAACTGAAAAGTGGGTCGTCTTGATCATCTGATTGATTTGTAGGTGTTGGGGACGACGTCGTGGGCAATTGTTCTTCATAATTGGGGACATCTTCGTCTGGTTCTGGTTTGACTTTTAAATCAGTGAGAATGTGGGGATTACTATCTTCGTAGCCTATAAACACATAAAAATTAAGAATTTACAAATAAATAATCTTAAAAAATCGGTAATTATTTACACCAACCTGATGAAAGTAGTAATGACTTTCGAATACTTTGTAAACTCTCCTCAATTTTTTCCTCTTTTGAGAAAGAATTTGACACGACTGTTCTCAATTCTTCTACTTTCCTCGCAATTTTTTTCTCCAATTGGGTTAGCTGTTGCTTGATTTTCTCGATTTCCTTCGCTGATAAGGAACAGTTTTTGCACAGTTTGAATATATCGTGGCCGTCGCATTGTGCAATAATGGTCTGATGGGGGGTGGAAGTGTGGTACTCGGGAACGAGGAGGTCATAAAGTCGTACAATTTGTTCCTTTATCGACGACTTGGTTGAACAAGGGATATCTTTGTCTAGACTAGATAAGCACAGGAGACAGTGAAAGTTTTCCATCGTATCGATGCACTGCACTGCAAGGTAAACAATTGTTTCAAACTTGAGTTACTAAATATTTCATGCCAACCTTTACAATACAAAAAAATTGGTACAAATTTCAATAATGTAAAATGATTTAAAATGCATACCTTTTACTTAAACAGTTAAAACAACCTTTATGGTCAGCTCAAAAACTTTCCCCCCTTAGTTCCGTTGTTCATGAAAATGAAATGATAAATGCAGATTTATCTAAAATTTCAAAATGTAATATAATAACCATGTAAGTAAAATCCAAAGCACAAAGTAAATTCAAGAACTTTACGGGTACAATAATTTCTTACTTTGTACTTTATCGTTCACGATAATTTATAAAACTTGTTTGATGATTTTGAATTATAAATTATAAATCCGTTCAAAATTAAGCCTCTTTACGAGAAATTTGAATAGTTAAGTGGCACGTTGCAGGAAAGTGGTTTTGTCTTCTTCTTACGGCACAAATTATAATTGTTTATTTGCAAATTGCAATCCAGTATTTAACCAAATGTTTGTAAACACCATAGAAACTTAATATTACAAAAACAAACACAAAATATGTGTGCAAATGCGAATGAAGAGCAGCTGACTTTGCTTTGTGTAATAAAAATCTCACTCGAATTCTGTGACACAGCATGTCTTTGGTTCGGCTTTTCGAAACTTTGTTGCTTATGCAACTAATCCGGCAACAAAACTACCTTGACGATATCTTATCGTATATTGTTCTATGTATGTATAAATATAAATACAAAATTAGCTATGCAAAAATTGCATACGCAGGCTTGCAATTATGAATGTATGTGGGGCCATCCATATATTACGTCATCAAAAATTTTACCACCCACCCACCCAACGTAAACATTAAGGGATGGGGAACTGTACCATGGAAAAGATAGGAAGACCTAAAACACACCCACTAAAATGATGCCGTAATATATGGACGTTCCCTATACATATGAAAAAAGTTTTCATGCATTCCGTACCGAAGTGGTGACAATATTATTGGTGTCAATGTGCATATGGCAAACAAATTGTTTAACAACCGCAGCTTGGTATATTTTTTTCAAATTTATATTTTGCGGATTAACTACAACAAAACAATTGGACCTTAATTTCGAGCGATCCTCTAAATAGAATCTATTTAATAGATATACGCAATATTACGCAGTGAAAGAATTATTATCATTTCACATGTTACATAGAAAAAATATGTAAATTTATAATTGATCACATTTTAATAAAAAATTCGACTCATTCCCCGGTTGGCATAGAATATTCAAAATTTCCTAGGGGGGAGGGGGCAAACGGTGATAGCGTGTTTTTCAATTGACCATAGCAAAATAAATAAATACAGTTCTAAACGCAATCATTTCATTATTATGTATCGTTCCTGAGACTAGTTTTACTTATACAATATAGATTATCGTCATTATGACAATTTGCGCTAATTAATAACTGTTACTAGTTCAATGTTATCAGTTAAAAAACGGTAAAGCCCGTACTATTTTAATACGTACGTATATACTTACATACAAATGTGTGTGTTCATACATCATATAAAAAATTTCTATTACAGAATTGCCCTGCATATTAAACAAATGTGCCACTCAAGCTCTGCTACTTTTAACATTTCGACGAATTCATGCATACCTAAGTGATCCTCAGAATACTTTTTTGTTTACACTATTACTCATTCTTTACTGTAACTCATGCGATGAATTATTCAGCAATTTTTTCAGATTGTTGACTTCTATAATTCATTTCATAACAAGCTTTAGAGGGATTTGACCTAGGCGTTTGTGTAGCAAGAATTCTCTAATTCGGATACACACTTAGAAATCTAGCATTAAAATAATACCAAGCGGTATTCATATAAGTATGACTCTCCAAAGTTAATGGATCTTATAAATGATATCCTTGAGTAATAGCTCGGCATTAAAGTTTTATCATATCGGTGGCAAATTTTTAAGGACCGGTATAATGCCAAAAGATAACAATTTTACCTGTGTGACTATACATACAAGATTTCTAACAGTGTGCATATGTATGTGAATCGATATACTGACCAGTGACCACCATGCATACTTCAAAAATCATGTCCCTCATCTCTCTCTAGTTATTTTTAGTCGTGTCTCGTCCCTCTAAAAGATTTGCATATCCATATCGACCACCAGGATACCGAAATTCGTGTGAGGTCAGTGCCATTCGTACGCAGTGTATAAAAACCTCTTCTTTCAGTAGGGAGAATGTCATTTAGAAATTCGGATTTTTAGGTATATATAGATTATCTTACTTTTTTGCAAAATGCGACCCATTCTTGTTGCATTAGTATTTTTTCCATTTCAAATTTTGACCGCATTTCCTCATTCACCAAGCGAGATACAACAACTTAAGGATAACCACGCCCATCATGTCGCCAACAGTGGTGGACGAAACTCCAGTGTTGCGGATACCGTCAACAACACGATTTCTGAGCAGCGGCTATCAATTCTCGAAGAAGATGGTAACGTTGTTAAAGGTAAAAAAACATATTGGGCATACAATTTCTATCGCGTCTAATGAAGAATATGAAGTTGCAAAACAACTTTGCGAAATAAGAACACGTATGTAGAAATTTCCGAACAAAAATCCCATCATTCTCCAGTAAAGGTTTTGCGAAATCTTCGGAAAACTTAACAAGTTCGGGTCATCAGGTGTTATACGCAATCTGCGAGATATCCAATGGTTATCGCGTGAATTTCTAAGAGAATTTTGTCAAGTTATAATTTTCACTACGCAGAATCCACCAATGGCACGAGGGAAAAGAGGGTTATCGATGTCTTGAACATGTTCGGGCTAGAATATCATCCCAACAATTATCACAACCATTATCCGTATTATTATCAAAATTCCTGCAATGGACGCTGGCACTGGAGAGAGGGATACTGGTCGCATGGATATTGGCACCAAGGCCGCTGGGAGTACAGGCGTGGAAATTGCAACAATAACAACAATTGGCATCATCATCATAATAATCACGTACGAACATAAATAAGCCAACAAATTATGTATATATCTTTGCTAAAAAGTTTCAAATAATGGCTACAAATTCAATCTTAATAGCATGGGGGAGGAGGTCACCACGGGGGAGGAGGTCACCATGGGGGAGGAGGTCACCACGGGGGAGGAGGTCACCATGGGGGAGGAGGTCACCACGGGGGAGGAGGTCACCACGGGGGTGGAGGTCACCATGGGGGAGGAGGTCACCACGGGGGAGGTCATCACAGGGGTGGTCATCACGGGGGTGGTCATCACGGGGGTCATCACGGGGGTCATCACGGTGGAGGTCATCGCGGTGGTCATCGCGGAAGATGAATCGTATAAATTTAAGGAAAATATGAGTTACATATTTATCTGCACTCTACAGAGTTGTACTGCAATAAATATTTATGTGCTAATTAATGTAATATTTATGTATGTATATATAATCATTTTATTATCTCACATAAGTTCTCACATAATGGCTAGTCAGCAGCACATGGTTCATGATTTTTTCGGAATTCATGATAACCCTCTTGAATTTTCCAGAAAGGGATGTGATAATTTAAGATTTTTAAGCTCATGAGCAACATATGTATACATACATAAATAGGTATGTAAAATTCCACCATTGTGCTAGGTTAAGAGTGTTGCTATACTGTGAAATAAATTTTATTATGCCCTAATTCTTTTACTTATGCTTCATTTACATATGTATTTATGTATGTATGTACTTATACATGTCATAAGCATGTCTCGTCCTCCTTGAAACGAGGCTAATTTTGTCACAGGTTTTCCTCATTCCTGAGAAGCAGTCCAATAAAGTCATCCATTAGAATCCCTGATAAAATGTGACTTTACAGTTTTCTACTCTCGTTTTCACGAAACTATTTCCAATCGTACCAACTTTGGTACTTGATCAAGATTTTATTATTTAGGGACTTTCCTCGAATTTATAAAAATGTTGGGTATCCTCCGTCACTCGAATGTATAAAAGCGACACCTTTTCAATTATTCAGTTGTATTCTTTCATTCGACAAGCTCCTTTTGCTCCAAATTCCCAAAATTTCATGCTGCCTTTTAAAACGCATAATTATCACTGATTTCCCAATAACAAAGTCAATACCTGCTCAAATTCGTCGAAATTTTATATCAGTACAAAGTCCCAGATTTTCATAAAAATATAAACATAAAAATATTTACTTACTAACTCAATCATCAATTATTAGCCAACAGTAAATGTAATACCTAGTTTTATATTCCAAATCACAGAATAAATGATTTTATTATTACTTAATTTTGTACTTTTTGTTCTTTCAGATGTCGCAAAACCGTCGCTACTCGAGTCGCGAGGTGGAAGAACCTTTCCGCAAAATGCCGTCTTTTAAAGATGCATCGATCAGTGTCTCCGATTTGGACCCTTTCTTCAAAGCGATTGGATTCACTTGCACGCCCGAGCAGTTCCAGGGGTACGAAAATTATTCGAATAAACTGCTCGATGGCAGATTTCCGCTGGATCTCTGCATAAAATCGTTGGGCTCCGTGGATGACGCGGAGGAACTCTTGAAAATCCATATCACCGCGATGGACAAGGACAAGGATGGTTTCATCGATGAAAACGAGTTCAAAACTATTCTCGTCACTTTACGAACGCATATGGGCCACGATTATCCGAATGTGGACTATGCACAATTTGTGAAGGAAGCTGACACCAATCAAGATGGCAAGATTAGTATCGACGAAGCCGTGGAGTGGTTTGTTAAGAGGGGAAAAGGGAAGAAGTGAAAGAATTGGGTGCACTTGAAATTCGGAAACGTTGAAAATTGAATACATTGTTCTATGAGAAGGAAGAATTTAAAAAATTGGGTATTTGTACTTGAAATTCAGAAATTTTGAAAATTGAACAAATTGTAAAGCAAATGATTTAAAAAATTACTTAAATTTGAATTGACCGATTTTGGAATAAATAATTTGAAGAGAGGAGATGGAAATACTGTAGCGGAAAATTTATTTATTCTTTGTTTGCAAAGTTTCAATGCGAGTATTCATTACGAGTTCGAATCGTTAGAAACGCTAGCTAAAATCAAAGTTCGCAAGTTTGCAAAACATTTTGCCTGGGAAATTCATGTACGAACTTGCTCATCTCCAAAAGTACATAGGTACATAGTATTTATGTAAACAGTTAGCAGTTTTTTAAAATTTATGTTGCATTCGAATTAGCATGCAAACGCGTAATGAATACCCCCAGTAAGATTTCTTATTTATTAAGTAGCGTCAGCTACTTATTGTGATTGTTTTGTCCGTCCGTCCGTAAGCACGATATCTCCAGAACGAGTCAACATAATCAAACCCCGTGTTCGCCATTGTATAAGTAGGTATAAGTTTCTCCTTACTTAAAAACTTAAACTTTCACCCTTAAAATTGTTCCTCTAACCATATATTTTTCTGATAAATGTGTTACAAATGCATAGTAAAACATTGCTGATGATTTAAATTTACACTTAAAAGTGTAAATTTACACTTATTTATATTTTAAGTGCAATCCATTCCATGCAATGGATCAAAATAACCTACATTCTATGCGAGTTAGAATACATCAGTAAAGATGCAATCTGTCTCATGCAAAAATCCTGCACAACTAGCGGAGTACTCGCATCGACGAAATTACCCCCGAAATAAATCCTTAAGGGTCTCATGGATTTTACAATTCTTCGCCAGTACCCATTTTCCTCCCCAACATGTGACCTCCACCTCTCTAGGACTTGGCACGTGGTCACAAACACGTTTCCCGCGGCCAACAACGGCATAACTGTCAGGATAAAGGAGATACACACAATTAGCGGAAACAAGCCGAATAATGGCCAATCGATTTCATTTCGCAATTTTATGCATGCAAATGTGCCCAACATTTGCAAAAGTGGTGGTTCCACGATGCATGCTGGAAACAGGGTATGCTTTATACAATCGTTGACATAATTTGTGGCCACGTGGAGGATGCGATACTCCGAAATGCCGTTTTCACGTGGTCCGGGGCGGTACGAGAGTGCCCCAGTGTACTTTGAAATACTACAAATTCCCGCGACAACGACGTAGATGATGTGGAAAGAGGCGGATAATACGGTCTGGGAAAAGATAACGTATTCGAGGAGTAGTATCAGGAATCGGGACACGTTGTATAAACTGCATGCGTAAAGAGTGCGATTTTCCTGGTTTGGATACAATGAAAAGAGAAATGACCCGAAAAAGGGGGGTTGCCAGGGTCGGTTATACAGCAACAAGGCGATTACTACCGGTATTGCGAGACAGTTGAGGTAGCAGGCTGGTTGGAGCCACATTATGAGAAAGTCTTTCGGAAAATTTGGATGCATTTTTGATCCTGAAAATAAAGATGAGTACCTAAGTATATCGTTTCGCAGGATACGGGGTTTCGTCATGGTTTTAACCACCGTCCAAAATCGGGTTTAATCAGTTTTTGGCACCGAATTTAGGACATCTTCTCAAATGTCTTAAAGTGTCCAAAATAGAAAATGGGGCAAAACGTTATAAGTTCTTGACTAATGAATTTTTTGATAATCCTTTGATCTACCTACGCATATTAAGCTCTTTTTTATGTAGAGCATACACAGTTAAAAATTTTGCATTGATATGAGGTAAAAAATAACTTCAAACGGAGTAAAAAGTGCAGTGATGCTACATAGAGTATATGTAGGGAAAAATTTCATGGGGTAATCGATTTTACTCTACCTTGCACTCGGAGTGCATTATATAGTGTTAGTTGCATTACCCGTTATAAGCCACATTTCGTACCCCACCTGAACCAAAAGCATCTAGATAGTTTATATAGTATAATATTTTTTATCTCATATCACGGCACAGAGTAACTATATGAAGTTAATAAATTTCATATATAGAGTATCGGTTATCTTTTGTATTTATTGTACTTGCATCATTAAAATTACAATTCGTATTAATAATATTATTTAGCTATTTATCTAATACTATTATATACGTTGTAAGCAATTCTTGTCTCCTATCGCAGGAAGAAATTCACGAACGTGCGAATTGTTTTCTACATAAAATAAGTTTCATAAGTTTTATTAGATATTTGATAATTTGCAAAACTGTTTAAAAAGGATACAAACCGAAAAATAAGTAAGAAATGAATACCTTCAAAAGTTTGAATGTACTCCTTAAAATCCAGTTGCGTTAGAAGTCGCTTGACCTCCGCAGAGTCCATTTTAAATTAATAAATTGTTGCAATTTATTAACTGAAATCTTAGAAGATCAAATGGGCACAAAACTGACTGAAAGTAAAAGCGGGCGTTTAACTCAATGTAGGTGATAGACCATGCCGAGTTAAACCTATACGGGGTAGCCTTGTTTAATGTAGGGTATTGCGATCTGGCATTTACCCTATGTATGACATCGCTCCCTCATGTGAAATTAAACGTGTGCAATATTGGGTCACTTTGCGTCACTTTCTTCATCTAGGGTAACTTTTCCCTATTACTTTATGATCGGGTAGGGTGATTTACGAAATATGCAGTTAATAAAAATTTTACTTGTCGAAGAGTAAACGTCTTTTCTAACTGTGTATTGGTGTCAATATAATTGATGTGTGATTCATGTGCGGCATACTTTAAATAGAAAATTTCTCAATTGCTCATAACAAAACATTAAAACAAAAGTTTTTCAAAATTTCGTGCTATTACACACCAAAATGCTCAAAATTAATGAGAGACTACATATATATATTATACATATATTTGTGAATAGATTTGCATAAAAGTAACTTGTTAGTAAAGAACTTGTAACATTTCGCCCCATTTTCCAATGTTGGATTCAATTGTACATTTTGGACGCCCAAAATTTGTTTTGAACGCGCAAAATGAAACCTGCTAATGTGGGATACCCAAAAGAAATTTACCATAAATTTTGCGATATTTCTGTTCCAAAATGTCCAGCGAGTTGAGCATTTGTCCTGGCGTGAGGCCAACATAGCCGAATCGTAAAGCGACTCCGATCGCATAAATGGAAAAGAAAAGGAACGCCTCGATCTTCTCCGGTGTGGAGTATTTGTTTCCGAGAATTATGGCAAATTGAAATATGGCATAGACCAAGTTGATTGCTTTGCTTAAGTCCACTTTTAACTTCATGGAGGAGTTTTTTGGAATATTGACCACTTTTTTGGTTGCTTCGTTCCATTTGAAGGTGAGGCAGGAAAAACGTGCACAAAGTGAAAGTTGGAGCCTTAAATATTTCTCGGAGGCGAAAATTATCATTTTTTAGAAGACTACATTTAACGGTTTATGTATATATGTTATTGGTTATGTTAAAGTGGAATAGGCCTGCATGAGATAAATATGCATATGTATAGAGAGGGAACCTTATCTGAAATATCGCCTATTTCCAAGGAAACGAGTTTTAAGTTGATATATTTACATATAAATAGAACTACAGGCGAATTAGTTGAAAAATATATTTTCCACAGATTTTATGGTAAAAAAGTTGTTTGCGTAGTTTAATGTCGTGAATATGTATTGGTCTCGAAACCCAAAGACTTCGTTGTGGATCAAAAAGTTATGAATTACAGAGGGGTGGGACAGAAGAAGGAACCACTTTGCCTAAATTTATTCCGGCCTTATTATTCGTTTGTGAAGCTTGGTAATTGGTTCAGTGTGAAGCCCTTTAGTTTATCTAACGAGCCTCAGTCGCTTTTTCCAACCAGTCATGACCTTTGACACAATTTTCAGAGTGATTCTGCACCACTCGTCCTGAACACTTTTCCAAAGTGCATCAAAACGCACGCGTTTTCCTTTCAAGAAGGCTCTGTTTTAAGTACTCGAATCCAAAAAAAAAAACATCGGATTGATATCAGAGGAACTAACGAGAGTTTCTATAGTAGGAATAATTGTTATACCCAAACTTTTTTAAAAATCCTTCGTGTAGGCTGATATTTTGTGAGAAATAAGTTGGGATGAGAGCATGATCTCGGGATTTCCTACGAGTCACTTGCTGTAGGTCATTGTGAATGACTCTAGAAATGTTCTCCTACTAACGTTTAACATTTTCGCCATGCAACTTTTAGTTGGTGGATTTACCGTTTTGGCGAAAAATTGATTTTCCGGATAACCTTTTTGGTTCAAGCGGATCTTGGGTATCCTTTCCGTGGGGGTGGAGCTCTAACCGCTTTTTCCCTCCGCTTGATTCCAACGTTTTTAAGTACATTAGAAACGTACTTTCGATCGACGATAAATCCATTTGCAGCAAATTTTCTAACAATCGCTCTCTGGCTCAGGAGGGGAGCTTGCGAGGTTGATAATAACAGATCTTGATGCCCTTTGGATATGTGGTAGGGTCCCATGAGTGTACTAAAACCCTGAAGTGGTTTGACTCCATGGCCACATTTGCGCCCGCCACACCCACTCAAAAATGCCCAAAAAACGCTTTCACTCCAGTTTTCACTCACTCAAATCCACGCCAAAAAATCCAATTTTACTCGGATTTTGAAATTTCTTTCGCCATTATACTCCCAGATAGTTGCTTTCTTCCATCCAGTATCAAACTCAATTTTTTCGAAATTTTTAGTATTTTTAAAATTTAAAATTCTGAATGAGCATTGTTGTAGTAATCAACAACGCAAATTATGTCTGCGAAATAATCATCAGCAAAATTGAGTTTGACATTGGATTGAAGAAAGCAACTATCTGGGAGTATAATGGCGAAAGAAATTTCAAAATCCGAGTAAAATTGGATTTTTGGCGTGGATTTGAGTGAGTGAAAACTGGAGTGAAAGCGTTTTTTGAGCATTTTTGAGTGGGTGTGGCGGGCGAAAATGTGGCCATGGAGTCAAACCACTTCAGGGTTTTAGTACACTCATAGGACCCTACCACATATCCAAAGGGCATCAAGATCTGTTATTATCAACCTCGCAAGCTCCCCTCCTCAGTATGTCTTTGGAAAACACTTTTATGCGTGCCTCGCACTCTGGGGGGTGCTGCAGGGGCATTTTTAACCGTAGGGAAAATCTGAATAGTGCTAAATTTTCGGTAACTATCTGGGTATGACATATGCAAATTTTGAAAATGCTGCGACTGTGCATCACACGCCACCCCTAAAATTCAAGTGGCTCCTTCTTCTGTCCCACCCGTGTATTTACTCGGAATACAGGGCACAGCATAACGCTTTTGGGTACGAAACAGACCAAAACACCGGAATCGATCTATTTAATTGTGCTATTTAATATCAATAAAAACTAAATCACTTCTAAATAACTTCATAACTTCTAAATTATTTACATCAAATTGTACCGAAATTGGTAAACATTTGAACAAGACAATGTTTATTTGTCATAATTGCTAGTAAAGTGGGGTTATTTGCACTGTTAAAAATCTTATATACTTCGTTCTTGTGTTTATTTGGTAATAATTTCCTAGATCATTATTGGTAGTAATTTGTTTCTGAGGTAAATTTCTTACCACCAGAACACTAAACGGTAATGCCCGTTAATACCGTGCTGGCAGAGTTATACTTATACATAAATACATATGTGCTCCGCCCAGTAATAATTTAATACCAGTTTTCTAAGAGTGTAATTCAAACAGGAATTGGATAGGTCAATGATGTTCAAATAACGTTACCTTATCTTTCATGAAAATGTGGATAAATGTGCACAATCATGGAATAAGGGAACGTCCACATAGAATGTCGTCAAAAATACGCCGATTTTTAGACACACCCACCTCTTCTTACTCATGTTAAGCTTAACAGGAAGGATTAATATAGGCAACTCACAAATTTTGAGTCAAAATCACTTAACCACCTTTTTGACGACGTAATATATGGACGTTCCATAAGCTAAGTAAAATTGTGGCAACTGTAGCCATGATAAGTATGTAGCCATTAGCCAGGGTACATATCTATAATTATTATATCCTCCATTATCATCTTCCCTAATAATGATTAACTCAATTTAAGAAAAATTACGAGAAATAACATTGTACCTCAGAAACTTATTCAGTTTCAAACAATTTGATACCCATGTATCAGTATATGGAAATTAGTTGAGCTGTTATCTATAATTGGATCATGGTGAGAATGAGATATTGATTTGGTAAAATCAATCCGGTAAATAAATTACAGTTTCTAGTCGAAAGTATGTTCAAGGGCATAAATTCCTAGGAATTTATAATATTAATCAATGATATCATCCATGACATATGTATGTATGACATGTGTATGTTCCAGCAACAATATTTGTGCAATTGAATACCCTGCAAAAACGATGAAATTAACAAGAAAGAAACGTGGAATTTCTTGAAAGGATACAGCTTGATTTTAAGCTCTTGTTTTGCACATTTTAAGTCTTGGCTTTACTAGGGCTGGACCATAAATGCCTTGCTTGATAACTGACTATGACATTAACGCAGGTGATTAATAAACTGATGTCACCTGAATTATTTCAGAGGAAAAACAATTCTTCGAAATCTGATTTAGTTCGGCGTCACGCAACTGGCGTGATTAATCGTTTAATGTTGGTTGCAGAATAGTTAATTTCAATACAAGATAACAAATTCCGGGTGAAAATCAACGAATTTTGGCCTGATAATTACAAATAATTGCACAGTTTGGGGACCATTGCTAAATTGTGTAACGCAAAAGCAGTTTTCTAGACCCTCCCCCCCCCCTGCGGCTTCACATAGGCACGATATTATTGGAGCCTCAGAGACCCCCCCCTCTTGCGCTGCATAATTTATGAGCGGCCCCTTAGTAAGCCTAGATAACTTTGATGTGGAGGATTTAACCAGATTCAAGTCAATAACCAACCCTACATGCAACTTTTCTCAATAAAATTGTGAATTTTGTGTTCGTAAAATTACTTAGGTAAATACAGTGTGGAAATGTGAAGGGTTAAGCAATTTATTAGTTAAAATGTGCAGACAACATATGTACAGACTCCTTGCAAAAAGATAATACATATATGTTCTGAAAGGCAAAGCATGCACATATTCTGCATCATTAATCCATTAAGAACATGAAGATGTATGCATGTACATACTCATATAAATATATTTATATTAATAGTTCGCTCACATTTATTTTGCATTAACTATCTAATTCGGCTCATTAATGGTTTCAAAAGTATAAATACTTAACAATAATTTGTGGTAAAAATTCTGTAGTACAGGAGTGTTAAATTTATTTATGTATAAGCACCTAGCATGACAATTCAATTACAGATATTGTATCTTGTTGTGGGGGATTCGTCCATGACAAAAAAGATAAGCTATGCACGATAACAATCCAACATTATCTATGTACGTAGATACTTACGAATGATATGTACATATCATCTTACCTCGATTATCAGGCAGGAAATTTGGCATTAGTTGACTGACCGTGACGGCGTCCCCTACACAAGGAAAGTTTGCCTCCATTTACATATTTAACGAGACGCATATAAAAAATTAGCCATGGGATTTTCGCCATGTTGCTGCAGCCTCCAAGCTGGGACGAAAGCGATCGCCATTTTTGAACTTGTACTTAAAATTTAGCAAAACTTGCATGATTTACTATTTTATAAAATCATACAAAAATAAATATATAATAAATAGGTAATTGGTGTATTACTCACCATCCTGTCTTTGATCGTATTAATTGCGGGGGCAGGGTCGCTCGGCGGGGATGACGCAGAAGCGGGTGGTAGGTTCTGAAAAACTGGACATTCTTTTAAAAATCGGACGGATTTTTGACTTAATTTTGTATCTTATTTTAAACAAGGGGCTGTTATTGCGATTGGAATCATCCTATTGATAGTTTGCATCCTACGAATTGCCTTGGCTGCAGTGCTCTGGCAAGCGGCGAGAGATGTATGAAATATTCGCAGTTATTTACATATTGCCAATATTGGATTAATGCAGAAATTATTATGTAACTTATTTTTTCCAGCTAAATGAACGGAAAGCTCGAACTTGGTTGATAATTACTGGAATTTTGTTTGCCATCCATATCATCAGCTTTATCGTCGTTGTGGCAAAATCGCCGGGTGTGGGGGCCTCGTCTGGGATCTCGTTGGTCCTCACGGCGTACTTCATTTGGGTCGTTATTGCGTTCAGGAACGAAATTGTGGACGATCCCAACAGCGCACCGAGATATCCTCCAAATCAAAGTTAAATCAATCTACTTCAGCATTTTTTCATGAAAAAGTAGCTATTTATTAGAATTAATATGTATATACATACATACATATGTAAATCAATGTTTTACTATTACACGGAATTATTTGAATTAATAAATCAATTTCTGCAAACTTTAGTACAATTTAGTTTACATCTTAATTAATTAATTTGCAATGAATAATTTATCAATGGATATTTCTACTTAATTCACCCAGTTTAACAAGCTGATCTGCAGAGCGTGTTCATCAATAAATTCTTCAAATCGGTCTCTATCTTCCTCCTCCATCTAAATTTATTGCATGCAAATTATTTAATATTTACATGTTCCCAGTTTGCATGAAGTTAGCTCACCTGAAATCCTGACATTTTAATCCATCTCAGCGATCGACAGTATAACAGAATCTCTTCCATCTCATCGTCCAGGACAAACGTGGGGCTCCCCGTGGCTTCAAAGTTAACTGCTGTCCGTGACAAAGCTATTTAAAAATCAAAGCCAATTAACAATTATCCTCATTTAAATATCACGCAACAATTAAATTGCATTTTACATATTTTTTAATACCCTTCCACACAACCAGCCCTCGCAACACGGCCATAACGTCCGTTGTGTCCTTATCACTTTCAATCTCCACCGATCCAGACGTCAAATCCCACGTGGCGAAAGATTGCAACATTTCCGTTACGTTAGGCTCATCCTCATCGTTATCGACACAAATGGTCAACTTCAATCGAAACTTTTTCACTGATGGGAAAAGGCGCACGATTTTCGCCGCAGTTTCAACATCCGCCTCGACATAAGTGTAGAAAACTTCCACGGTAAGCGAGGTAATCCGTTCGTGGGGAAGATCAAAATTTTTAAAAATATGGGTCAAGCCCATACAGTTCCTGTTGTAACCGGAGAAAGTGACATGGGTCAGATTTGGAAGGTTTACGCGGTGCAGAAAATTTCCCAAGGGGTACATTTCTTCGATGTGCATGACCATCAAAGTTGGGCTTGAGGGGAGCACGAAAGTCTGCAAAAAATTGTAACAATATTTAAATTTGCGAAATAATTAACAGACGCGTGCAATTTCTTACCCCCGGGGCAAAGTTCTCCCAATCATGCGGGCACGACAGGGACAAACCGCTTAACGAATTTCGACATGTGTCCAGCATCCCGGCCAATTCAGAGGTGTCGACGAACTCGTCCGCTTCCGCCCAGTCGTCAAAGTATTGGACGAAGGTATAGCTAAGAACCTTCAGTTTTTCACAAGGGGTGAAATCTGGGTAGAAACTGGCGTCAATATCGACATGTAGAATGTTAGGTGCAGAATTGAGTAGTCTTTGACAAATCGAGGATATCCCGTCGTCCTGACCGTTTTCATTTTGTTCTCTGACCACGATCTTGAGAGACCTGAGGTTAGGCAGGGTCAGAAATTGCGGAATTTTCGGGGCCACCACGACAATCTCGACAGCGTCATCGGATTCTTCATCATCTTGGTCAATACTATGGGCAAAATGGCCATGATTATCTTCATCCACAATAAAGTGGCCAGAATTATCGTCCTCATCTTCAGAAGTATCGCGATGATCAACTTTAATCAAAATGACGGTAAGTGTGAGAAGGCCAAGATTCGGGAAATGGTGCGTTCTCCACATTTGTTCCAATGTCGGTATAAACTTGGAAATCATCATAACATCCAGGATAACAATGTGATTGGAAATTTGCGGCAAATTTGTGGTCAAGTTTTTTGGTAGGGAAACCCAACCACAAGGTGACGGAAACATGATCAGTAAGATACTTCTGGCCAGTTTCGGGTGAAGGGAAGCCAGTTCCTTGGACGACTTCGAAGTCTTTTTTCGGCAGCAATGCTCCGTTCTGAAGGTCACGGTGACCTGTTCCCCGAGGAATGCGGCGCCCAAGTCGGCCCACAAGGTGCACACGGATCGGGCAGATTTTAGAGTGGGGGCGTCCATATAAGAGAAGACCAGGTTGAGCACCTGTGTTGAAAAATGGGGTTAAATTTGTTAGACAGGATTTTAAATCGGTAATTCGTACAATTTTGTACCAGAGGATTCATTAGCGCCTTGGTTGACGCGTGCATGTCCATGTTATCCATCTCGGTCGTCATCCAGAATTAAATATCCACACCCTAATTAGTAAATCATCACGATTACTAACGGGCTTTGAATTATTAATTAATTTCTTCTTTCACTATTGCAATCAAGATGAGATGCGAGACGTAAGAAGATAATTACCGGCGGTTAATAGCAGAATGTTTATGCTGCTCTTACCTATTTTGTCGCCAATTTGAGAAGTATATAAGACAATACACTTTTAATTAATTCGTCCTTAGAATTATAAAGGCAGCTGACAACTCTCATTTATAGAAACGCGGTTTCTCTAGTGGGGAATGGTGAGACGAAATGTGATTGATGCAATGCAAAGTCTTATTTTTTAAAAGTCTGCTCCATAAATTTCAATTTATGTAAGCCATACCTATAATTAATTTACATAAAGCCGAGTATATTTATTTATTTGCATGCCGAGTTGGAAGTAGAAAAGTGGGTGGGTTATAAAAAAAAACTCTGCATGTTTGAAAATTCAGACGGATTTTGCAATTTTTTTAAATTCAGACGGAGCTCTGATTGTTTGCATGCTACGAATTGTGTAATATTGTAGTAAATAATTGCATATTTATGTAAATCAATGTTTTATTAATAAATGAAACTGCTTGAATAATAACGTCAATTTTTGCAGACTACAAATTTTGTTTACATATAGACGAGTAATTTGCAATGAATAATTGATGAATCCGGGGATTAATCCACCCAGCTTATCGGGAGCGCGTGTAGCTCCATAAATTCTTGAAACAGTTCCTTCTCCTCCTCCTCCATCTAAATTTATTGCATGCAAATTATTATGTATATCCCCAATTTGCATAAAATTATTTTATTTAGCCTGAAACTCACCCGAAATCCAGACATTTTAATCCATTTCAGCGTTCGGCACGCTAACAGAATATCCTCCATCGAGTCGTCCAGCACAAACGTGGGACTCGCCGTGACTTTAAAGCTAACTCCTGTCCGTGACAAATCTATTTACAAATTAAAAAACAATTAATACATTTAAATATCTTGTCACAATTAATATTAATTTTACATAAATATATGTACCTTCCCAGACTGCCACCCCTCGCAACACGCCAAGAACGTCAGGTGACACCTCATCATTGTCAACCTCCACCGACGCAGACGTAAAATCCCACGTGGCGAAGGATTGCAACATTTCCGTTATGTTGGGCAGGTCATTCCCATCACGCGAAATGTCCAACTTCAACCGAAAGTTTTTTACTGATGGGAAAAGGCGGACGATTTTCGCCGCAGCTGTGACGTCCACGTCGAAATTGCTGTAGAGGACTCCCACGTCAAGCGAAGTAATTTGTTCATGGGGAGTCTCGAAATTTCGAACAATGTAATCCAGACAATAGTAATTAGAGAAAGTGACGTGGGTCAGATTTGGAAGGTTGACGGGATGCAGAAAATTTCCCAAGCGGTACAGTTCATCGATATGGAGGACCTTCAAGTTTGGGATTGAGGGGAGCATGAAAGTCTGAAAAAAGGAACCAATATTCAGTCAAGAGTAAGATCAATATCTGTCTGTAATTTCTTACCCCAGGGATCAAATTCCTAGCATCATAAAAACTTGATAGCGTCAAGCTGGTCAACGAATTTCGACATGTGTCTAACATCCCGGCCAATTTGCGCATGCTGACGTAATCTTCGTCCGGTCGAAGAGTCACCCAGCCGTCAAAGAATTGGACAAATGTGTAGCTAAGAACCTTCAGTTTTGCACAAGACGTGAAATCTGGATTGAAACTGGCATCGATTTCGACTTGTTGAACGTTAGACGCAGAATTGAGTAGTCTTCGACAAATCGAGGAGATCTCGTCGTCCTGACCGATTTCAGTTTGATCTTTGACCACGATCTTGAGAGACTTCAGGTTTGGCAAGGTCAGAAATTGTGGGATTTTCGGGGTCACCACGACAACATCGGCTTCTTCATCATCTTGGTCATTCTCATCGTCATTATCAACTTTAATCATAATGAAGGTAATAGTAAGCTTTAGAAGGTTCGGGAAGTGATGCATCTTCCACATGTGTTCCAACGCCGGTACAAATTTCGAGTTCATTGTAACATTCAATTCCACAACGTAGTGGGAAACGTGTGGCAAATTGGTGGTCAAGTTTCTTGGTAGGGAACCAGAACAAGGCGTGGTCATCTTCAGTACGACACTTTTGGCCAGTTTCGGGTGAAGGGAGGCCAGTTCCTTGGACGACTTGGAAGTCTTTCTTCGGCAGTGACATCCCTTTGTGAAGGTCACGGAGACCTGTTCCCCGAGGAATGAGGCGGCCAAGTCGGCCCACAAGGTGCACACGGATCGGGCGGATTTTAAAGTGGGGGCGTCCATATAAGAGAAGATCAGATTCAGCAGCTGTGTGGAAAAGCGTGGTTACTTTTATTAGACAATATATTAAATTGATAATTCGTACCAAAGGATTCATCATCGCCTTGGTAGACGCGTGCATGTCCGAGTTATCCATCTTGGTCCAGAATTTAATGCCCCCCTAATTCTTACAATTAGTAAATCCGTGATGGATTATTTATGGTGCCGGGCCGATGACTGAATTGATTAACTAATTGAAATTATTAATTAATTACCTTGCAATAAGATGTGATCAGGGGTTAATAGCCGATTTTTTTCCTTCTCTCAACTATTTTGTCGTTACTTTAAAAGATAGACAAAAAAGGGCAGTTTGAAATAGTTGTTCGTCAGCTTGTCAGAAGAAGTCAGCTATGGCGTCATGTTTATTTGACTGTACATTTTGTGGATATTGAAATAGCCCGGTTTATCGTGGGGAATGGTGAGACTAAATTTTATAAAGCGTCTAATTTTTTAATGCCATTTTTGATGCCAGGAAATGTGGCGATGATGATGATGCGTAGGCGCCTCCCCGAGGTGGGCGAAATGTACACCGAGTTATTTGGTTGGCTCTCCCCGTTCCTCCATAAGCGGCACTCGAATACATAAGATCGATTCTTCTGATAGAATCTATATTCTGTGGGAAAGCCCGTATAGCTGAAAATGGGCATGGTGAGATTTATGCAAACGATGTGACACGCATAAGTAAGAGGATGGCACGTCTACATTTTTTTACATAAAGCCGACTAAATTTTTTCACATACAACATAAGGTGCAGTATTTATTTTTTATTTGCACAAAGCCGGATATTTATTTACATCCCAAATAATGTATGTACAAATATTAGTAAAGCACTTGTTCCTAATTTGAACGGTCACTCTTCTCAAAGTCAAATTAATTTCAGTTATGATTTAGCTGCAAATTTATTAGCATAAATCAGAAGGCTTTCAAAACTGTTAATGTACTTTTGGACTAATTTAGCTCACAACAAATATCCATCATTGCATGGAATCCCGCCGTCTGAAGAGGGCACCGATCTCTTCTACAGTTTTTCCCCTTGTTTCGGGAACTTTGAAATATGTGAACGCAATGAAGATTCCCAACAGACCAGCAAAGAGGGAAAACACATATGAATCCATCAACCCCTAAAAATTTGCACACAATTAAATATATGTATTTTGTTAGTTATCTAAAAAAAACTATACTTTTTCAATACCAATATCGGCAGGAAGGTGGATCCAACGATTAAATTGGCAATCCAGTTGACCGCCAAAATAATACTAATTCCCATTGGACGAGCACGTTGGCCAAATAGCTCAGCAGACAAGAAGCCCGGAATTGATGCAGGACCGGAGGCGAACATTACGACAAAAAATATGACCAGAAAGACACTGGCATATGAGACCCATCTGATTTCCTGTTAATCCAGAATTTTGCAGAATTACATTTCATTTGTAATTAATAACGTAGGTCACAAGAGGTCGACGCCGTAGGTAGCATTTTACGCGCCGACGCGCGATGCCGCCAACAATTATGACTTTCCACTCCTTCGACATGAGGACGCCGTGCCAGGTGCCACCGAAAAATCATGAAAGTTTACCCCCGCTCAGCCCCGGTCTATGTCTGTCAAAATTCAAACCCGACCAATTTATCGGCAGCCACAGCGCCAATTTTGGTAATTTTTCGCGTCGGCGGCGCGGCGTTCCAATGGTGAAGGAATAGCAAATCAGATTTGTCGGCGGCATACGATCGTCGGGACCTCTGAATGCCACATGTTTTTATTTCGGCATCAAAAAGTACTTTTAGCAAACCTTGAACCAAGTGCAGAAAAATAGCAAACTAATATCCATAAACATTCCCGAAAGTCCGAACAGCATGAGACCTCTTCTTCCAACTTTCTCCACCATACCGGCCGAAACCAGAGTTACTACTATGTTGCATATTCCCATTCCTAGTGTTGCACCTCGAGCCGAATTCTCATCTAATCCAGCCGCTCTGTTTTTTAAAATGGCAACCATAAATTAGTTTTTTTGCACATGGCGAGGCAATTTTACATTTTTGACCCATGCACATATTTATGTAGTTCATACGTGAAGATCTTGGTTGAGAAGAATAATACTGCGTTAATCCCACAAAGTTGCTGTGCCAACGTCATCATGCAGGTGATGATAAGTGGCGTCCTGAGAGCATGGCTGGACAGCATTTCTTTTAAGGTAAGCGTGGGCATAGATCTCATTTGTTCATATTCAGTACGCATCTCGTCAAGTTCTCCGTGGACTTCAATTGTTCCTCGGAGCCAGGTCAGGTCTGTATGTGTAAATATACGAGGTAAAGTTTACAACTTGTATCCTTTGCAGTTTGGTAAATGACTTGAAAATCTATGCATGCAAATTTATCTAAATAGCAGAATAATTATTGCGGGTTACATCATTTGCATATATCTCGATGTATCCAGTTTCAGCGAAACCGACGTCCCATCTTGGATAAACTCCATATACATATTTATCTTTCTAGTGCGTCAAAATATGCAAATAAGGTCACCCAACAAAAATTCTACGTTTTTGCATGCTCACCACGTTGCGCTTCGACCTCTTTTCCTTGATTCAACATGGTAAATTTGGGCGACTCTGGGCATAGCGGAAACGTACAGATCTATTTAAACGGTATTAATTATTTAAACTGAGATATTTAATGCGTCGTTTTCTAAAAACCTACAGTGCAGACTCCATATAGCCCGAGTCAGGGACAGAGTCCCTGACTCCTCCAGGGTCACTCTGATTAAAATTTGCTCAGTTTTAGCTTCATATCCTTTCGTGAGAAGCCATTAGGTATCACCGTGCCGGATTTCATGTTTTTAAAGTAATTTCTAAAAATCGGTATGGGTTACCCCATAGGGTCGCTCCAGATAAGAATTTTACCAATTTCATGTCATATTCTTCTATTAATACCCATTAGCAACCTATCTACCAAATTTCAGCTTGTTATAACGATTTTGAAAAATCGGTATGGGTCATTCCATAGGGTCCCTCAAGATGAAAATTTTTCCAACTTTTAGTCATTTTCATCTATTAGGAGCCATTAGCAACCTCTGTACCAAATTTCAGCCTTCTACGACAATTTTGAACTTTTGGTGCACAATACCCCACCCACCTAGATGACCCCCACTGGTCAACCACTTGACCGATTTCGCCCATCTTCGAACTCGTTTCCTAACTTTGTCCAATATGCATATGGTAAAAATTTCAAGTCAATCGGTTCAGCCGTTTTAGCTCTATCGTGCCGGACAGACGGACGGACGGACGGACGGACGGACATGACGGTTCCATAAGCCCTGACTCGGGCTAAAAATTTCTAAAACGTGAAGAGCAAATACTTGGAAGAAAGCTGGGATAATGCTGGCAGCCAGGAGGAATGACCACTTGTCCCCAGTTCCAAGAAGGCTTTCCAGTCCCAGAATTTGAGAGATGAGAATGGAAATGATCACGACCAACTTGAAACCATAGGAAACACCAGTTTTTTAAATGAAAGTGCAATACATGGATATAATTTTTTTCAGAACTTTCATAAGTGGCATTTCACACATTAAAGCCACCGTCATGCATAAAAATGTACATATACATATATTTACCTGATGCATTGTGGCAACTGCACCTCGAATATGGACGGGAGAAATTTCAACCAAGTACATTGGAACCAGGGCAGTATTCAATCTAATTAATAATTCTATTTCTATTATACATATTCAGGGTATTCATTTCGAGTTCACATCGTTTGCAACGTCCGCAAAAAAAATTGGCTTCAAACTCGATTTGCGAATTGGCGCATCTGCAGGGCTTGTATTTAGTTCGCAAAATATGTTTCCACAAAATGTAAAATAAATCTCCAGTATTTACCGCAGTTTTGTCTTCTGAATTTTTTTGAAATTTCATATTACCAAATTTTACAAGCTTTGTCCTTTGCGAACGTTGCTTATCGTAACGAATACCCTAATATTACACAATGAAATATTACCCAGCGTTGACACCTAATAAGAAACGACCTATAATCAGCATCTCATAAGATCCACACGTTTCGGAAAATCCCTCCAAAATTACGGCAATTATAACCAGAACGTTATTCCATAATAATCCTTGTTTCCTATTTTTACATAAACATCTTTTACGATAAGTTGTACAATAAGTAATTTCACAATTTGTCGTATCAAAGAATATTGCTTATTCATTTTATTAAGCTAATTACCTTCCAAGTTTGTCAGCCACTAAGCAAGTGAATAAAATCCCAAAAAATACCCCGAGTGAAAAAATCGAAGTAATCCACGACCAAATCAATGTAATTTGATGGTATTTCATGTGCTGTCCACTTCGTTCAAAATTGGTTCCATTTATGAATTGAGAAATGAGCTGGAATAAAAAATAAAAAATAGTGTACATATATCATATATGATATATGCATAAATGTATGTACATGTGTATAGAAGACTTACATCGTGAGGTGCGTTGATCACGCCTATGTTGTACCCACACTGAAAGGAGGATCCAATAACGGCCGATGCAATGGCAAGGATCAGGTTTCCGGTTATTCTCTAGCATTAAAAAATCTGGGTTAAAATTTAATAATCACAATTTAAATAGTTTACTTATGCATGTATAATCAAGACAGGAAAGTGAATACATACCGACATTTTGAAATATTTGTAGAGAAATTTCTGCCCATGAAATTTTCTGATCTACATTCTCATTAAATACGTCAAACCTTTAATGTAACTTGACGTTTCAATTTCTTAAGATGTAAACACAGGTCTACCGAATATGCGAATATTTTACATGATAAAGTCAAAAGGCTGTACAGCCGTTTTTTACAGTCTTTACTCTACCTTGTCTCAGATGGACTTCTTGTTCCATCAGAGTGTTCCGAAAGCACGAATGTGGGCGAGAATTTTTATACACATAAATATACACATACAATTTGCATGTAAAATTCGGGCAGTAGTGGACCAAGTTGCTGGAGGGATTCGGGAGAAATATGACGTAGGACGAGGTATGCAATATATACTTATTTGTGACCCGTATACGAAGTCCGGAATTCCATATAAGTCACGAAAAGTCTGGGTTTTTGCGAAGTTTAAAAATAGTTCACCCGTACATATGTACATACGATTTTCTTGAAACTTTCCACCATTCACTACCTGAATATAATCCAAGCATTAAAACAGAACGGGCAGAACTATTTAATAGAATCCGATCAAAACTCTGAAAATACATATATGCAAATTGTGAAAAAAAATCGCTTCAATAAATCCAGCTTCCCAGAGTGGCCGATACATATGTATGTAAATTTCTATGAACTTGACACTTTGATGTGATGCATCATTCAGAACATTTGACGAAACATTAAGTACTTTTAAAATGTGCCATCATGCTGTAATTCTCTCTAAAAAATACATACATCCGATTATTTTATGCACGGTTGACGGTCCTTTATGCACATATTACCTATATGTCAACAAGCTTGTTTATTCGATTACACGATTCCATTCCAGATGCAGTCGAGCAAATCTCTGTTACACACACACATGCATACAAATTGAATTATTTCATACTAAATAACAACAAATTTGGAATACAATAGATCCAGAATGACAATGAAACGAAATACATACATCAATATTATCCAATTCTTTCGACCAGTATGTACAAATATATAGCTCTGCTTTCCAAAAAGAAATACATAACAATTCGGCTTTTTCATACAGATCCAAAAAAAAACTTTCTCATTTTTTATTCACGTCAAATTGAAAGTGAACGGACATTCGCTTCATGAAAATATGGATTCCATACCTGCAAGAAATTAATTAACGCCACACGTACAGATTTACCATGTCCATTATTCATCACCCATTGTCCATACGGGTATTGTGCATTGTATGCAAATCCAATATATACATACATACAAAATGACCCCCAAAATAAAGCAAGTATTCACCCCATTCTCGAGCTTCAGTCTCAACTCAACCTCCAATTAAATTAGTTCGTTACCATGGCAACCCATTATTTCCTCGTGGGTCTCCTGTCTCTGATCGCCCCACTCCTAGCTCAACACCCCGACTCCATCGATAACCGTGTGGCCATCCTGGAGAACAAGGTGTCTCATCTTTCCTCCCGAATCCTATCGCTGGAATACGCTTTTAAGGAATTTTCCACCCAAAAACCGCAAAATTCCATCAAAATCGTTCACCAGACTCAGCACGAGCCCATCGAAGCCCAGGTTCCCCAGAAGACGCCACCCACCATAATCAACCCCGCGGGTGTCAGCGATGTCGGGGGCGACTTCAGGCCGAAAGATTGCTCCGAAATTATGGAGGAATTGCACTCAACCCAACGCCATTCGACTTTTTACACGATCTACCCGATTTCCAGGAACCGTCCGCTAGAGGTGTACTGCGACATGTCGACCTACGGGGGCGGGTGGACGATCGTGCAACGGAGAGGATTCGACGGTCTGGAACGGGAAGATTTTAACCGAACGTGGAAAGAGTATGCGAAAGGGTTTGGAAATTTGAATGGAGATTATTGGTTAGGTGAGGGGAGGTTTTTGAAAATTTGGGTATTTTTAAATGGAATTTTGACATAAATTTTGACCATAAAATTGTATAATGTCATAAAACAATGAGGCAATTCACGCAGGCCTTAGTACCTTGTAAAATTCGTGCGATTTGTAAAATAAGTTTACAAACTTTTGCAAACTAAAGAGACGCCTTGAGCTGAGCAAATTTGCAAAAATTTAGAAGCTAATATCCTCAGGAATATTTGCAAGATTTTGTAAAAATTTGAAAGTTTACAGAATTTATGGATTTCGCAATGTTACACGGGACCAGCGTGAATAATATATACGATAAAATTGCTGGGTTTGGGGTTTATCAAATTTTTTGTGATTGACGCCATGTTAATACTTATTTGCCACAATAATTTTTCGAGATTTTTCATAATTTTTATTTATTTTTTATTCGACAGGCCTCGACAACTTGGCCGCCCTGACGAAATATGACGACCAAGAAGTCCTCTACGAATTTTTACAAGCTGACGGAAGCCGAAGGACGGTGACTTACTTGAACTATGAGAAATTCCAGGTGGAAAATGCCGACAATTTTTACCGCCTTCATTTAGCCGGATACAATCGTAAGAAAAATTATTTCATCAAAATTACTGAGCTTCTACATAGTAAGAAATTATTGTAATTTTCTTCAGAACAATACAGCACCGGACTGAAGTATTATTTGGAGAGGCAGGACGGCATGCTGTTCTCGACCAGAGATAAGGACAATGCTGGAACGAATAATAGAAATTGTCGACACCATTCCGGGTGGTGGTTGCAGTCCACAATTTGTCACAGGGTGAGGAATATTTCACAATATTTGCAAATTTTTAATGTAGCATTGTTTCGTTTCTTAAGTGTTTGCTGCATCTCTTGCACTGTAAGGCAAGAAATGCAAAAACTGTAAGGTGCAAGAAACTGCAATAAAATGCAAGAAATATCAATCTGCGCCATCAACCGACGCCCCTTATGCACTATAGCGGCGAGAAATAGTTTCTTGCGCCTTGCATTTCTTGCAGGACAAAATATGCAGCTGCAAGAAATCAATTTCTTAGCAATTTCTTGCAAATTGTTATTTGAACCTGAAACACTAACGGAACAATTACAAATCTAATTATTTGTACTCTTAGCAACCCGATTTGAACATGCCATATGCCGACGGAGTCTTGCACCTACACAAATTCAGCATCGTCCAAGACCGTGACGGCGTTTCGATCAAGATCCGAGCCAAGAAACCCGCCGTTCACTAATAAACAATTAATCCCTTTACGACTAAATTATTTGGGAGACTAAATTAATTTGTGAATAAAACTTTTACGGGGAAAATATTCGCCAGAGTTTTAAACTAATCATCCAAAATATATAAATAGCTTCGGTGACGTCTTCTTCTACTACTGAAAGTCAGTTGGCAGAGCTACAGCGCGGCTAGTTTTGAGTCATTATGGATTGAAACTTATTGCAATTATTTATTTGTATCACAATTTGTGTCACAAATTATAATTGATAATTATCCGAGGACGGCGCGAAGCGCCGGACGACGGATAATTGTAATTATCCGAAGTAATACGGAATCTTGAGGTATTAGTCAATTGGTAGTTGTCTCCTGACAAGGCCCAGCTCCCATCTATATAAAACACATAAAAAGAAAAGTGTGCCATGCATGCCCGGGCTAGTATATCACCTCACAGTCCAAAACACATTTTCGAATGAACAAATCGGGTGGGTGGGTGAGGCGCTAATACCTCAAGATTCCGTATTACTTCGGATAATTACAATTATCCGTCGTCCGGCGCTTCGCGCCGTCCTCGGATAATTGTCAAGTTTTGTGTTTGCTGTCGTGCAAGGTGGGAGATCCAAAGCCAAACTGGGTGGTTGCAGGTTTTTCATTTCTTTAACGTATCGAAGCAACTTCGTCGACTCGAATGGGGGGTCATACCAGTCTCGGAATTTGAATGAAACGATGGATTTTTTCTTTAAAATCCGAGCAGCTTCGTCATCCCATTGGGTGCATACTAGTCGTGCCATTTTGAGAGTGTTGAAGGGCAGGTAGGAAAAAATGTGGGACAAGATCTGCCAAACAGTTGGTTAGTTAGGCATGTATTAAAAATAAAAATGATGATCAATTTTTATAACTCACAAGGTAATTTTGTCCTGGCGTCAAGTCGACCTTGTTCCCGTCTGATATATTAAAATCCTCTCCATGGTCTTGATGTTCAGTGGCACGGTAAACTTCCTAATAATTGAAAATAAATTAAATAAATTAGCCACTTATCATCAACCACCAATCAACTAAATGAAAAAAATAAATCCATCAAGAGATTCGTGTTTAATCTCTGGATCATGTCCACGTCTTGGTCGATCTTTTCCAAGTAAAAATATCTTGTCGCCATAATTGAGCTTCGTGCGACACTTTTTCTCCAACTGGTAATCATTGACTAAAACAACACGTTTCTATATATTTCAAAATAAAAAAATCAATAAAATAATTCTAAAATGAGTCACTTTGCAATTAAACTAATCAATTATTGCATAAGACTTACCCCGGCCGGTGTGATCCACCAATTTCCACTTGAACATGTAATTTCGGCCAGATTTCCGGGATTTTTGTTGGTCCGCACAAAGATGAACTCGCCTTGTTCCTCCCTCGAGGTGTACTTACTTCCGAACGTGTACTGGTAAAATAAATACGGTAAAAAGATGACTAGTTTTGGATAACTTCACTCAAATAAGTAACTAAGGTAAGAATTAGTCGCTTACCTTTTGATTTTCGATATACGGCAAGACGGCAGATTCTTGAAATCCAATGTACGGACTATTTTCCGGAGTGACACACCCACAACTTGTCCCCCATACTTGGTTCTGACATGAACCGCAGAATCGACGTTGTGGTTGGAAAAGAATTGCGTCTTCCCCTTCCATTTTATTTTTATTGGGTTCTCACAATAATAATGTTTAAAATTTGTATTATATCCGACTGTTTGTTGACTATTGAGCGGAATTTGTTGACTCGTTTTAGTCGTCCCGCCGGACAAAATTCAATGCGAGAGTTTTGAGTCATGCAAGTTTTCATTCAAAATTTAAATGAAAGTGTCAATTGGCCAGGGTTGGCCAAGATACTTTGTTTCAAAGATATAAGATACAAGATACAAAATATTTGAACGAAACCTTAAGATACAAGATACTAAATACAAATAATTAGAGTTACACAAGATACAAGATACAAGATAGATTTTATCTGCTGTGATCCCAGATACAAGATACAAGATATTTATTTGAAATAATTTTTTCAAGATATACAAGATTAGGGTGACCATATTTGTCCCGACTAAAACCGGGACATTTTTTGGCGAAAAAATTTGCCATAATATCTAGTGCTTGGCGAAAAAATTTGCCATAATATCTAGTGCTTGGCGAAAAAATTTGCCATAATATCTAGTGCTTGGCGAAAAAATTTGCCATAATATCTAGTGCTTGGCGAAAAAATTTGCCATAATATCTAGTGCTTGGCGAAAAAATTTGCCATAATATCTAGTGCTTGGCGAAAAAATTTGCCATAATATCTAGTGCTTGGCGAAAAAATTTTCCATAATATCTAGTTCTTGGCGATTCAGACATCACCGAAAGGGAAAGAACTAGGATAAAGGAAATATTGCATGCAAGTTACTGGTATTTATGTGCTAAAATCTACTTTTTTATCAATATTTTGTCGAAAAAGCGAGATAATTTAATTTTTTGCGGAGATTTTAAAAACCGGGACATTTTCGGGACGCCGGGACAGGTTTTGAAAAGCGGGACATGTCCCGGCTAAACCGGGACGGATGGTCACCCTATACAAGATAAATTATTCGGAGCTTGCAAAAAAACATGAAATAACGAAGCACCACTGATTTTTTGTATTGTAGCCGAGTAACTTGTTAATAATGATGGTATAGACTCATAACTTGCATTATAATTTATAATGCAAGTCCTCACCCTCTGTTTACAATTTATAAACAAATATGAGGATTTCATCTCTGGTGCCGGTGACCACAGATTTGGAGTATACTTACTTAGATACACAGACGGATAGGCCTGCATGTACAAATGTGGAAGCTGTCATGTTCATAGTTATTAAGATTGCAATACTCAAAATGCTTAAAAATTTCCAGTCACCCTCCAGTCGCTGTATTACTTGGCGAACGTAGTCTACATACAGTGACTGGAGGGTGACTGGAACTTTTTAAGCATTTTGAGCTGCAGGTCTATCCGTGTGGGCTAACTTATAACATAATAGACCTGGTGCGCTTGCCGGTGACCCATACTGATTTTTTGAAATTATTCTATGGAGCTGAAATTACCAGTGCTTATATTCAGTTGAAATTTGGAATAGTTGGTCTAATGGTGGTACAAATTAGGAATATAATGCAAATTACAACATTTGCCAACGTGCGAGGGTTTATTACTGTGGATAAATAAATATTACGACGTTATACAACAGAACCTTGCGTCCGGCTCGGCAAAGCTCTACACTGAGGTTCTTAAATCTTCATAATTCCAAGTTTTAATACTACCAAATATGCAAGTTTCCCGGTTTTTCACTAAAAATTTATCTTGTATCTTGACTAGTATTTCAAATAAAATTTGATCGAAATAAATTCTCCAGATACAAGATACAAGATACAAAATACTGTTTGAGAAACGTTCAGATACAAGATAAAAGATAAGATAAACTCCGTTACACAAGATACAAGATATATCTTTATCTTGTATCTGATATCTTGTATCTTGTCAAATTATCTTGGCCAACCCTGCAATTGGCAATTTAAAAGTAATATCTACTTTCTATGTAATTTGGGCTAAAAATTATATTTTCACCTAACTAATTTACTGCATATTTGGCTCCTTGGGGAGATTCATATGAAATTTCAAATAAAATTGCCCACGATTTTGTTTCATTCGTCAAGATGAGTACAAATTGCAGAATAGTTTGTCATACACACCTACCAGGTAGATATGTATGTAAAAGGTATAATTAAGAATGTAATTATTTCTATTCCCTTCTAGCACATTCAAGTCTATATTCTATAATCTATAATCTATATTCTGTGGCTTGCACCTACATAAATTCTGCATCGTCCAGTGACGCGATGATGGAAGCCATGATATAATTTTATCCTACTAACAATTACTAGAACCAGGTTGAATTTAAATAAATGTGTCAATAGTCGAACACTTTGCTGTTTTTTTTTTAAATTTCAAAATTTTTAATTCATACTTGCATGGAAAACTGATGAACGAATTGATACACATACTGCAGGCCAAACTGTTCATTGAGTACACATTTTTATTAATTTCATATAACAAAAAGTCAAATCAAAACTACATATCGAATGAATAATATAAAAAGCATGGTAACACAGAAAGTCGTAAGACATGAATGTTTTTTTTCTATGCAAATTGAAGTTCATCATATTTAACTTGGTGGCACTCGCGTTATCCTTTTACCGTCTCGGAGTTCGCTTTTCCGTCCCCACTGCAAGCACTGGTCGCAGATAGTGGATCCTTGACTGATGGGTCGGATGCCTCCTCCTTCCTTCGCGTCGTCATCCAATCATTCCACACGTTCGGAAACATGTCGGTGAGCGGGAAGTCGGCAGGGAGCTTCGGGCTTTGCGACGAAACACTTACAATGCGATGCCGTGAAGTGTTCATCGCCAATCTTGATGAGACTAACTTTATTTTGTAGTTAAGCTAATATTATTAAACAGTTGTTTTGTCATTTTCGATAATGCTCAACATATTTCTCACAATTTGACCTCAAAGTTGAAAAAAATGCTCATTTTCACAAGGCGAGGTCAATCACTTTCACGCTCAACTCGCTCACTCTCGCTCAGCCCGCTTTCTCACTCAACTCGCATTTTTCGCTTTTGCTTTCTTTAAAACTTTATTACATTTTAATACAATACATTTTAATTCAATAAATGCCAACGATTATTAATTATATGGACTTTTAGTACAACTACTCATGTGATAATTAATATAAAAATGATTAAAACAAAAAGAAAATTTGCACCAACTGCAACTAATGAATGGAACAACATTACAGTCAAATACGCTACAATCAGTCCCTTTGGATTGAAAACAAACTTCACTGACATTTTTAAAGTTAGGTTTTTCACCATCAGCCCACAACCCACTCGAGTACCAACAATAACGAATCATTGGTAAAAACACTGGTGCACTTAAGAGAAAGTGAACCAATGACTGGAGTTTTAAAATTCCATTACGTGTGCACAATTCTGACAATTCTTGTTCATGAGGACAATGCAAGGAGTCAAAGTAGTAAAACTGTTTTACAATAAATTTCAACTGTCGATGAAAATACGTATCCAATGGTTGGCAAAGGTCCGTGCAGCCTTCCGGAACAAATTTTAGATTGAAGTCTAAGGTCTCTTTATCTTCAAACCTTTCGTCGTACAACTGCATATTAGTTTGTCCAGTCCAATTGTCCAATATATAAAGAATTTGATTATATTCAGCATGTGGCACGACCATTCTGTCCAAAAAATCCGCTACTAAAGTGTTGCTTAATTTTCCTGATTTGCTTGAAGCAATGACTAAATTTGGGGCAGTAAATATACTTCTTTGTACTACGGGGCCAAATGTTCCACCTATTTCCTATTTAAAATTATGTTAGATAAAAATCTAGTTATCAGTACAGAGTCGAAATTAATTTAAAGTCCACATACTTGTAAACAAACATACACCTGAGGAAGAATTGAGCCATTATAGGCAATAATATATTGGACGGTGTACGAATGCGTGACCTTATTCTTCGGTGAGAATGCAGTCCCGATGGTTGTTCTTTCTCCTTTCCATGTTAAAGTTCGATTAGACAAAATTTCGTACTTAAATCCAGTTTGGTCCGTGTTCCAGATATTTTCTTTTTCATAAATATTCAATAGTGGTTGGATATGGTGTCGAAAATTTTCTGTTTGTTGAAGAATTTGGTCCATCTCCTTCACTGTTGATCTCTTGACAAGTTTTTGAACTTTTCTAGATGAAATTCTATTTCGTCGTTTGAACGTGCTGATCCATGTATCGCAAGCTTTAAAATTAAAGCCAGGATACTCCTTTGCCTTTATTAAAGCCCATCGTCTAATGTCGATTGTGTGTATAGGAAGAAATCCAGTCCTAGCTTCTCGAAACCGTTCAAGAACAAAGTTTTCAATCTCACGCATTATTGTGAACTTGGTACCACCTAATATCATTGTATTCATAATAAGTTCATTTTGTCATATCTCATTTATGAATAAAGTTATAAAACCGATTTACCCATATCGATTTGATCTCTCCATCTCTTTATATAATTATGGTGTTTAACATTTTTGAATTGTTGCCGAAATGTGCGAAATTTCCAGGCCTTGTTGTTGTTGAATATTTCTACTGCTTTCTTCTTGTATTCCATACTCACATCGTCATCCACAATCTTTAAACCATTTTCATCTATGTATGGTTCCAAACTACAAAGTACTTCATCAGCATCTATAAAGTAATAAATATAGTGTACCCGTGATAATGTTTAAAAAAAATTGGTCATCAAACAATTCGAAATAGCATACCGTTGGTAAATTCCTCATCTTTTACGAATACATAGTCATGTACTAATTCGCACAATTTATCAAGTAGTAGGTTGCCAATTACAATTTCTTCATCCGTTGGTTCCCTATACTCATAACTAAAGTATTCTTCGATTTTTACAACTAATATTTTTGATACACAGAGTAAGTTAATACTATCCATTCTAATAATAAATTATTGTTAACGAGTAATAATAATCCTTTAATGAAAATAATGAGACGAATTACAAAAAAAATCCTAAAAGTTCAGACTGGAGTGAGTTGAGTGGAAGGCTGGAAGAGTTGAGCGAGTTGGGCATGAAAGTGATTGACCTCGCCCAGTGAAAATGAGCATTTTTTTCAACTTTGAGGTCAAATTGTGAGAAATATGTTGAGCATTATCGAAAATGACAAAACAACTGTTTAATAATATTAGTTTAACTACAAAATAAAGTTAGTCTCATCAAGATTTGCGATAAACACTTCACGGCATCGCATTGTTAGTAATCTAGTGGTATGCATGACGTAGATACGTGGATCAAGTTTCCTCAACGTGACACATCTCGTCACAATCGGCACCCCATCGCTGTCACGTGTTGGGAAAAAAATCTCAAGTGTGCCGCGTTCACCTTCCCATGAATGAGTTGACATAAGGGGATGTGCGAACATTGATAGTGAAAGGGCTTCAAGTCTGGGAAGGTGCCTCTCATAGTCGAGGACATCGTCGTTATCATGCCCAGAAGGGAAAGTAATCTTCAAGTCGCTCAATTGCCTCCATCCGACGGAAAGAATTCTCAGCCGGGGAAGAATGGGGAGGTGCATAGCCTCGTCTCGCGGGAGGTCGTCATAAATGAAGTGCATTTCTTCCAATGTGTCGGCGTGCTTTTGGATTAAGTTTTCCAACCTGACGAAATTCTCTCGGCGTTTCAAAGATTGCAAACTACTCAGTTTCAACGTCTTCAATGGGTTAGTTAACTTCAAGAGCAAGTCAAGAACGATTTGTCCTATCGATCGGCCAATAAAAGCTTCCAAGTTTGGGAAGGGTCGTTCATATTGTAGCAAACAGTTGGCGAATTCAAAATCTTCGCCATTAAGTTGGAGGGTTTTAACGCCTTGAACTGCCGCCGCCCAGGAGGATATGATGGCGATAGGAGGTTCGAGATCGTACTTTACCGACAAGGTAAATCCTTCGAGCTTGTTAAGATGGAGGTTCTCCGTTGGAAATTCATAGCCATCACTGGATTCATCCTCTGAGCAGAGAAACCAAGATAACTCCAAGTCACGAAGGGTTCCTTGGAGTTTGATAAGAATGCCGAGATTGTTCTTGTAATCGGATGCTAAAAAGATTGGTCCACCCAAATTCAACCGGGTGATGTGATTACCTCGATCCAACAGTAACCAATTCAGATCGTCGACGAGTTTTACGAGTAATTCTTGTTGTTGATCAATTTCTATCATGGAAGACGGGAGGTTCAAGTTCAAACTGGGCGGTTGCAGGTTTTTCATTTCTTTAACGTATCGAAGCACCTTCGTCGACTCGATTGGGCCGTCATCCCCGTCCCAGTCTCGGAATTTGAAGGAAACGGTGGATTTTTTCTTTAGAATCCGAGCAGCTTCGTCGTCCCATTTGCTGCATACTAATCGTGCCATTTTGAGAGTGTTGAAGGGCAAATAAGAAAAAATATGGGATAAGATCTGCCAGAAAATAATGGACAGTTAGTCAATGCGTGTATTAAGAGACGGACTCTCGATATAATGACAACCAATTTAGCTATGTATCAAGAATCCATTTTTTTATAACTCACGAGGTGATTTTGTCCTGGCGTGAAGTTCACATTGTTCTTATCATCTGGGTTGTTCGGATGCTCTTCTTCTGCTCGTTCGGGGGGACGATGACCTTCCTGATAATTACAACGATGAACAATGAAAAATGAATTAGTCCACTCATCTCACCACAACTTAATCCATAGGTTGAAATCTTACTTTAAATAGAAATAATCCATTAAAACGTTCAGGTGGTTTAATCTCTCGACCCGGCCGATTAATAAATTGGTGTTTAATCCCTGGATAAACTCCACGTCTTGGTCGAACTTTGCCGAGTAAAGCTATCTAGTCGCCATAGTTGAGTTTCGTGCGACACTTTTTCTCCAATTGGTGATCATTGACAAAAACTACACGCTTCTGTATATTTTAAAAATAAAAGAATTTGGATCAAATGAGTTATTAATCCATTACTTTGCAATAAACTACACTCAATTATCTTACGTCGGCCGGTGTGATCCAGTAATTTCCACCTGAACAGGTAATTTCGGCCAGATTTCCGGGATTTTTTGTAGTCTGGACAAAGATAAATTCACCTTGGTCCTCCCTCGAGGTGTACTTGCTTCCGAACGTGTACTGGTAAGAAATGCGGTAAAAATGTGACGTAATTTTACATAAATTTATTCAGATAAGAATTAATTAGTCGCTTGACGCTTACCTTTTGATTTTCGATATACGGCAAGACGGTGTACTCTTTAAATCCTAAGTAGGGATAAAGTTCAGCGTCAACACATCCACAACTTGACCCCCAGACATGCTTCCGACACGGATAGCAGAATCGACATTCTGGTTCAAGAATAATTGCGTCTGCCACTTCCATTTTATTGGCTCCTCACAATTAAATAAAATTGTAATTGTTTGTTTACTGTTGAGTAAGAATTTATTGACTCTTGTTCGACTCCTGGTTTTGAACATCCCGCCGGACAAAATTCAATGCGAGAGTTTCGAGTCATTATGAATTGATTGTATAATGAATCATTAATATTAATGATTCATTATACATTTTCAATCATTAATATTAATGAATGATTCATTATACATTTTCAATTCATAATGACCAGAGGGCGGATATGTATGTACGTAAATTCCGCAAAATACGTATGTACATAATATGTACATACGTACAAACCTGAAAATATGCATACACATAAAAAATGTTCTTCAATTTAAATTTTCTACTATATTTATGAAATATAATTTTGAGGAAACCTTAATTATGAATGAAGACAAATATTTTTACATAAAAAACTTCGAAATATCTACTAAAATATTTATATTTCGAAAAATACTCAAAATATGTATGAAAATAGCAGAGGTGGGCAAGATCATTATCTCAGATAGCAGATCAAGATCAAAGATCAAGATAATATCTTGATCCTTGATCTTCGGCTGGAGCTTTTGATCTTGATCTTGATCTTGATCTAGCTCGGTAAGATCTTCTATCTTGATCTTGATCTTCGTTCAAGATCAAATCCCAAATATGAAAAGTAGCATTTTGAAACATTGATATTTTTTAAAAATAGCACCTTGGTACTCAAAGTACATTCAAGGAAACGAAAAACACTCGTGCGGGATTTAATTTTTTTTACTAATTAATGGAACCAGTTCTTCAAACGGCGATCTATTTCCTAAATGCGAATATTATTAGCCCGTCGACCGGATACTTCAACTATTACTTAATTTACCAAGAAATGAAGTATAAGGCCAACTTAAAACATCAGAGAAAATGTTTCGTTATGTATTATATAACTATACGAAATTATAACGTTGACGCTGTCAGCTTTGAATAACTAAAATTGGTCAGACAACCAATTTTCGTTACTTATCTAGTATTTGTAATGTGCACAGTGCACACTACGTACATTACACCTAGTTGTATTTATCGGTTTATCTTTATGTATAAAAAATATTTACAACATATCTGGAATTTATTTGATCTTGTGATCTTGATCTTGATCTGGGATTTGATCTTGATCTTGATCTTTTATCTTTAGTATTCGGCAGATTTATCTTTATCTTGTGGGGCGCAAAAATTGATCTTGATCTTTTATCTTGATCTTCGAAAACTTTGATCTTGCCCACCTCTGGAAAATACATACACACATCACATACATACATGTGTCCACATGTAAATTCGCTGTCCAGAATAAGTTTCTTCTCCAAGTTGGAGGCTCGAACGGATCTTTTTTTCGCTACATGTGTATGTATTATCTGTACCTGTACATATGTAAGCACATAAGCACATACTATGCAACATGAGATTATGTATCCTATAAATACATTTGTTAGACCCGAATAATGTAAATATTTAATATTTACAATGCATAATTCTCTCAACTATACACCATCATTCTCATCTAATCTATTCCGTAAGAATCCATTTGGGATTTGGGTTAAAATATAATTATAAAAACTCCACCCAAGCACATGGGTACATATACGTATGTACATATGTCCTTAGTGTAATTCTACTCGTTGAAACATCACTTCTAAACATTGCAAGTAATTATTTTCCAAACGTCTTAATTTAAAATTTTATCACTATTCTGTTACAGTAATACTTAATACAAGATTAATATTGATCGTTGTATGTAATGTTGTAGTAATTTCACAATCGAACCTATGTATGTACATACGTGTATACAGAAAATCCATTGTACTTTAGAAACACACCGACCGAAGTTTGCATATGACACACTATCACAATTGCCAAGAGCTGAATATGCACATAAGTATCTGTATGAATCCGTTCTTCATGACTCAACTTAAGCAGAACGAGGTGAACGTTTTATGTTCCACGTAACGCTTACTTGTGTATGTATCACTAAACTCATGAAACAAACTTTTATCACACATGAGATTCATTTTCGCAAAAAACGACAATACTGTAACACGGGTCAGATTCTCATCAGCATCACTCACTCATCGGGCCAACACACATACATATTTATCTCGTAAACGTCCTGCTTGCAAATTCATTCTGCTTTATCATACCGACCGAGTCGCAGCTTGCTAAAAATTTGATACATACATTCTCGATTTATTTAATTCCCGTCCAGTAATAGAATTTTGATACGATAGTTTCATAGAATCAGGTAAATTGTAAGTTTTAAACGTTTAGAGACTAAACGTTCTCTGCAAATACATACATAATAAAATTTCGAAAATTTTTATTTAGATAAAATTCTACCAAAATGTCCGGTAAGGATGATAAGCGTGATTCTACTGATCTCTCACCATCTCAAATCGCCAAGAAAACTAAAACCACGGATGACGAGTCATTCGTCTTTGTCGAGGAGGAAACCGAAAAAGGAGACCATGCAGGAGTAAAAACTGGAATTGAAGAGAATTTGACTTCCTCGCCGGAAGTTGTGTCTCAGATAAAGACGAAAACGTTAATAATTGTTATCTTGGATGAGAGTGGGTCCATGCAGGCGCAAAAAGGGGACGTGATCGGGGGGTACAATTCATTTCTTGAGGAACAGAAGAAAGCCTGTGAAAATGATGAGGTATGAAATTTTATTCAGAGGAAAATATACAATTTTCAAAATCCCAGGTATAATTACATATGTATGTATACACCTCTCTCTAAATAATTTGGTTACGCTCAATTCTTTTGCATATACATATAAATATGTAATAAAAGTGGCCAGTGGAAGCCGTGGGGACATCTGGGGACATTGTAGAATAGGGGAGGGAGAGGTTTATTGATATGTGTATAACATGGGCAAATGATAGGGGGATCAAATAACCGTGGGGACATTGTCCCTGTGTCCTACACTTCCGCAGCCACTGTGTAATACTGCTGATTGGGTGACAGTCATAATTTAGCAGGAAATTGTACTCCTTACATATCTTTTCCTTGCTAAATATGTACAAATGCCTATGCTATGAGTTAGTGAATACTAAAATATCTAACACGACGTTAGAAACCATCAACCTTTGGAAAAAATTTATTATGAGACAATGGGCCAAAGTCACCTAAAAATTTTAGTGATCAGAATGTTTGTAAATTTTGAAAAGTGTCAAACTATGAGAACTCAATGTGACTCTTAACTGAAATCGCGAAAACGAAATCGCAAATTGATCAAAACTTTTAAAGTTTTGCTCAATTTGCGAGATATGTGAATAATTTGATAATATCTCCCCAACTTGGCATGATTTTGTTCAGTATTTACTATCAATTTAACAATAATTTTCATAACTTCGAAAATGACATATCTTTCTCTCATTTTCAGGCTCGCCTTATTTTAATAAAATTCAACCACATCGTTACTAAAGTGCATGATGCCCGCAGTCTCGAAAACGTGCCCGAGTTAAGCACCGATAATTACAAACCTGGCGGAAACACGGCGTTGTACGATGCCGTTGGAGAGGGAATTAGGATAGGGGAAGCCGCCCTTAATGAGGGCGAACGTGTCCTAGTACTCATCATGACGGGTAAGATTTTGCGAAAAAAAAGTTTGCAAAATAATCTTGCAATTATGAAATTGCACACTAAATTATGCAGATGGACAAGAGAACGCATCCAAAAATTTCTCTTCATCCCAGATAAAAACAAAAATGGCGGAGAAGGAAGCCCTCGGAAATTGGACGTTTGCCTACATCGGGGAAAACCCTGACCAATGGGCTCGCGACATGGCGCTGTCGTCATCCAACGCCGTTCCGTACGATTTGGCGCAGCAGCGGGAAAATATGACGAGGATGAGTCGCGCAGTGGGAACGTTCCGAGTCCAGATACAGGCACAAATGCAGGACGTATTTACCGATCCTCCATCAAGTGCTAGGAAATGAGAAATTTATTAAAAATATAAATATCTTGTCTGATTTGTTAGTAATGTGTTAAGTCATCTTTTTTGATTTGTTATTTAATAAATTTGAAATTGTTTATGTGCCAGAAAACCAATTCGGTTACATGTTTATGTATTACTGACTACCGTTTATGTGTTACTGATTTTGGCAAAGTTTGTTGGTCAGAAGGCATCGTTTTTCTCTAATTTATTTCTGGTATCGTAAACTATTTACATAAATATTTCGGGGCGAAATTTTTCATGGTCACCCTAAATACTTATTTACCTCGTTGCTAATTATCGAAATCGCCAAATGTAAACTTGTAAAGTTTTGAAATAAAAAAATGCCAAATTTTAAACCAAACATTTTGGAATATGTAGACATTATATTAATTTTTAACTCTTCATGGTAATTAAAAAATTATTGGTAAATATGTACTCATACATACATACGTACATATGTGCAAGCTAAGTTCTATGCTTCGGAAAACAAATTGCGATGCCAATTTACATTGGCATGATTATATCATACCACAATAAATACTTTTCAAAATAGGTAATTAGAGAAAAGTGGATTCCTGCAATTTATGTACATACTGACTTATAATACATTTCGAACTAAATACTCAGAAATAGGGGATGATATATCTCGAACATTTTACCACTGCGAGGTATCGGTATTGGAATTCGATTAAGTAATTTATGTATTTACATGCTCTCCTCAGAAAACTTTTCCATACCACATCGTTCCACCAAGCCATTCCCAGTTTTCCTTAAAACTTGCGAAAAAAAATTTAAAAAAGGATCAAGTGCTTGTAAGAAATTTTGGGCATTTTCATAATACGAGGTCGTATATGGTTAAAGGTTAAAAAAAACAAAGTTCACAAAAAAAATTTCTTCCTGAAAATTCATTTGAAACTTGCGCATCCCCAAGGCTACACAGTTTGGTTCGCGTTTTTTTTCAAAATTTTGTTGCGATGCGAACATATGAACTCGTAATGAATACCTCTAAGATTTATTGTGCAACGTTAAAGCCTGAGATTTAGAACAAACTTCTCCCTGGAAATAAATATCTGGATTTTTTTAATTTCTTAAAAAAATGGTCGTAACTTGCCTCATGTTGAAGTCGTTAGAAAATTTTGATACCTCGTTTTCCTACCTGTACCCCTGTCCACTTGAATGGGATAAGAAATCTGGGAAATTGGTGTGTAACAAAGTCTCAAAGAAATTGATTCCATGGATTCTATCCGTCTTTGGGGGAATGGGGAGCGTCTTTATTTTCTGCGTTGTGCTACTTGGTTGTCAACTGTTTGGAGTGGCACGACTTGAATTTTCGAACATTGTCCTGACCATGGTATTCCTTTGTTTAGTCACGTATGCAATTTCGTTGGAAATTTTGTACCTCTTTTATGCGGAAGACTGTTCACATTCGTCCCATGATTGTGTAGCTCAAGTGAAGAAAATAGGTGAGTGTATTTTTAGGATTTTTAGGACATGAGAATTTTTTAGTAAATTTTGAAACTGGGGGTAAATATTTTCGACAATTCGGAATATCAAATTCCCCAAAATATATCTATATAACGTCGAAAATGTTAAAATCGAAACTACCCGTTAAATATAATTTTTTATCTATTTTTGTTCAGCCAATATTAACAGTCTAAAAAAATCTGAAAGGTTTCCTGGTAGATTATTTTATATTATTTCAAAAGCAAAATAATCTCTCAGCAATTTTCCAAGGAATTGAGACTATTAATATTGGCTGACTGACAGTAGTGTGCATAAACCTTGTTTAAAACCAGCCGTTAAGAAACTTGCCAAGAATAAGTTGGTTTGGCGAGTTTTTTTACGAATAAACAATATCAACAAGGGCGATACGAATTTTCCTCCTAACCGCAAGTCTGATTTTTTTGCATATTTTCCTATTCCAGAGTTTGGTCAAATTTTTACCGAATTTCAACTCGACCCCCTCTGGATAATCTTGAACCTCACGGTTGCTATGTTTGCCATCTTCCCATATTTCATGTACCCCTTCATCGCCTACTTTGGGCTGGACCCCTTCACCCAAACCTTACACAATCTCCTCATCCCCTCCAACCTGGCCCCACCCCCAGTGACCTATGCCCTTTCCGCCCTCCGTTTCTCCGTCGTGGCCCCACTCGTCAAAAGGAACCGTATCTTGTCCTTCTATGCTGTAACGACCACGCTTGCAACTCATCTAATCCTGACGCTTATCTCCAACTTATCCAAAGCCACAGAAAAACTTTATATGACCAGAATTTCCCGATCTGCCATTGACACTTATCTCGCCAGATATCAAACTCTTCAGGTCATCATGACAGCAACAGCCGAGTTCACGGCGCCGAGAACTGCGATTTTTATGTTCCTCGGAATCATACTATCCGTCTTGATGAATTTTGTGACGCTGAAAATGCATGGGATCGTTCCGCTCCCGTTCTTCGCCTTCTTTCCGATAGCGTCAGTCCTAGTCGTGGTTCTGATCGGGGTCATGCTTCCCATGTTGGTGGACGTGTACGAAAATTGTGGGGAAATGTATGCCCGGTGGAAATATTTGGTGGGGAGGAGTGTGGACAAGAAGTATTTGAGGAGGAGGTTGAAGGCGATGAGGATGCTCCAGTTTTACGGGGGGATTAATGGGTACAATATTTGCATGTGTAAGAGGTGGACAAAGTTGTGGTATTACGGGGTCATTTTGAGTTAAACGGTATCCGCATTGTTGTCCGTGGAGAGGACGAGTGTATTGAGGAGAGAGTGAAGTAAGGGAAAGGGATTTTTTTCGTGATGAATATAAGTAGGTTATAAAATTCAAAATTTCCGAAGTGACGTTTCTTAAAATGTACATACATAAATGCTTGCCATTTTTATAAATACTGGTTACTGGTTTGTATAGAATCTACATATACTTTAGAAGTGCATATGTATTTGTATGTACAATGATATGGTGTATTTGTATGTACCGTATGTACATATTTAATATGCTCTCATAATGAGTCATCAATTGCTTGAGTATTTACATGGTTGACGAGTATATTTTTTGTCATACACTCTGAGCAAAGTGGTGAAGTCACACATATACAATCCGTGATGGTATCAATTTGGTGATAATTTCTCCCCGGGTTGGTAATAGTTTGATTGGTGAGTTTTCATCACCACAACGGTGTATATTTTTCACTATGCGGTGTTGCCCGTTATCACCGCTCCGGTGAAGTCATATATGCACTATGCACTCCGTTTGGTGGTGATTCAATACCATTTTGCTAAGAGTGTAGCCAAGCATTTTTCATGGACAACAGCTTACGAAAATAATGTCAATTACAAATTTCTTAAAATTAGGAGAAAATAAATATCAATAAATTTTTAAATAATCTGCTTATCGCTTTTAAAGAGTTGCAGTAGTCTTAAACTTAAACCTACATAAGTACATATGTACCTGGGAGGACCAGGTTTTAACTATAAACTTGTACCTGTCATACCTCACACGAAACTACTGTCTTCTTAACTCGCTAAAATTTGGAGCACATAAAATATTTGTAAACGTAGATTACCTGGCCGCAATTTCATTTTAAAATGAATTTAGACAGCGAAACAAATGTGCTATACATACGTACATATACATGAATCCTCAACATGATATGGATTATTAAATAACACATAATTTATTAATTTATTCCAGGAAGTATGTATGCTACAGGTGTATTTTTATTTGTATGCAACGTTGGCTTAAATATTCCTCAACTCACAGCAAGATTAATTCACATTTACATATGTATGTATGTATGTATGTATGTATGTAGCGTTTGTCGTATTACGCAATAGTGTACTGGAAAATGAAAGTGGTTCCCAAAAACCCAGGAAGTTTTACTTCCAAAAATATGCCTCATGTTCCATCAAATTTGTGTAAAATTTCTAATCTGACACACTTCTTAATACTTGTATTAATGAACTGATTGTGAGCTTATTGTTTCCAATGGGGAATCCCTTTTCGTGTATGACTAATTCATCTGAATCAATCAGTATCATAGTGCCTAAGTCAATAGAAATCTGGGCAGATATTCTGCTATAAAACTCATTCGTATCAGTAGTTGGAAATCATACAGTTTCATCATTCCCAAAAGACACAGTTCTTCGCCAGCTCAATACATATATCCTGAATTTCCAGGAACTTTTATCATTACAAAATGCGATCACAATCCACAAGCACAATTTTCCTACTACTTTTGGGAATTTTTGGTAAGTCTTCATATTCACAACGCTCTAATATTTGCAATACAGTGCGTGCATATATGTAGACTGTTGAAATCCGTGCTTTTTGTAAAATAATTTTACAAACTTTTACAAAATAGAAGACGCCCTTGATCTGAGCAAGTTAACAAAAATTACTAAACCAATTTTCCTTAGAAATTTTCGGAAAATTTTGAAAAAGTTTACAAGTTTAAAAAATTTTGCGGATTTTATATGGTTGCCAGGCACAGCATGAATTGACTCACACGAAAGATCTGCACATTTTTCTGTATACATTTTCAAATTGTTACCCTAATATGTCTCTTTTTCACCAGTCTGCACAATTTCCGGCGATAAAGGTGCCAAATTTTACGGCGATAACAACATCCAACCCCCGCGTAAGGCCATCGTAAACAATGTGGCCACCTCAAACACGGACTGGCTGGTTAAACGCGTCGCAACCCTGGAATCCTACTTGATCAATGAGCTCAACGATTTGAAAGACGAGATGATAACTGTTCTTAAGATGTCGTCTAACATTACCACCGTGAACATGCAGTTGGACGCGGTGCGATGGAATATGCAAGAGTTGTCGCGAAATTTCGCGATAGCAAAGATACCATCAGGTACTTTTTAAATTTCTCAATATGAGTAAAAACTATATTTCCAATAAGTTTGCAAAATTTTGCCAAAAATCAAGTTTCTTAATTTTGCAAAAATTCAAAACAATATGCCAACATTACACTCTTAGAAATCCAGTATTAAAATAATACCACGCGGTATTCATATATGAATTTAACAAAGTGGTGTTGATAAGTAATACCCTGTAGTAATTCCTCGGTATTAAAGTTTTACCGTACCAGTGTCAAATGATTTCGATACCAAGCGGTAGCAACTTTCACAACGAGAAATAAATACCAGCCTGATACAAGATTTCAAACAGGGTAGATCAATACGCAGTTGTTCGTAATTTGATCTAAGATGTCAATACTTGTTTACCGCTAAATTCAAATTTGTTACTGCTCAGTGATAGATTATAATGTTGTCAAACTAATTTTGCACTGGCAATGGCATTTGTGACCGAATTATAATACCTAAAACCGTTTTAAATTTTAGTGCCCATTGGATTCGTGTACATGCAGCTGCCTAACCAGAAGGAGCCATCTCAACTGTACAGCGGAATGACGTGGAAGGAAGTCAAGGAAAAAGATCGTCACTACGAAGCCGTCGAATTCAGATACAAACCAGAAGAAATTAGAGTGTGGACAAGAATTAATTAAATACTTGGATAAACGGCGACGATAAATTAGTTTGTAATTGTTTTTGTTGTTATTCTTTATATTTTTAATGTTAAACATGAACGATATGGTTACGCGCAATGGTGCTTAACTTACAAAATAAAGAAGTATTAAATGTTACAAATAATGCTGTATTTAGTAAACGCATATGAATAAGAAAATTGCATACTGTGAGGAACCTTTGTCGTTGGGGGACCATTTTTTTACCCCAATTTTCCGGTTTTATCGCAAACTCGTCCTCACCATGTCACCATAAATATCTAGGGAAATTACAGAAATCCATGGAAACAAGGTGAAAATTGTTGTTCTCATCAACAGATTTGAGGTATGCGAAGTCATACATATTAGACAGGTTGAGCAAGAGTACAATATTGTAAAAAAAATGATTGTAGCTAGAATCACAATCACAATCTATGATTGTATGTTCTTGAGGTTGAGCAAGAATATTTGATGGGAGGATTGTAATTCTCATTAATTTCCGGCGGCAGATTTGAAATTCCTGCAAGTTGGGTATATGAGTACAATACAATGCTACCTGGAGACGGAGATTTGTAATCCTGAGTTTGACTAAAAGTTTGACTAATTTTGATTTTCCCGCTGTGTTTACAATCGCAAAATACAATCATGTACTCTTGCTCAACCTGTCTATTTTGCGAATGTCATACATTTTTGGAGACTTGTAAATTTTCTAAATGAGTTTCGGTGCTAAGCTACATAAACTAAACATTGTCGTGAGTATGCCCATTCTACATAAATAATCAGTCCAAATGATTACTGATGTCATGACGAAAATACACACACATGTAAATTAAATTTATCGCCGAAACTGCATTAAGATAATGAAATACGTGAAGATTTGCTGAAAAACCTAAATTCAATCAAATTCAGTATTACTTAACAATACCTTAATTTTTATCTATTTACTAGTTAGTTCCATGAGAAATGCCTTACCCCTAAAATTAAAGTGTTGTTCAATTTCACGTAATTATTAAAAGACATTTCTGTAGGATGACTTGTAAGCAAATTGTAAATTTCCCGTAGCTGAAAATATGAAAAAACTTTTAGTAAATAAGCTATATAATTTCAAGTTTTGGATGTAAACTACCTCATAAGAATAGTCATCAGTTTCACATGGACCAAATTTCATCCTTAAATCCTCCAATTTCAGTAGGGATGCTACTTTACATTCCTGTTAGTAATATATAATTCTTGTAAATAGCTTTGACACTAAAACGTTACTACACTCTTAGAAATCCGGTGTAAAAATATTACCGAACGGTATTCATATGTGTATGACTCTTCAACAAAAAGTGGTATTGATAAAGATTATCGTGAGTGATAGCTTGGTATTAAAATTCTACCTAACATGTAGCACATTTTTGTGGACCGGTATAACTTTAATACCAAACGGTAACAACTTTAACACCTAGAAATCTATACATGCTAGATTTCTAAGAATGTATTTATTTATGAATATCTAACCTCATTTGTTATGGAGACAGCCATCCAAATTTTTACGTAGAGTCGACTCAACCCAAACAATACCCACATTCCTGTGAAACCGTTTGTGATCCAGACGCCTGTAGTGTCCCCAACTGGTTGGTCACTCAGGACGGAGACAAAGATGAAGATCGACCCTCCCGTGAAATACATCGTCATAAAGATGGAAAGCATTTGTTGTGGGGCCAAATATTCCCCACAAATTGCAGCCTGCGAACGTAACTTGATTAAAAGAAGATGGATCTTTCGAACTTCTAGTTGCATAAGTTCGGCATCAAACGTGTTCTCAATGTGGGTTCGTACCTTGTATGGAGAATTGCATTTAAAAATTTGTACGCAATAGTAAAATTTGTTTCACCCAAAGAAGAATACGAAATTAAGTGACCAGTAAGCATTCCCAGATTTTGAGGTACAAATTTCGGGTTATTTATTGTAAAAATATACAAAATAGTGCTTTTACATATGTATTATCAAGCGTCGAAATTTAGCAGGAATTTTCCGGATTTGAGCAGTGAAACACAGGTATGTTTTGGCTGAAAAATCAAGTATTTTGTAAACTCTGGAAATAAATGTATTTAATAGAAAAGCAATTCACTTATGGTCCTTCATATCATTGTCAAATCCGTAAATCCCGTAAACCTATCAAGTTTGTAGTCCAAATTTTTACAAAATTTGCAAATCAAAATTCTAATACAAAATATATTGAAGCACAAATATTTCACGGAAAATAGACTTTAAATTTTTTGCAAGCCTAGATTAGTCCGTTCGAAATCTGAGGCGCTCATATGTCACTTTATCATATTTTAAAGTATTACCTCGCCAAATTCGACTTGCAAACATTTCAGCATTATGAGAGCCTGCGATTCTCCCGAAGCGTAGCACATGTGAGGAAGATAATTATAAATTATGACCAAAACGCAATGAATCGGGTACTTCACGTCAAAGGTTAAGAAGGTCTCAATACTTCCGAAAACCAGTATTGGCGCAAATTCAAAAAATGGGATGACGTATTTCATAAATTTCTGAATCTCTATCTTGTCCCTGGTAAAACCCATTTGTTGCATATCGTCTTCAATTTCATTCCAATTATTTAACCATTTCGTCAACGTGGATGCTTTCAGAAACGCGATCAAGTAATCGATCGGAGCGATTGCGATGTAAACCAAACTGATCGAAGCTATCAAACCGGCCGTGAACCCAGTCACGTGATCCATTACATTGTAAACTTCCTCTTTCGCTTCCTCCCTGCTATTTTGTGCTGGCCAACTGAAATATAAATTGATGTTTGATTAACTTTCGAGCAATCATACGTAAGTATGTACTGAGCGTTCTAACGACAACGACAACCTATATGACCTATGCCTACAGATATTAGCCAATAAGTCGTGAAAATTTGCCAGATTTCACTGAGCTTTTGCTGGATGACGATATGATTTTATTCGGAAATTAAAATTATTTCACAAATTCATCTTCTCCATCACTAAGCGATCGAGATTTCATAAACCCATACAAACTAAATTAAAATTGGATATGATAACAAGACGGCTTTGATGTATGTATATATAGTTTTGAGAAATTGGCGAAATACTTTGCGAATTTCTATGCAAGAATAATTTTTTGAGCCCCGTGTCTTTTACGTACATAATTCGCAATAAGACGTTGTCGTGAGTATATGTATTAACATAAATATGACGCCTATGGATTCTAGTTTTTCCGAAAGTTGGATTTCATTGCAACAAATCGTGATCAATTCAAGAAAAGGATGCTTTTAGTGCCTCCTGCATAGTTTTGATTCTGAAATATTGATAAAATTCGCTCACATGCCAGACCAAGGGAACACGTCGTACTCAAGTAATTCACCATACTTAAGGACTCCAAAGAGTAACAAGATATTCAACAAGAACGCACAAATTAAAGCTACGGAAAACGTGGCTCCGCCCGGTTTGAAATTAAAATTCACTTGTTCCTTTTTCACTATGGCTTTAAATGACAAGGGACACAGGGCAAGGGATCGCGTGAATTTGAAAAAGGGAAGGACCTGTTTGGTCAATCCGGGTATTTTGGGGGTTACACAAATTTGGACCATTATGATTTCTTAAGGTGCGTTTATGCTTCACGTAATCGTCATGTCCTCCTCCAAATCCGATTTTTTGATTGGTTAAAATTGTTAATTGTCGTAGTGATCATTTCGTCCAGCCAATCAAAAAATCGGATTTGAAGGAGTACGTGACGATGACGTGAAGCATAAACACCACTTTAGGCTCCAAGGAATGTGAGGAAAGAACCATTTTCGTTGCTTATGATAAATGCAATTGATATGAAAAACTAATTTGTTAAGTGACTAACGCCTAAATACATATTTCTGTATGTCCGAAACCAATTGAATTGGAAGGTGGAAGCATTATTGGTATTGTAAAGTGGACTATTAATATTTACTGAAGTTAATATTAAATGTAGAAATTATGTATAAGCACGCAATGACAATAATATGAATTGTTAATCCAACGATATTAATGACACATGCATGCATGTATCATGTATACACTGTGAAGTTATTTGTGGGTGTCACCTCATTTTAACTTTGAGCGTAAAATATGTTAAATATGTTTCTGCATTCAAACTTTTTGTGTACATGGCGTTTTAAGTAAATGTCTAGCTACCATGGAAAATTTTGCAAAGGGAAAAGTTCACAAATCCGTTTGGCTTGTTTCCCAGAAGGGAAATAAAATTTTCATTTCGTACAAAAACGCGAGAAGTTTCAAAATCATTTAGATAAATAGAAGAAGGTAAACTTGAGACACAAAAATCCAAACACCCGCATGCAATGGAACCTTAACACATTTCATCCAAAGAATGAGTCGACAAAAACTAAACGCCCGAACCAATAGTCCAGTCAACAGCCAATAAAAGAGTCAATTTTACATATTTCATATTTCTGTACTGTCATTTAAAGTAAAATAGATTTTGATTCAATAAAGCTGCATAGTTCACGCGGCGAACCCAACTGTCATTTGAGATTTGGAGGTGCCAGAAAGGGTTCGGGGAAAGTGCATAAGGAAAAACGCATCGATAGAGGGTTCATTTTTCCCCCTTAATCGGGAGTATTCACGCAGCGCGTGGTGGCTGATGCCCGGCCAAGCAGTGCATGCTTCACTCCACGACGGTGGTGCACCACCGTGCATCATCGCCACCACCAATCCCCACATATCCTGGCATCAAAAAATGACGTTGGAAGCACCTAGGTGGCGTCCCACCGCCTTCACGTTTATATACCACTTTACCTCCAGACTGACCCACTTTTGTGACAAGTTTAGCGATAACGTGCAAATCATGGAGCTTTCCATCGAATACGAAGAAACCTTTCAATACATCCATCAAGTCTTAACAAATTGCTGCCTGAATTTGAAGCAGTTGCGAATTCTTTGCGAAATTCGGATTCCGAGCTCGAAGAAAACTTTGGGGCCGCTGCCACCACAACCAAAGCTAAAATCTTTTCTACTCAACTCCACGCTGAGGGCGCCGATTCCTACTCTGACGAATTTTATTCAGATCGTTGTCAACGCCTCGCCAAATTTAAGGGAGGTCAAAATTCCATGGGGAATCTGTCCCAATTTTGAAAATTCTAAATCTCTCGACTCCTTAACGATTGCATTGGATAACCTTAATGCACGTGACTTCGCTGTATTTAAAACTTCAGGGTTCTCACGTATGCTTAATCAAGTTGCGGATCACCTGGTCAGCTTATGCATTGGGGAATCCGATGCGGTAGAGTGCATCTACGATTCCAAACACTGGACTAGAATAGGATTCCTGTTACCGAGAAAGATGCCGAAATTGCAAAAGTATCGAAACGTGCTGGTCGATGTTTTTCAGTTCGGCGATGTCTTGCAAGACTTGGAAAATATGCCCGTCCTCACAACCCTGGTGATTGGGAAAACAAATAATAAAAAATCGGCAGGTTTTCAAGAATTTTTGCAACCCATTTTCGACTCTGGGAAGATTTTTGGAAGTTTGAAGAATTTGACGATTCTTGAGCTGCATGATCCCAGACTTTTGGAGGGATTGAAGACTACTTTTCCCAACTTGGTAAAATTGGAGGTTGCGTGTATCACTAAGGGCTTCCATGGGAAGGAAAGTGAGATGAAGTTGGGCGTGGTGCTTAAGGCGTGTGGGGGTTGGGAAGGGCTGAAACGGATGGATCTATGGCTACCGATTTATCCAGAAAAAATAAAGGACGCCATTCCAGCTCTGTTGGAAGGACGGGAATTGTACAAAGGCGAGTGTGAGGGTTTCAAATTAAAAATTTTCTGAGATGAGGGACAATTTTGCGTTACGTGTTTTATGAATGTTCCCTAATTTCTATATGTAATATGCCAATTTCTTAAATTTCTGCCCACTACAGGGTTGAAAACTTTGAACATTATGGGAAACAATGCCTACAAGACAAATGTGAAACAAGATTTGAAAGGGAAAGAGTTGGATCTGTTTAAGGAACTGCTCCTCGCGATGAAAGGGGTGGACGACGTCATCATTTCATATCTTCGTGTAAGTTTCTTATCCACTATCCACATCAATTTCTTATTCACTTGGTCCATAACTTGTATCGTTTAAATACATATTTCTATTGGTTTTGTTTCCAGTTTTACGAACAATCTGAGAGGAATATATTCAATATAATGGTGTCAAACAACTTGGATGCCTCGAAGTTTAGGATTTTTGAAGGGAAATCGACCCGTCTTGGTAGCGATTAGTTACAAATTTGATTTCATGTTTAGGCCGACCAAGCAACCTCATTAGTTCAGTTGAAGATCACAACTTCAAATCTGTAAATATCTTTAAGGTTTACGACAAGTTTCTATACATATGTATTCGGAGATTAATTGTTTATATAGAAGGAATATGTATCTTAAAATAAAGTTATTAGTATTCCAGTTAAAAATGAAAAGATTATTATCAGTAAATATGTAAATTATGCTTGTTTTTATGTAATTTTTCCACAAGAATTTTAACATGAAAATTTACTCTTGAGTATGCAGTGTACTGAATTTAATTCCTAAATTCTATAAATATACTTTAAAATGAAGGTTTTAATATCAGTTTAACATTGAAAGGCTATGCAACAGATAAAGGATACTCGGTTTATGTAAATGATCATAAAAAATTTATGTATTATAATAGAGAGTTGGAGATATTTTGGATTTTTACTTGTACTTTACTGTGGTTACAGTACAGTACAAAAATTAGTACAAAATTCAAAAGACCTGGAGAATTTCCAATATTTTATACTGTAGGAAATTTGATTGTAGAAGTCCGCGAACCATGTGAATCAACAATTGAGAAAATTAGACATGGGAACTTTTTTAAAACTTGCACTATTATCTGAAGATGATTTCGCCCTACTTTTGGGGGCAGAATCTATTCGGCGCCGAAAAAAGTTATTTCCACCATTATTCGAGTTTGAGGCGCATCCGCTATGATTTCCGCTTCTATACTGATTTCCGGTTTATCAAGGAAGAGATTTTAAATCTCATCAACGTGTTACGAATTCCAAAAGAAATGCGTACCCCACAAGGATTAAAGTTTCTTGGCGCCGAAGGTAATTAGGAGCAAGATAAATCTTATGACCTCTTGTAATACATATAATTGTGATATTCCAGGATTCTGCATACTTCTCCGGCGCCTGGCTTATCCAAACCGACTTCTTGATTTGCAACCTATATTTGGAAGGCGTGAAGAAGAACTATCTCATATTTTTAATACCGTCCTGGACTACATTTACGACAACTTTAGATGGCTAACAGAATCGTGGAAACAATGGTGGCTTCAAGTAGATCACCTTAAAGCGTACAGCGATGCAATTACAGCAAAAGGATCAGCACTTCAAACCTGTTTCGGATTCATAGATGGTAAAATGACTGGTATATTTAGGTTTGTTATAAGTTATAATTGTATGTACAATTGTAGTTCTATGTATGTAGGAACGTTACATGCAACCTGCCGTCCAACTCGACATCAACAAGAGGTTTACAGTGGTCACAAGCGCCAACACGGTCTCAAATATCAATCAGTGGTATTACCTAACGGCTTAATTGCTAATTTGTATGGACCTGTATCTGGACGACGCCACGATTCTTACATGCTGGCAGAGAGCAATTTGATGTGGAATCTTCAGAACCACCTCGGCGCCGAGAATCTTCATTTATACGGAGACAAAGGTTATGCACTGCAGCAACATCTTATCACACCATACCAAGGAAATGACCTACCCCCACAACATCGACAATTCAATCTTGTGATAAGCCGGATGAGAATATGCGTTGAATGGGAGTTTGGGGAACTTTTCGAGCAATTTGCCTTCCTGGATTTAAAAAAAAATCAAAAAATATATTTGCAGCCTTTAGGTAAATATATGGCTGTTGCAACTATTTTAAAAAACTGTAAAACATGCTTAAACGGGTCTCAAACATCAATGTATTTCGGTTTAAATCCTCCTTCATTATCGAGCTATGTCAATAATGATCCAAATTTATAATAAATGTTACATAAACTGGCGCCAGTAATTTATTTTCCATATTCATTTGTTATTTTTTCATGAGAAGTTCGAGCATAAGTTTCTGAGTCTCAAGCTGAAGGCGCCTTTCTTCTTGGTCAGAATCATGTTTAGCCTTCTCAATTTGCAACCGTTCCAAGTCAAGTTGCCGTTGGTGTTCGAATTTTTCTTTTTCAAATTGTAAAGTCGCATTCTTCAACTGTAATTCTTCTACCTTAATATCCTGCTCTGCTTTGAATTTCTGGTTGTCCTGTTCTTGTTTTTCTTTCCACAATTCAACAAGATCACCATCACCAGTTCTTTTTAATTTACGGGTGAATTGTTGAGCTGACGGAGGCGTACCGAGATCATCTAAAATTAATGTCCTCGTATCAAATATAACCCGTTTGGACATATTTAAAAGTTAAATCCAACCATTCTTTTTTACAGTCGACATCGCGGCGCCGCGTATTTCTTCCGCCTTTTCTTTGTTGACTTCCAGCTTTTGCTTTTTCTTTTCCTTTGAATTTATAATGATGTCCTCTAAATCTCGAACTAACGGACTCAGACTGCTCAACTTTGTGTCAAGTTCCGAGAGTTCTTCTTCCTTGCCGGTTCTAAAAGTAAATAACAATTGGTAAATTTGCAATGAATAGTAAGCATTTCAAATCAACGTAAGTATTTTTACTCATCACGATGAATTTTATCTTGTTTCTCGAATTCCTTTAAGATCCGTTCAAATCTTCTTTTAACTGCTATGTAGTCAACGGCGCCGTGGTATTTAGTGTTTCTGCTACTGCTGACCACAACTTGACACTTTCTTTAGGCGAATCTGAGAAAGGCTGCACTTTTTCGATTTCCGTCACCATTGTTAGATCCCTTTCGGAGTTCCACCGAAACTGCCGCTTCCGTCCAGATACGGGAATGGTCTCAGACTCATCCCCATCCTCTTTTGAGTTGGGTTTGCGCTCTATTTTTTTGGAACACTGCAAATTTACAAAATAAATATTAGGTTGGTTAAGTAAGTTACAACAAGTTCGAGCTAAATATATGCATGAAAACATATATACATATGCAAATGTGTTTACATGCTCCACATATGTATATATGAATAATACAAAACTTCAAATTTAAAATTTGTAATTACCTTTGTAACAGTAGACATTTTATAGTTTAATTTCAAACTACTAAATTGCAAAGAACAATTTGAGTGGGATGAGCGAGTAAATAAATTTAATCCTGGCGCCAGGGGAAGGAGAGAATTTTACTCACCAACACCTGATTTCCAGAGTAAAATACAAACTGAGCCCGTGTTTCAATTTGGGTACTGTAGACTGTAGAATTAGTACAAAAATCTGATGACGTCATCATCTAGAGTCCAGAGTACAGTCTACAGTCGAAATCCAAGTTTTCTCCAACTCTCTAATAAGTACATATTATATTTATTAATGTTGTAAACATATAAATGTGCATGATGGTTTTGGTCAGGAAATATGTACTGACATTTATGGGATTTGATCTAATGACAAGTGTAGCATCGAGCATAATTTAATACTGGTCGTTGCGCCAGGTCCATAATTTATTTAATACAATTAATTAAACACATGACTAAATAAATAGGATAGGACGTAGTTTATTCAACAATTAAACTACAAAACATTTCATTTAGGATAAGTAATTATTTGATTATTATGGAGTGAAAAAGAATCTTTTTAAAAGATTCTAATAATTCAATTCGTGGTGCATGGCGAAACTTGTAATTTTAAAAGTTATTTTGTACGTATTAAGGAGTGTTAATACATATCCACTTTAAATATTTTAGCACAAAATTAATAGTCAGGGTCAGGATACGCCTTGCCCACAAATATTTTGAACTTTGACACCGACATGTTGTTTGACTCCATGAATTCAAATATGTCTCTAGCAGATTTGTAGCTGAACTAGATGCGAAATGGATAAAAATATATTTTATTATCACATTACTAAATTTTTAGTTATTAAATCCAACTCAGAATGAAAAAACTTCCATAAATACCGTGAATTTCGACCTCGTCCATTTCATCCGTCGCCACGAGAACTTGCTTAAACAGGTTTAACTCGATCTCTGTGAAGTCGTGTGTCACGTCATCTCCACAGCATTGGCCCATTTCGAACGTTTTCAGCGCTTAAGTTTAAATCAACATAGAAATAAAACAAATTAGCATATCAATAAGCTACACATTAACTACATAGTATTATATAAATTTATATAATAAATAATAATATTTATGTTAAGATGTTATCACGAGGATAACATCTCGTCTGGCATAATTACAATTTTGTTACTTACTTTTATACAATTCCGAGCCATCCAACAGCCCTTGAATGACATCCAAAACTAGGTCTGACTCCGTGGGCAGCGATAAATACAAGTGTTTCAGCCCCACCCAGCCCGCACACGCCTTCAGCACGGGACCCCACTTCATCCTACTCTCCTCCCCACGGTGGTCCGTCATGTCCCCCGTATCCAACTCCAACCTCACCAAGTTCGGAAATGCAGTCTTCAATCCCTCCAAAAGCGTGGGATCATGCATCTCAAAAATCTTCAAACTCTCCACACCCCCCAAAATCTTCCCCGCATTGAAAATAGTTTGCAAATATTCATGCAAACTTGCCGACTTTGTTCTGTATGTCTTCCCAAGCACCAGCCTTTTCAGGACTGGCATTTTTTCGAAGTCGTGCAAGACGTCGTCGCACTGAAAAACATCGAGCAGCATGTTCCGATACTTTTGCAATTTCGGCATCTTCCTCGGCAATCGGAATTCCTGTCTATCCCAGTTTCCGGAACCTGTGATACATACTACTTCATCGTATTCCCCAAAACCTAGAGTGACCAGTTGATCGCCAATCTGATTCAGCATACGTGACATCTCTACAGGTTTAAAGCGATCTATGCGACGTGCTTGAAGTGCACGTGCTCCGATGGTTAAAGAATCAATGGATTTAGAATTCTCAAAATTTGGGTGGATTCCCCACGGAATCGAAAGCTCCCTTAAATTTGGCGAGGCGTTGACAACGGCCTGAATAAAACTCACCGGTGGCTTCCGTGACGAATAAAATAGAAACGAGGTCAACTTTGCCTTTGGTGGCAGCGGGTCCATTAACATTTGCTTGGTCTTCGTAAATGAGCAAGCAATTCGCAATCGTGTCAAATTTGGACAGCAATTAGTTAAGACTTGGTGGATGTATCGTAAGCAGTCTACAGCATTGATGCAAAGCTCCAGAATTTGCACGTTATCGCTGAATTTATCGCAAAAGTGTGTCATCCTGGAGGCGAAGGTGTATATGTCAGTGGTGGAGTTGGGGTTATCCTTTTCCTTGATACAACTGGCGCTGATCCGTTTCACGAGTCGGTCATCTAACGAGAAACATAATGCGAAAAAGGAAAAGGGGTCGTCGTCTCGGTCCTATTTTTCGTTCAGGTTTAACGAAAGTCTCGTATTTGGAAGGGAGAGGACGATTTCATTCCAAAAAGGGCAAACTAGTCGACAAGTTTTCAACGGGGTGGAGTTCTGTTTGAATATTTCCATCAAAATCTGTTAAAAAGTATTTGTAAAATATAACCCTTTAAATCATAATTATTCGTAAGGTTATACATAAATATTTAATAAGAATATTTGGGTTATCTGTATTTACAATCGGATTATTTAGTGCGACTTCCTGTGGGGTTCTTTCTTCATATTCCATTTCGGCCACCCACCGGAGTGAATTTGTCGTCTGAACAAAATTTTACTGTTTTAGAATGTACGCATTTATGAATATTTAGATAAATATGTGATTTAAAATCACTGATTTTACAGCACAATTTATAATAGAATTTGAATAGAATAGATATTTATCTGTAAGGTCTTACCAATAATTGAAGTTGAATATTATTCAGACTTATGATTTTGTAAATCAACCGGAAATTAAGAGATGCTACTTTTTTTTATTCCTTTCGAGAACACACGGTCTGGTCCGCGGGGTTCAGTTTTATAAAGGGGTGAAGCGAAGCGAAATCCCTTTATGGAAATGTCTTGTCCGCCCGGCCGTCTGCTGTATCCATCCACCATATTTTTAGAACGGATTCGAATTTCGACATGAAATTTTCGCCAACGTATTTCTAATTTTTGAGGTACGGATGAGTTCGAAGATGGGCGTTGTAGGTCATAAGGTCACGGAGCCACGAGGAGAGACAAACGTGCCGAATTCTTTGTTTTGACCGTAGTTTGGGGCGAAGATTTCAAAAACCAATATGGTTTTGCTATACGATGACCGTGTCGCTTCACCCCCCAAAAAATGCAAGCATGCTGGGGATTATATTATGACTTGAAAATCATGCAGAGGGAGCGTGCACAAGGCATGTCATAAATTTTTGAACCACTACAGTGTGACCACCAAAAATATGTTCCGGACCACAACTGTTTTTTGAAAGTAAGTTGCTCTTTGAAATCAAATCCCATAAATATCAGAATTTCATGCTTAATTCCATCATGCACGGTCCCAGAGAATCTAAACCGCGCGCACCATGTTCTCGCCAGGAATAAAAAAAATTAGAAATATTTTATACATTTCTTCCAGTTATTTAAAATAAATTAAAATAAATTCACTCTATCAATTTGTATATTATTCAACCTCAAAAATTGGTAAGACATTGCAGACATACATAAATAATACTTGCTATTGAAATTATCTTGTAAATTGAACTGCAAACTATTCACTATTTGTAAATATTACTTATTTAATATTTATTAACATTAACTTTATTATTAACATTATAAAACAGTAAATTTGGTCACATCTACCCATAGATTTCTGTCCGGTGGGTGGCCGAAATGGAATCTCAACCTGAGGAAAGAACCCCACAGGAAGTTGCACTAAACAATCCGATTGTAAGTTACAAGTTGCAACTTGCAACTTACAACTTGAAAAACAATTTGTAACCCTAGTATTTTTATTAATAAAAGTAATCTTAATTTAAATAGTTTAAAAAACTGTTTTGCAAACTTCCAGATTTTGTCGGAAATATTTAAAATGTCCTTCACCCCGTTGAGGACTTGTCGACTAGTTTGTCACTTTTGGAATGACGTCGTCCTCTCCCTTCCAAATTCAAGACTTGGAATAGAGCTGAACCCCGGATATGACCGCAACGAGGATCCATTTTCCTTTTTCGCCCTACTCTTTTCATTGGATGAACGACTCCCAAAACGGATCAGCGCCACATGTGACACCGAGGTATCGCACGAAGAGGATCCCGACCCGAAAACCTGCATGTACGTCTTCGCCTCCAGGCTGACACACTTTTGTGATAAATTCAGCGATACCGTGCAAATTTTGGAGCTTTCCATTGATGACGAAGACTGCTTCAAATATATCCATCAAGTCTTGAAATTGCTGTCCGAATTTGCAACAGTTGCGAATTGTTTGCGGATTTCCGTATGAGAAAGAAATTTTACTGGAGGCGCTACCAACAAAACCAATGTTGACATCGTTTGTAGTCAGTTCCCCAGTGGAAAAACTGGTTCGTACGGGTACCAATTTTATTGAGGTCGTCATCATCGCCTCGCCAAATTTAAGAGAGGTCACAATTCCATGGGGAATCTATCCTAATTTTAAGAATTCTAAGTCTCTTGAATTCTTGACGATCTCAACCGATGCCCTTGAAACACGAGACATTGCTCGCTTTAAACCTGGACGGCTCTCACGGATGCTTAACCAAGTAGCGGATAACCTGGTCAGCTTCTGCTTTGGGGAATCCGATCAAGTAGAAGGCATCCACGGTTCTGGAAATTGGAATAGGCTAGAATTCCGGTTCCCGAGGAAGATGCCGAAGTTGGAAAAATATCGAAACTTGCTGCTCGACGTTTTTCAGTGCGACGACGTCTTGCACGACTTCGAGAAAATGCCCGTCCTGAAAACTCTGGTGATTGGGAAGACAAATAAAACAAAATCAGGAAGTTTGCATGAATATTTGCAAACTGTTTCCGACACGGGGATGATTTTGGGAAGTGTGAAGAACTTGAGGATTTTTGGGCTGCATGATCCCAGACTTTTGGATGGATTAAAAGTGGCGTTTCCCAACTTGGCGAGGCTGGAGGTGGACACATATGTCAGGACAGACGACCGCGGGGAGGAAAGTGGGATGAAGTTGGGCGTGGTACTCAAGGCTTGTGGGGGTTGGAGAGAGTTGAAATTTATGGACTTGTCGCTGCCGATTTATCCAGAAGACATTAACGACGCCATTCCAGCTCTGTTGGAAGGACGTGAATTGTACAAAGGTGAGTGCCAGCTTTTTCGAATGGATTTGTTGGTCAATTTCCTAGAAGTGGGAATACTTACTTAGATTTCTGTCCGGTGGGTGGCCGAAATGGAATCTCAGAATACTTACAACGATACGGGTAATCTAGCTGACTAAACCGGGAGATGAGATCTCACATCTCACTCTATCAGCCAGAGGAAAGAAGCGCACAGGAAATGGCACTAAACAATCCAATTGTAAATAAGCCACATCTTTTAAGAATAAATACAACGTTGCAATATTAATTTAAACAGTTTAAGTATTTCGCAACCTTTCAGATTTTGATGGAAATATTCAGACAGACCTCCACCCCTTTGAAATCTTGTCGACTAGTTTGCCAATTTTGGAACGAAATCGCCCTCTCCCTTCCAAACACAAGACTTCAGTTGAACCTGTACAAACTGTATGGCCTAAACGAGGACCACTTTTCACTTATCCAATTATCGTTCTCATTAGATAGCCTGCTTGCGAAACGGATCAGCGCCACGTGTAAATACTACGCCACACGCATAGACCCGTTCGTCTGTAGGCTGACATGCTTTGAAGACTGCGTTTCCGAATTTGATGAGGTTACGTGTGGATACATGTAGCATGACGGACGACCGCGGGGAGGAGAGTGGGATGAAGTTGGGCGTGGTGCTTAAGGCGTGTGGGGGTTGGGGAGGGTTGAAATGTATGGAGTTGTCGTTGGCGATTTATCCACAAGAAATTATGGATGTCATTCAGGGTCTGTTGGAAGGACGGGAATTGTACAAAGGTAATTTTTTAAATTGCGAAAATTCTCAGACCATGATTTGATTCCGTTAATTTCTTCATACTCGAAGATTATTTCCGGTTCGAGGGAGTAAAAATTTTTTACTAAAAAATCAGAGCAGATTGAACAGTAAAATACTATTGGACTTACACTTTTGTATATACATATGTATTACATATATCATATACGTGTATTAAATATGTATATACATGTATCCGGAATATATAAAAATTTGGAGAGCAGTATTTTTTCCATAATAAATATGTCAATTTCATTTCTGTCAATTTCAGGGCTGAAAACTCTGGAAATTTTGGGATACAAAGGCTATTATGAACACAATTTGAAACAGGACCAGTTGGATCTGATGAAGTAATTGCTACTCGCGATGAATGTCATGGACGACGTTATCATTTCATGTCTTCGCGTAAGCTATAATTATTCAATTTCGCGATAACCAAGCATGAATCAACTTGACTCATACGATTTTATAACGTATATTTTTCTTGATTGTTTCCAGGTTAGAGAAGAATCTGAGAGGAATATATTCAATATAATGGTGTCAAACAACTTGGATGTCTCGAAGTTTAGGATTTTTTATGGGAAACCGGCCCGTCTTGGGAGCGATTAATTACAATTTGGATTTTATGCTAAGATTCGACGAATCGGCGACATCAATAAGGGATCACAACTTAAAAATGCAAATATGTTGACAAAGTTCTTAGGTTTACGAAAAGTTTCTAGCTATGAATTAACAGTTTTGTTTCTTAATACATACGTGTGCATAGTTAAATTATGCGTTTAATATTCCAGAAAAAAATCAAGGGTAATTATTTGTAGATAGTTAAATGCTGCTTATTTTTATGTATATGTTCCGTAAAAATTTACTAAATATGAGAATTCCTGGAAACATTAAAAATTTCTGAAAATTGTTCGAAAATTTCATAATAATACTCGAGACTTCCTGGAAACTTTCCCCTCTTTCCGGGCAAATGTGTTTGCACGTCTGCACCACAAATCAAACCCACGCTTACAAGTACATACATAATAATATATCGTTCAACACGATATTTTTTTACAATATGCATTTTAATTTTATTGAATCTGTGTTTACTCTCCAACAAGTTCACCACTCGCAAATGTATTATTTTAAGTAAGACGAATTAAATCGTGTAAAATTTGGTGAAACAAACCACGAATTTCTCCCCAATTTCCTCTCCCAAAGGGTGTACCCTTTATCCGTCAAAAAATCAATAACTTCATCCACATACATAGCAGCCTCCTCCGGCCCCACGTTACCCCGATCCGTCTCCACGGCAATGACATCAAAGGAAATTTGGTCAAAATCAACCCCCTCCAAAACCCTTAATTCTCCGCCTTCTACATCCAGCAGAAAAAAATTGATGTGCCGAATTCCCAGCGGAACTAAAAGATGCGAAAGAGGGACGCACTGAATCGTAATAATTTTAGGATCCTCGTAATATCTTCATCTTTGTAATGCACGGTGCGAACTTGGTCACAAATCGCGGCATTAAAACTGATCGCATCGGGCCGATTTTTATGTATTTGAGACGACAGGGTGGGATTAGCTTCAATCAGGATTGACCGCCAATGCGCGGTCTGTTCAAAAAAGAGACTCACGCTGGAATTCAGGCCGTTCATCGCGCCCAATTCGAGCATTAGGCCGGCCCCGGTGCCGAAAAAGAATTCATTCCAGGCGGTCAATTCTTCTTGGTCGTAGCCCCGCGTGGTTATGGTGACGTTGTCGTAGGCAGGGTCCTTTTTTAAGCCCCAGTCCTTAAGTCGGTACCACGCGGGAAGGTTCAACATGCTGGTTAAGACTTTAATGCCAGTGTCTGCTAGAGGGGGCGGTAAGTCGGTCAGGGTGGAAGTTTCGTTTTTGAAGTGGAATTGATAAAGGATGAGGTACAAGGAGAAGCAGATGAAGAAAACCGTAGTAAATTTAATTGTGTAGGTGGATTGCTTCATGGTTTTTTTTCAGAAGCTCGCATAAATTTAAGCGCGGTTACGACACGGTTGAATTTGAGCTCCCGCCACGTTTTTTGATCTACAATCAGAGTAAAAAATGAATATCTACATACTATCTTTATCAATGTACTTACATTTTTGACTATTTTTATTAAGTAATCGGCCAGGTTGTCAGGGTGTGATTCGCAATTAATAATATATTAATTTAATATACCATACATAAACTGGTAATCGAATGACATTACTGAATTTTATCTGATTTTAGCAACAACTCAATATTTCACGAAAAATTTACTACTCCAGAGTGCAAATTGTAGTCTTCCGGAACAAAATGAAACCTCCAAGAGAATCCGAGAAGAAAACTTCTTGAAAAATGGATACGTATTGGCACAAATAAGTATGTATCAATTGTCATGACTTAAAGTGATGGGTGAATGTTGGGACAACGACCTAACTTTAATACATTATCATTGCAATTCAAATTTAGTCACGTTCTTTGCATCATAAATAGCTAAACAATAAAAGTTCAGACATAGATACGTACCTATGTTGGCACAAATCTAATAGGGATATTCATTAAGAGTTTGTATTTTCGCGTCGCAACATAATTTTAAAAATGCGAAGTAAATATGTAGTGCATATTTAGTTAGCTAGTATGTACATACGTATGTATGTATTATGCAAATACTAGCCTCGGAGTTCGCAAATAAATTTTAAAGTCAAAATTGTCGACGAATTTGCGAACTTTGTTTTTTTGCTAACTCGCTGTGAATGCCCCCAATACCTTAGATATCAAGTTATAGATTGTCGTGGCTTTAAGTGATGGTTGGAAAATTAAGCTGGGCCGACGACCTGACTTAAATAAATAAATTGTAAGTCAAATTTAAATCACATCCTTTGTTTAACAAAAATCGTAAGAAATAAATGTTCAATGGACATGCATTGATACATGTAAATACAACTTATCAATTGTTATATACCGTAAATGATGAATGAATGTTGACCTGATTTAAATTGTAATTCGGATCCTTACTCATACCGGAAAATATTATTGAGCTTGGCTTAATGTAACATAACTACATAAAACAACGGAGAAAATTTATGAACTTTCTTCACCTTTCCCGTTACACAACATTCATATTCTTATAATTACTAAAGTATTTAAGTATTTACTTTTAATCGTTGAATAAATCTCATCTTAGGATTAGTTTAATTTGATCCGTGCTGTCACATGTAAGTATAATTTTTAAAATGTTTCACAACACAATCCCATCTTATTTAAATATAAAACATTTCTCGCATTTTTGAAGCACCATGCACATATGAGATTATAGCTGATTTACCCATATATATAACTCGTATGATTTGAGGATATAAGGTGTACTTAATTAGTGTTAGATTATCAAGGGGAACAAATTAACCGGTCGCATATAAACGGGTGTATTATAAGTACGTATTCATTTACATTTCATCCATCCCGTCTAAAAATGCATCCACCCTTTGTTTCTTCCCTTTACACGCGATTTCAAACTTGTCTTCTATACAGTCCCTGAATTCTGTTACTTCTGGACACGATTCTGTTTCAGGTGTCGGCATTTGCACCTGTGGCACTACATACATACATAAGCACGATTCAAATTTATTCATAACGTAAGAAATCAATCAGTAATAAATAAATAAAAATACAAGCATCTCCACATTTCTCGGCTTCATCGAGCAAATAATCCATCCAATTTTCGTTCCTTTTACTCAACAAAATTTTGTGGGCCTCTTTCCGCATAAATTTCTTATCTAATCTCCCATTCTGAATGAGACCCTCGTAACTCATCGCGATGCAGAGTAGGCGACACTTTAAAAATCAAATAATTAGTGCAAAAAATTTCAAATTTATGATTTGTTAAGGATATTCATTATTTCTTCGTATCCTTAGTATTCTTCAAATCGTAAAATGGTTACGAGATTATAACATTTTGTCAGCAAAAATCGCGTTATTAAGGTAACGATTTTTACGAATCTGTACCCATTGAACACGAAGAAATATTGAATAAGTTTTAAAAATACCTCATCATTCTGGATTTCGAAACATTTCGTGGTTGCTAAAACAACGCCGGTAATCCATTCCGGTGGAATGGCGATGTCCTCCCCGTTACAGGAGGAATGTTTGCTTATTTCTTGGACGACATCGGTCGCTAATTTCTTCTTGCTGTTCTGAAATTGATTTTCATTGTATCGATTTTAACCGGATACAATTTATATATGTAGGTACCGTAAATACTCTATTTATAGCCGGGGCTAAAATCCAAAACTGGGTGTCACGGACCCGGCTACAATTAGAGACCGGCTATAATTAGAGACCCGGCTAAAATTTGGTCCGCCCTAATTTAAGTCATTATAAAATTAGCGAATAATTAATGTTAACTCGATTTGAGTTATTTTGTTCAGCAAAATATGAAATCAGTTAAATATTCGCTTTAAATCTACTTCTTTAAACGAGGTTTTGTAGTTTTTAAAAACTTGCTGTCGTGATTATATGCATTCTTATTAAGATCTTAACACATTATTCTGTAAATTTTGACCTTATTCGTTGATTAACCGGATGTTCAGTATTTTTCTAGGATCGGGTATGAACGGGGACACAGCCAAAAATACAGGCCATAATTAGAGACCCGGTCATAATTAGGGACCCGGCTATAAATAGAGACCCGGCTAAAATTTTGAAATCTTGGTCTCCAGACCCGGCTATATTTGGAGACCGGCTATAATTAGAATAGGGCTATAAATAGAGGTTTTACGGTAATCCTTAAAATTAATTTCATTTTTACCGAATTTGAAATCAGAGCGAAGAAAATTATAGATGTGCCAAGCTGCATAATATTTTCTAACTTCTTTCCGATTTGAAAATTGGTTCCCTACCAGAAGGAAAAGTAGGGCATGTGCACTAATTTTATGCAAATAATTTTGAAACAGTACAAACACACATAAACTATAATGGACCATAATTTCTATCTTTGGAAATAATTGGGATGAATTGAATATGGACTCCTATTATGCTAACCTTCGAATTTTTAATGATGTATTCATGCTATTATATTGTTTATGAGGTGCTTAAAGTGTTGTGTTACGTTAATGAGTGCCGATTGACGAGGACTTGTTTCATACATGGTTTGAATGCGTACTTAGCTATCCTTTTTGATTCTGGAAAAGTGATAATACACGCGAAATTTGTTAAATATGTTGATATTAATAACTTTAAATAGTTATATGTATGTGGTGAAGCATGACTTGTATTTAAATACTTGGGTGTGTATGTAAGTCAATGATTCCCAAAGGCACAAAACGCGCGTTTGAGTTCTGATTTGCATCTATTTAATTCTAATGCATTTTTTTTTCGGCAGCGAAACAATTTGTATCCGTATTATAATTTCAATATTATTAAATAATATTATCATAATATCATTTCAATAATATCAATCATATCAATAATATCATCTCAATAATAATATCATTTCAATATTATTATTCAATATTATTAATCTTTCAATATTATTACCTATTTTTATTAAATTCATCCCCCCTTTATTCAGAAATCTTGCCGTAACAAAGCCAAAATCTCTACAAAAAATGAAATCATCACAATTCCACAAAGAATTCCAAACACGGTAAAAATCCCGCTTAAGTTATCCCCCATCCCAAAACTTTTCCACGTCTGCTTCTCCATTTCAGAAATTCTGGTAAAATTCTGAATCTCTTTTTTTTCGAGACGCGATACCACTTTTGACCCAGACCGGACGTCATTAACCGCGAAACTCGATCTAGCACGATGTCATCCCCCCAGTTGAAGATTGCCCAGCCCTTCGCCAACCTGTTTCCTAATGGGTGCTCACTCTTGCTCACTGCCCTCCGTGGATACTTCGCCTTCAAGTGGGCATACACCCGCTCCACGTGATCCGTCCATCCCGCCATTGCAATAGGCTTGTCGCAATCGGAAATCACATCTGTGAAAGTATACATTCCCGAGGAAATATTTCCGTAATTTGGTGGAATTCGGGTAATCTTGCCCAATTCGATGACCGTCTTGAATGCGGATGAGTTTGTCTTGATTTTTACCCCGTTGGCGTCCTTGTTCTGTAAAAATTCCTGAAATACGGACAACACCGAAAAATACGCGAACCCCATGTCAGACTGGGAATGGTTTAGGACAGTCATGTACGACGAGACGTCGGTGGGCGGGGTAAAAACGGTGAATTGGTTGTCGACCAACTCTTCAAATTTAGAATATATTGGCGACTTTGGGGGCACCGTGCAACGTTTGATGTATTCTCCTTTGTACGAGTTACTTAGCACAAGCACGCACAGAATCCACACTCCGCAAATGATATAGCTAAACAGGCTAGGGTTCAAATTATTTTTTGACCCGCCAGAATTTTTTGATAGGTCGTTACTCTGCTCGAGTAGAGTAGCATACCCGACAAGGAGCAAGTTTTCCCAAAAACTAGACGAACCAACCGATAAAACGGAAGATATTGTTAATCCCGCCAATAAAATTAATACCCACGTGGCTCCATCTAGCGGACTTGTCAAATCTGAAATCCTCCCCATGGATGAAACCCCTTTTTCATGACACGTCGTAAATTCAAACCCTTCCTCCTTATAGCTTAAAGTTTGCGCGAAAAATAGATCCATCACGACGAAAGGTCCATTTGACTGTCCAGTCATTATCCGAGGGTTATAAATGCTTATAAACATCTTGACGTATTTGACGCCATTTTCAAGATCTGGCTCCAAAATCTGATTATCCGACTCGCCATTGCAGGGTTTCTCAAATCCTGTTATGGTGGCGTTAGTGAACGCCGCTTTAAACAAGATAAGGTCCAAATTCATGTCCTGCTGGGAATTGTATTCCCTAAAATATAAATTCTTCAAATTTCCCGCTTGATTCTTAACGACGTTAATAATTTGCTGATTTTTCTTCTCTACAGTATCCGCGTCTAGGGAAAGGTGATTAATTTTCCATGCTCGGTGCAACACGACGCGCAGAATTTTCGAAACTTCCCGGCCAATCGCTTCCTTGGAGGGAATTTTATTTTCCAATATCAGAATAAATTTGGCGTAACAATGGAGACAAGTTTCGCACATGAAATAAAATTTAAAATTCGCGGATGTCACCAAAATTCCGAACAAACTTGGTGCCACGTAGTAGACCCGTTTTCCTTTAATTAGCGGATTTGCCCATTTTCCCCAACGATTCGGATTTGTCACATTCGTCACAAGAATCCGAAAATAATGATGTTCCGAAATTTTGAACGGTCTCGACAATTCATCCAGTCTTCCGGCAAACGAGTT